TATTTTTGTGATGATATATTATTTCATGAAATGGGTGAAAGCAGCTTCATTTGAAAATGTAACACGATATGTGGTTTGCAAGTTTATAAAAAGAGATATCATTTGTAGATATAGGCTTTCAAAAAGAATCATTTCAAAAAATATCAAGAATCTAAATAGTAAGATGATGTAGAAAATATGTGTCTAATGTAAGATCAAGCATCATATTTGGACACCATACCACTCTAAAATGAATGGAATAGTTGAGGCAACAAACAAGAATACAAAAAGAATTCTTAAAAAAATGACTAAGACTTATAAGAATTGGCATAAGAAGTTACCATTTACATTGTATACTTATCAAACATCAGTGCATACTTTTACTAAGGTAATTTTATTTTCTTTGATTTATGAGATGAAAGCTGTACTACCAGTGGAAGTGAAAATCTTATCCTTGAAGGTTCTAAAATAAGTTGGACTAAAAGAGGCTGAATAGATTCGAAAGCGCTATGAGCAGTTGAATTTCATTTAAGAGAAAAAATTGATAGCACTTTGTCATGATCAGCTATATCAGAAAAGAATGATGAAGGTTCATGATAAAAAAGTTTGACCTCATTGCTTTCAAGAATGAGAGTTGATCTTAAAAAGAATTCTCTCAAGCCAACATGATAATAGAGGAAAGTAGACTCCAAATTGAGAAGGGCCATATGTTGTGAAATGAGCTTTCTCAGGTGAAACATTGATATTAGTTGAGATGGATGAAGATGATTTACCCTATTTTATAAATTCTGATATTGTAAAGAAATATTATACTTAAAAAAAATAAATAAAAAAAAACTTAAGTTAAAAATCTAAAAAGGCAGTTTAAGTTAAAAAGAGGTTCATCTAAGTTAAAAACTTGAAAAAATGGCTTAGATAATGAGGATACAACATCGAATTTGAGAATTCACCAACATGAAAGCTAGTATGTTCTGATGAGCTTTGAATTGTTAAGTATATAAAGTAGTTGAGTTTTCAAAAAAAACCTCAAAATATTTTATCATGATTATCGGATTGTTTTAAGCGTTATTACCTTATACATATCTTTGTAATTCTTTTTCCTTTTTACATTGTTCAATGGCCAAAGTTGTGCTACCATTTTTTTTAATAAGAGATATATCACTTCATTATTTGTGTTTCTCTTTTGTTGATTATTTTCCAAGCCATTCATGTTCTTTTCCTTTAAGAACCTCGCAATGGAAGAAATGTGTGATTGCATTTTTATTTTTTGAAATTGAAATAATGATGGATAAATGAATAATAGCATAAAAGATTTCTACATTACCTTGAAAAGGTTAAGAGTGATATAGGCAAATATGAAATGTTCAATTCCTAGTAAAGATATTGACTTTGGAAAAAGATTTCTTTAAAAAAAGAATATGATAATTGAATGAGAATGATGATTGATAATCAAATCGATTTGGTTTTAGTATTGGAAGATTAAAGAGTTCAAGATCCAAGGGAAAAGCTTGAGAAACTTGAGTACCATAATTGAAAAAAATTAATTAATTGACATTTGCATTACATTTCTGAATGTCTAGTGCATAGTATGCATTGTATTTAAGAATGTCTAGTTTATGAATTTAGGAAGTAGGGATATTTAAGGATCTCACTTAGAGAAAATAGATATGAAAACTTTCCAATGAAAGAATTTCAAATTCTTGTTTAAGAAAAAACTTATAAGGTAAGATTTTGATATTTGAAAAAGGATATTAAAAATGATTTGTAAGACCTTCGGGCATAATTTTTTAAAATTTTCTTAAACACAATCTATGACTCATTTGGACCAGATTGTCAAGAAGCTTCACTTATTTTTCAAAATTGTTGAGTTTCTGCTTAGAAGAGATTTATTTATTTTTCAAAGTTGTTGAGCCTCTACTTAAATGAGCTTTATTTATTTTTTCAAAGTTGTTAAGCCTTTGTTTAGAAGAGCCTTATTTATTTTTCAAAGTGGTTAAGCATCCGCTTAGATGAGTTTTATTTATTTTTTCAAAGTCGTTGAGCCTCTACTTAAAGGAGCTTTATTTATTTTTTCAAAGTTGTTGAGCTTCTTATTAGATAAGCTTTATTTATTTTTCTAAAGTCGTTGAGTCTTTTATTAAAAGAGCTTTATTTATTTTTCTAAAGTTATAGAGTATCTGTTTAGATGAGCCTTATTTATTTTTCAAAAGTTGTTGAGCTTCTGATTAGATGAGCTTTAATTATTTTTCAAAGTCGTTGAGCCACTGCATAGAGGAGCTTTATTTATTTTCAAAAGTTGTGAGCCTCTGCTTAGATGAGTTTTTATATTATTCAATAAGTCTTAAGTGTCCAATTTAAAAAAAATGAACATGTTGGGATGATTATCTGGATATGATGGGTGTTTATGTCTTTGCACAATTCCTATTGCATAAGAAATGCCTAAAGAAGGGTAACTATAGATACCCTATTTGGTCCAAACCCAAATCCATTTGACCTAGCTCAATAGAGTCAAATTATTAAGCCCAATTACTCATTATTTTATATTTTATATTTTATATTTTATACTTTATTTATATATTATTTATATATTATTTATTTATTTTGGGTTTTATCTTTTTTATTATTCATTTATTTGTTTTTTTATTTATCTATGATTTTCAATTGTTTTTTATTTGATTTATCTTTTGTTATTAAATTATGTGTTAAGATAATGAGATAATAGTAATAATAAAAGAAAAAAAAAGAGTTAAAAAATAAAAAAAAATAATTTTGGCCGTGAATGCAGAATTGTAGTTGGATTCAATCTATATAAGATAAATATTATGTTTTGTGCTAATACAAAAATCCTGTCAACAATGGATTCGTGGTCAATCAAAAACACTTCTGCCTATTCCTTATAAATACAGACTTGAATCAAGCATAAAAAACACACAAAAAACACATAAATCAGAGAAAGAGTATACACAAAAATACGGAGAAGAAAACACCCGTGAAAGGCAGTCAAAAGTTTGTTGGAAAGTTTTTAGGATTAAAAAAAATTAAAAAAAATTTTTAGAAAATTTTCATAATCCAATTGAATTTTTCAGTGATTTTTGAAGGTTTCAATGAATTTTCAGCAAGATTCCCAGTTTTTAGCGTCAAATTTCTAAAAACCAGTAAACTTTTGACCAATTTTTGATGAACAGACCTAGATTCCAGTAAGATTTTTCAAAATTCAGTGAATATTCAACAAAGTTTATTTGATTATAAAGAGAGGGAAAGAGAAAGAGAAAGAAAAGAGAGAGAGAGAGGAAGAATTTTGAGGAAAAAAGAAAGTTTTGGCCTATTTATACTCAACTGAAACGACATCGTTTTGACATTTAAATGGCCTCAGGATCGTTGTTTTTCTATTCAGGCCAACCCAATTCAAAGTGTTAACTCGTTTTTTGACCCGTTCTAACCTTAGTCTCAAGTCGAGCTGAGCTGAATAGCTTTTTAAACCGTTCTAGCTTTTCTTCCTACAGCAGAGCCAAGTTGAACCATCCAGTAGCCAAATCGTTTTCCTATTTTTATTTTTTTGAATTTTTTTGTTTATTCTATTTATATATATATTTTAAGTATTTTTGCATGACTAAAATTTAGGAAGAATATAAAAAATAAAAAATAAAATAACATATTTTTTTAGAATAAATAATAATTATCAAATGATGAAATTTTTTAAAATTTCAAATGATAAATTTTTATAAAATTTTTAGGTGAGAAATTTTTTCTAAATTTGTCCCAAATGATAGAATAATTTAGAGAAAGTTTCAATAATAATAATTAATATTTATTTTTAATTTAAAAATAATAAAAATAAAAAACACAAATTTTAGTAAAAATTTTGGAATTAAATATTAATTATTTAATGATGAGATTCTTAAAAATTTTAAATGATAAATTTTTTAAGAATCTCTAAGTGAGAAATTTCTCTAAATTTGTCATAAATTGTGGAATAATTTAAATGAAATTTCAATAAAAATATATGTATGATTTTTCTAATAAAAAATTTTAGATTGAAAATATTTAACAATTATTCAATGATAAGATTTTTAGAAATTTCAAATAATAAATTTCTTAAGAAATTTGTAGGTGAGAAATTTTTTTAAATTTGTATCAAATTGTGAAATAATTTAAATGAAATTTCAATAAAAGTAATTGTATCATTTTTCAAATAAAAAATTTTAGGTTGAAAATATTTGACAATTTTTCAATGATAAGATTTTTAAAAATTTCAAATCATAAATTTTTTAAAAAATCTTTAGGTGAAAAATTTCTTTAAATTTGTCTCAAATAGTAGAATGATTTAAATGAAACTTCAAAAATAATTATCATATTATTTTATTTCCAAAGATAAAAAACAAAAAAAAAGAAGAATTTCTAAATAGACTTAAGTGGTAAAAAATTAGAAATAAAAAAAATATTTCTAAATTGACTTAAAAAGTGATAAATTTATAAATAAAACTTATAAAATAAAAAATAAAAAATTAAATTCGATGATAAAATTTTTAGTAATCGTAAATAATTGATTATTCAAAAAAATTTTAAGTGAGAAGATATTTCTAATTTAGTCCAAAGGGTAAAATAATTAGATATATTTTCAATAAAAAATTAAAAACAAATAATGACTAAATCTTTTTTCGATAATGGAATATTTTCAAGAAAACAAACGGATTTTTGAATACTCTTGAAGTAAAAAAATATTTTAAAAATTTTATCAAATTAATGAAAATTTTTAAAACTTATTTTTAAAATTTTATATTAAAATTTAAAATCATTAAAATCAAGAGTTTAAAATAATTTAAAATTAAATAGTACCATCTTTGAAAGACATGTAAAAATGCTATAACATTTCCTATAACTAAACTTTTAAATCATATTATGATTAATAGACTAAATTTTATTTTTAAAAAAATTTTTAATCAACTTAAAAATTAAAAAATAAAAAATTCATTAAACAATCAACAACACATAAATAAAAAAAGGCAACTCTGTCTATATATTTTCGGTCTGTGTTATAACAGTAAAAGTTGGCATTAATGTCTTCAAGTTCTGGTGAGGCCATCATTGTCCAGTTTCCACCTATAAATAACTGAAGCCGTAAGCACCACCAACCTCCAAAATAGAGCCGTCGGCTTTCTATTTAAGTGGCCATGGATAACAAGGAACTGTCAAGCAAAACCGCTGGGAAACCAATTCGATGCAAAGGTAACTGCCAACAAACTCCCAAGTTTTTCCTTCCGTAACTGTTTTTCCTTCTGCATTTTGTTAGAGCATGAAACCATGTGTTGCTATTTCGTTTAGCTGCTGTTTGTCGCGAGCCAGGGGAGCCTCTAGTGATAGAGGAAATCATGGTGGCCCCTCCGAGTCCCTACGAAGTACGAATCCGTATAATCTGCACATCTCTCTGTCACAGCGACATTACCTTTTGGAAATTGAAGGTCTCTCTGTCACATCTCTCTATGGATCCGCCTCTCTTGACTTTTACACTCTCGATTGACTTTCGATATTATTGTTGTTTACCTGAATCTGAATTTGGTTCTGCTTGAAGGTGCCTCCTGCTTGTTTCCCCAGAATCCTAGGCCACGAGGCGGTCGGGTGAGCTTGATTTCTTCGTTGACATTTCTTTTACCTAGTGCTTTTCTTTTGCCGGTCACAGCAGAACATTGCCTTTGTACGCTCGAGTTGACTGACAGTTTAAAAGAGAAACTTTCAAAAACTAACGTTATCTATGTTTTTCTTCTCTGTTTCTCTCTCTCAAGAAAATATTTCTCTACAACGTAATTTGGCATCTTTCTTTTTCTTCATTTAAAACCCAAATGTATTTAGCCAATTAAATTTTATACCTTAATTTAACAAGGCAACAAATTCTTTTCATTCAATTTACAATTTGACATTGTGTTGAAGGGTGGTGGAGAGTGTGGGTGAGAATGTGGAGGAGGTAGCAGAAGGAGATGTTGTCATTCCAACCTTCTTGTCAGATTGTGGAGAATGTGCAGATTGCTGTTCAGAAAAGAGCAACTTATGTTCAAAATTCCCATTCAAGGTCCATCCTTGGATGCCTAGATATGAGACCAGCAGATTCACTGGCCTTAAGGGAGAGGTTTTATATCATTTTCTGTTCGTTTCGAGTTTTTCCGAGTACACTGTAGTAGATATTACCCATGTAGTGAAGATTGATCCTGCAATCCCTCCAAACAGGGCATGCCTCTTCGGCTGCTGTGTAGCTACAGGTAATGGGGTTTTGTTCTTTTCGGCATTTGAAATTTCAACTTTTACCTTGATTTTTTCATGTAAAAATCTGCTAATCACCTTCTGTTTGATGAAATTGTATTAGGAAAAGTTTCCATTTGTTATGGTTTTTTATTTCACTTACTGGTGTATGTTAATCAACTTGGACTTGATTAGCCATTCTGCTTTTGCGGTTAAACTCGATATTCATTGTTACTATGAAATTACCATGCTCACTTGATTCTTTGTTTCTTACCTCATGCACAATGAATTTCATAACTACTGTGCACATTTGAATCGGCAGTATCAACCATTGCTAATGCATGCTTGTTTAATTTTGAAACTTTAGTAATTTCTATAGGTAAGGTTCGTTATTTTGAGTAAGCATTGTTTTAAGGGTTTGTGGAAGGTTACCCACCCAAGAGGTTTTTCACATATTTAGCCCAATGTTCTATTTTCTTTTGCCTTGTCTTTTTTCCCAATGAAAGCCATTGCAAAGTACTTGATCGAAAATCTGAAGAGAAAAGTACTACAACATGACCAATTTTTTGGCTTTTAAGGGGTTGGTGCTGCTTGCAAAACGGCAAATGTCGGAGCAGGATCAACTGTTGTTATTTTTGGGCTGGGATCTATTGGATTAGCGGTATGATCTTGAAGAATAGTTTCACACTCTATCTGACGTTTATATGTTTTAAGTTTGAAAGACTAACTCACAGCTTGCTTTGCTTTCTAGGTTGCAAAGGGAGCTAGACTATGTGGTGCAAATAGAATTATAGGAGTGGATGTGAACCCAGAGAAATTTGAAATTGGTGAGTAAATTTTCATGTATGATGCTTTGTCACTGAATTTTCAACAAGTTGGGACTATACATCATTTGAATAATAGCCAAAATCACCTTGTTATATGAGTAGCAATGGTTTTATATGATCTCATCTACCATATGCCCAACTGAAAGCAGATTACTCTGAGATCAATTATTTTAGTGGTTGATTACTAGTGCAAACAGTTCTATCTTACACAATAATGTTGTGTTTGGCATAGTTTTTAGTTGATGTATCTTCCTTTGCATTTGTACAGGGAAAAAATTTGGAGTCACCGAGTTTATCAATTCAAGGGACTGTGGGAATAAATCTCTAAGCCAGGTTTTCCTCGCAGTCTATGATATTATTTTTTGACTAGTTTCGGTGACTTCTGCCTGTACTATTATTCAGTTGCTTCTTATGACATCAAATAGTGATTGGCTTGTTACTTTTGAAAGCATACCATGTAATCATACATATACAATGTGGTTGACCAGAAGGCTTTACGACTGTATGGCTTCTGATGTTTGAGATGGATCATTTGCCTTTCTGATAGCTTGATGAGCAATTTATCAGCATCCTGTTATTTTTATGGTGCTTTGACGGAGCTGAGAAACAGATATCTTCACTAACTGATTAATTTTCTGACTTTCAGGACTAACTGATTAATTTTCTGACTTTCGGATTTTCTTTTTTCCTATCTAACTTTGAATAGGTAATCCATGAGATGACTGGGGGAGGTGCAGATTACAGCTTTGAATGTGTTGGTTTGGCATCCTTGGTACAAGAAGCCTATGCAAGCTGCCGGCAGGTAGCCTCTCTCGCACATATACACACTCATTTAATCACTTACAAAAGCATACGTTCCCAAATTATCCATAGTTTCTTACTAACTTACTTATATTTTAATATCTTTGTGTGTGTTTTTATCCATAGTTTCTTACTAACTTAATTATATTTTAATGTCTTTCTGTGTGTTTTATTTGTACAATTTGATATATAATTACAAGTGATAAGATTAGTACTTTCCAGAGATAGCAACTGTATTATCTGTAGTATTCTGAGTTTTGGCTTGCAAATTCTAAAATCAACATCCAGCTTGAGCTCTGGCTAACCCAACTAAAGATAGACTTATAATTATGTGGATCATACTAAGCAAAACAAACACTACTGCTAGGTAATGTATCAGATAACTCCAAGATTTCTGCATCTTAAGCTTTGTGCATAACTGCAGGGTTGGGGAAAGACAATTGTTTTGGGAGTGGACAAGCCAGGTGCACAGTTGAACTTCAGGTCCTTTGATGTTCTTCATTCTGGGAAAATCCTTACTGGGTCCTTGTTTGGAGGAGTCAAAGCTAAATCTGACCTTCCAGTTCTGTTAAAACGTTATATGGACAAGGTAAATTCTTGCATTTATTAGTTTATCTCCTTTCTGCACTCCCTTTTTTTTTTAACACTATTTCTACTTGTTTATGAATCCTAAATTGTGTTTTAAGCTTAATGTATAGTTTGAGAGCATAGAGTGACCTACCATGCTACCTTAGTTGCATTATGTTGCATTATTCATGGATCTGAAGAATGGAAACCCCCAAAACAACCCTTTTTGTCCGCACATTCCATAAAGGCATTTAATGTGAAATATTCCCTTGCTGGTTTTATGGAATGTCTAACGTGAATTGAGTATATAGATGTGTTTAACTACTTATATATATATATATATATTTTTTTTTTTTTTTCCAGGAATTGCAGCTAGATGAGTTTGTCACTCATGAGGTCGGGTTTGAAGACATCAACAAAGCATTTGAATTACTTATGGAAGGCACTGTATCCGATGTGTTATATGGATGGACAAATGAGTGATTTCCTCTCACGTCTCTTGGGCTATATATTTGCTAATAACAGGACTTTACTTGTGAGTGTGCCCTGATATTGTCATCATTGTCTGATTTTGTTAAGATTGAGATCCTCATGTATCCTTGCTTTAATGTTCAATAAATTACAGTTGTCCCGATTCAAAATCTCAGAAAACTTATGTCAGTGGACAGCTTAGCCTTATTTTCTGCTAAACAAGATGCAGACTATAGATGGTCCTCATAACACTGAATGCATTAGATACGCCAGTACCTGTCAAGTATTCATTTGGAGAGTAAAACCCAGAGGCAGCCTCCTCTGTAATGGGTGCTAAACCATAGAAACAATAGTGATCTACTTTCCACTTGAAACTAGTGTTCTGAGATAGTAGACTTCAAATGTAGGATGTTTATTGTCGTTAGTTCTGAGATGCAAGCCATCATGATACAGTGGTCCTAAACTTATGATGTAAAACTTTTTAATAATATTCGTACCCAAAAAAAAAAAAAAACACAGAACAAAAATGGGAAAAGAACCCTATTCCATCAAGATTTAAGAGCACCACCTTCTAGGCTTTGATATTTCTATATTTCAGTTTCAGTTGATCTCAGTTCATCAGAAAAAAATACATACATGTGAGAGGCGTGAGACTAGAAAATAATGATATCGAACATAAAGAATACACAAAGAAAACAAGAAATTGATCCATTAAATATCTCTCAAATCACAAAAAGAAAGGAAGGAAATAACATATCCTTTTTACATATAGTTAAACCCTAAATAAACAAACTTATTATTATATATATATATATATATGACAAACTTAATACTTAAAAGCAGGATAAAACAGAAGCTTATACGAAATATACAACCCCAAAAAGAACGAAAATTTCAACAAATTAATAAACCACACCGCCCATCGGCATTTTTGCTTAAAAACATATTGGTTCTTTAATGGGAAGAACTCTCCTTTTCTTTCTCTTTCTCTTCCTCCGTTTTGGAGTGGTAACCAGGAAGCTTCTCCTTGATTTTCTCCAAAATTCCCTTCTTTTCCTTTGTCTCACCTTCATGGGGCTGAGCCGCAGAGCACTCAGCTGGGGATGGAGGTGGGGGGACCTCTTCAGCTATCTTGTGTTGACCAGGGAGTTTCTCTTTGATCTTCTCAAGGAAGCCTTTCTTTTCTGCAGGCTCTGGCTGGACTGCTTCATCACACTTCTTCAGTGGGACTGTAATGTCCTCGTGCTTGATCTCCTCTTCTTTCTTTTCTCCTCCTAACTTCTCCTCGATCTTTTCCTTTAGTCCCTTCTTTTTCTTCTTCTTCTTCTCTCCTCCTTCACCTTCCTCCTCATCGCTAGACTGCAAATTCGAAAAACAGATTACACGTCGTGATCCAAGGATGCTAAATATGGTAACTAAAGTATAAGGTAAAAATGAAAAGTTGACCACCCAATCAACTCTCTTTACTGTTTTTAGTGGCAAGTTCTCATTAACAACATAAAAGTCCAAAGTACTTACAGAGCTGGAGCTGCTATCCGATCGGTGAAGCTTCTCCAGTAGAGTGTGCTTCTTCTCCTCTCCTTCTTCCTTGTGCTCCTCTTCTATCTGAACCTTCGACTCAAACTCAGTGACGATCACCTCCTCTTGAGGCTTCTCCTCCTCTTTTTTCCCCAAGAAATCGAACAACCCTCGGTCCTTGGTCTCCACTGCTCCCTCACCACCAAAGTTGCTCTCGCACTCAGGGGCCTTTTTGGTATGCTCCTCAGCCATTTTTTTTATCAACTAAACACTGAAACAAATATGATCAAAGCTGGCTAGTGTATTTGAACAAAGCGCAAACCAATGAACTGAAAACTTTGTGGATCACTCCACTTTTACAGAGTTTGCTACTGACTGATGGGTTTTTAGAAATTAGAGGAGCTGGGTTTTTATAGTATCCAAAGCATCATTGACAACGCGGCTCTGACGCGATTAAGAAAAGAGAAAAAAAAAAATTAACGGAAGCTAAAATGGGCTACCCAATCGAGCGCCATTCCTTCCTGTAACCGACATCTGCATTAAACGGAGGAAACAATGTCTAAAGCAATATTCTCTCTCGGGTAATTAATTATAGTGTACTCTCTTTATTTATTCGAAACCTGTCTTTGTAGTTTCTGTGCCAACGAATGACAGCGAGTGTAGGCGTGCTTTACATGGTAGCGCCGATGGAAAGTAGCAGTCAATATTAAAGAGGAAAATAGGGAAAAAAAAACAGCGAAACGAGCGTGCGACCATTCGAATCAATGACACGTCGGGCCAGGGAATGTCCGTGTGGGCCCAGACAAGAGAAGTGTTGGCCACGTGTCAATTTCGTCGTGAAGACGGAGAGGCCAGAAGGTCGAGATTTAAGACTGTTAGGTTCTGGAGGGGCCCGATGAATAGTGGGCTTCGGTGTACGTTAATCTCACTATAATTTCGCATTGATTTTATTTGGATATCGTCACTTTCAAAAGAGAGGCGGAGCCTCTGGAAAGACAAGTGGGCGGTTTGGGATTTTTCCCACATAGCCCAATATATTATTTTGATAATGCCAACTTTGCACGTGACGGGTTCTGATTGTTTGCAATTTCCTAAACTTCGCGTAATGAAAAGGACGTTGGCTTTCAATACAATGCAATGCAACAATTTTTGAAAATTGAAAACGCTTATTACGAGAAATGCTTTACAAGGCATCAAAGTATTGAGCTGGAATTGTAGTAGTTTGGGCGCTAGGCTTTTGTAATTGCCAGTTCTAACTTCAACTAATCTAATTTTAAAGGTAAGGAATTCTAATGTCAACAGCATCTCTTTACATTTAAAAAATGAAGTAGACTAGTAGCATTCATCTGACTTAAGGTATAATGAAACCCGATGTATTGTCAAATTTAAAGTTCATTCAATTATAAAAATTTAAAATTCAAATTTTGATTTGAATTCAGTTTATAATATATTTAGAATTGATCAATTTAATTCATTATATAAATAGTTGAAACTCAAATTTAAATTTAATATCATAATAAACAAATCAAGTTTGGGTATTCAGTTAACGAGAGCGCATGCCCTTATCTTAGCAATAGTTGTAGTTTCATGAGTTTTGCTGCGTTGATTCTCAAAGAAATCATTGCGAAATGGCCAAAAAGAAAAGGAATTCCATGGGAGCGTAACGTGTAAGCTGCTTTAATTATCTCTAGTGGTTTCGACATGGGCTTTATATCCCAGTTACGAATGGTGTTTGGACGGTTTTGCCTAGGAGTTCCGACTGCAATTCAGTAGGCCCAAGAAAGAACTTGTAGAGATGATCCATTTATATTGCTTGGTTAATTTGGGTGAGGCCCATCCCTAAGTTTGGATTAACGACTTTGTTCGATAGAAAAAAATAAATTTTATTTAATGACCGAGTTACATAATAATATTTAGTATTTTGTAATTCAATCATTAAACTTTTTTCTTCTTTTCTACCAAACTTAACCTTTTCAATGAGATCATCTATCGATTACTGCTCCATGAGAGGTGCGTGCTTTCCCCTTAATTGATAACAATTCCAAATACTATTTTAATAAATACCAGCATGATTTGAACATTATACAAACATGTCATGATTTTTATTTTTAGTTTAAAAAAAATAAAAGAACACACTATGTGATTATTAAATTTTTAATTTAATGCTATTAGACGATTTTTCCAATGATTTGGAATCAAACAATATGTTTCCTTTTTTATATAGCATTCAAAACGCATACTATTATTATTATTTTTTACATAAAAAATTATAATTTAAAAATAAAATATGATATTGCATGTATTTTTTTATTTAAATCATTATATAAACCAACTAATTAAATTTTGAATTCACTATTTACTATCACTTATCAATTATTACTCTTTAGTTTCAACACCTTATTCATACATTAAAATACAAATTTTATTAGTCAATTTTTTTATGATATGAAAATTTCAATTTATCATATTTTTATATTCACAAAACGATTCATGTATCATATAAAATGATTTAAAATCTTCGAGTCACATCGAATTCAATGAAATGTTGAAAAGTAACCTGCAAATCTCGATAAAAAAACCCTCGACTAGCAGTTACAAAATTTTATATTATTCGGATTACAAAGTATGGCCCATATCAAATATATAGCCCATTCAGATATAAGCCCGACGCGATCGTTTGCATTTAGATTGAAAACCCGTCAAACCAGCCGGCTCCGGCTTTTTTTTTTTTTTAATTTGAATTCATTAGTATTTCCATTTCTCCAGGAAAGCAAAGGAAAAAAAAGAAAGGCCAATAAAAAAGAGAGAAAATTAAGAGGGATAGAGGGTTTATGCAATGTAACGAACCAAGGCCTAATTGAATCCAATATTGATGCTCCCCCTTCCCTTTCTTGTAGCTCCGGTTCGTATCTTGCTCTGCAAATTCTCAAATTTTAACCATTTTTTTACCTCCGAAGCCAAACAAAGCATAAAGACGAAAGGCAGGGAGAGAAAAAGGGAAGCGATGATAACGCGATCGAATTTAGCAGAGCAGTTGAGAGAGTATCAGATTCGATCTAAGCACGATTGGGCCTCCGTTTCGTTTTTCTCATCCACGTCTAATCTCACATCTTCTAGGTATACCTAATTCCATGATTTGCTTTTTCGGTATTTTATTTTTCAAAAATTTCCTGTTTCGAATATAAGGTAGATTTGATTCGCTAGCAAGATCTTCGTGCTTAACGAGCTGGTTATGAAATGTTTCTCATTTGAGCTTCTATCGAAGCTTTACCTATTTACTTAGATAAGCTTGGCTTTTATAGGATAATTAGGTTAAAAATTCAGCTGTAGCTTCTTGATTATGATATATTTTTTTAATCTATTTTGGAAATTTCGTTTCTTTTATTCATTTCATTTTCTCAATCAGTTGATATTTCTGCTAAGAATTGGAGAAAAAAAAAAAAGCTTGAAAGATTCTCGTAGTGATTAAATTATCGGTTTGAAAATATATTTTTATTTAAGCTGGTCAAAGAAAGCGAAAGTGACTCTGGATTTTATATAAACTGCTATTGAGTCCTTATGATGTCAGAAAGGAAAGAAAAGAAAATTTGAAATTGTTGATTCATTTTAATTTTCATCATAAATCGAAATTTGGGTGGCTGAAAGAAGCCTGCTGCTGGGGATGGGGGTAGAATTGAAGAATTCCTTACTTAAAAAGGAGATGATATGGCTCTTGGTTAATGCTGTACCAACGATTTAAATTTAATTGTTAATACTTGTTATACTGCTAATCTTTCTAACCCGTGTTTTTCTACTCGAATTTCTATATTTTATATTTTCAAATGACTGAATTGGGTGGTGTGTAAAGCGTAAACTAACTGTATGATGGTAGGAATATGCATGTGTGCTTAGATCTTACCATTCACTTGGCTGTTATGATTGTGTATCATTTGTATCTAAGGTTTTTTCATAGCTTTATGAAGTAGTATCATATGTATCTAAGGTTTTTTCATAGCTTTATGAGGTATCTATAAGAGCGGAATGCTTGCCAATCTGCTGGGAATTGGTGCTTTATAGAATTGTCTGGATTTGCTCACATTATGGGGGCTTAGGCTAGGAGTCCTTATCATTCAGGTGCTAGCTCTGATTGAGAAGTCTTGGTGCCAAAAATTGAAAATAATAATCTGTTGGCATTGGATCTGTGCTTTTGCAATATTTGTGCATTTTAGATTTTGGTGTTACTTATGCATGGAAAATATTCATGGGTTTGATATGTTTGTACTTTGTTCTAGTTCCAACAAGTTTTTACATGTCTGTAAGGTTATGATTTAGATTAATAATTGCGCGAGGCAGGAGATTCCAACTTTTTGTTGAGAAAAATAAATTAGAAAACGTGATATCTAGAGTACTTGTAGTTTTATTGGGATCCATTCATTTGGTCTTTATTGTGGTATTTGCTATTCTCATTCTCAGGATAAGACCAATTCTAATAGTTGTGCTTTCTTTACTGTTCTGTGGTTGCAGGGTGGATGTTGTGGTCTTTGTTATATGGGAACTCATTATTTTAGCTTTCCTGGTTTTCTCAGCTGTTTCTTTATATTTTAGGCATATGCAACTTGCCTTTATTCTAATATGCATCACAATGCTATCGCTTCTCTGCATGAAAATCACAAAGCAAGTGAGATTGGCTGGGAAAAAGAAAAGAAGGATGCTTCTTCCATTATCTATGTAGAACTACATGAAGCTTGAATTTGTTTAAAAGGGACTAACATTGATGTGTAAATTTGAGATTTATTGATCATTATATTTGGTCTACACTTGCTCTGGTCTACTGAAATAAGTAATTGTGCCTGAAGCAAGCTGATGAAGGAATATACTTTGATTTGGTCACCTCAAAAGTCGGTGAACCATGGCAAGTCTAGTGATTTGAGATGGAAAGTTGGGATGTTTTAATTGAACTAGTAGCAGTTAATTTTAAGGTATGATGTCTTTCTCACTACCTTTGTGCCGTATGCATGGCTCTGGGATACTATATTGGGAATGTAGTGAACAATATTTGCTTTCATTTGTAATTTGCTTAGACTTGGTTGTAGTTTAAAAGACATTAGAGGATAGAAATGGGCACTGTGAGTGATTGAAACATTTTTGCATGTATGGTGTACCCATATAGCTGATTTGCAACAATAATATATGCCATTTACAGTTTCCCGGTTGATAGAAGAGTTAAATTCTAGAAAAGTTTTGGCTTATTTGGTTTTACGACAGCGCATCTGTCTATGTAAGGGGTATTAAGTTCAGAATCCACTGATTTCACAAACTAACTGAAGATATAATTATGCTACTAAGTTTAGGCAAACAGGCATGTGAATAAGGTGATTTCATATATGTTAGTGTAATACACGGAGTTTTAATAATTTGTATATTTATCAGTTGAGGCTGAATCCAGCGCATAGGGATTGGTTAGATCATTCAAAGAAGGTGGACATGCTTGACGTTGTTGTTTCTTTCACCGTGTGGGCATTCGGTTTAGGAGATTCAAGGTCAGTTTTGATAGGCAAGATTTATATGATCATGTTGCCATGGGGTTTAAAGAAGTGAATTTCTATTCCCTTGGTCACTATGCCCCATATAGCTCTAGTAGTGACGGAGGCTCTGAGGACCATTCCTAAAATTAAGCCAGAAATATGGACTAAATTTCTGAGGTTTCTTGATTATCACCCACAAGACAGGGATAATGCCAAGGTTATCGGTAAAGCAATCCCTCCAATCAAACCCGCCAAGCTTGGCAAGAATAGTAGTGTCACCTAAGCAAAGAATGCCAAGCATCCGAAGAAAACTAACATACCTGTGCCCAGCCATCGTGGACATGGCCTTTTCCGTTGCAGTCTTACTTTTAACTCTAAAATTCATACGAATCGGCGTTTGAATGAGGTTGATTCATGTGATTGAATAATATCATTTTAACTAACGGGATAAAAAGGTTGAGATATTGCCAACAATTTTTAAGCAGCTTAAAAGTTATACCATACCCCCATTGTAACCTTTGCTCCTATGATACCCGAAGGCTTGTCTACTTTCTTGGATTCACTTTTATTTCCTGTACTCAAATCACTTTTATTTTTAATAATTTCCTCTGCAATAGTATGTTTAGTGAAGTAATACCTATTATAAAAAAATATATGTTAATTCCTATAACAAGAATAAAGTAATAAAAAAAGAAATTAAATTAATAATAAGAAAAATACGGATATTGAAAAGGTCATATAATTAAAAATTACCAACAATAAGATTATTTTCATGAAGTTGTTCAGGTATATACATCTTCCTTTTTTTTCACAAATGGTTAGTGGCATTAACGAGAATAACCATATATATTCTGTATCATTTCCTTTGTGAAAGTAGTTTCGTAGCATTCTCTTTTTCCTTCCTTTCGTGAAGCATCAACTAATTTTATTTTCTCTACTTTGTTACCTTGTCTTTTGCTGAAGAGGATTTTGATAACCCTGTTTAAAGTCGCGGATGGTGGTAATGGATTTCTTTTCATTTGTTTTTTTTATTTCAAAGGTTTAGGTACATAATAAGAGTAAACTAAAATATCTGTTACAATTCAACTACTGATTATATTTTCAAGATTCGAATAGTTGGGATATATGAATAATACAAAATAGCCATAAATTAACTCACTGAAAGTGAAAACATATTTTGAAAACCTAATGACAAACATGAATATTTACATATATTAATCTGCATCGATATTATTTGTTAAAATAAGAAGTTCATCCAAATTGACAGAGTGAAATCTGAAATGAAGTAGGCCTATAACTTCCTAAGTAATGATCAGTTTTAGTGAGGCTTGAAAAAGCTCACTTCAATACCTGTGTCAATCACAACATAAACCCCTGCTGCTATTAGTACAACGCTAAGAACAGTGCCTGAGAGCCCCAGTCCCCAATTCAGCCACCACATTAGGCTATACTTCTTAGGCTTCTTAATTTTTAGCCACATAAAACATGGATAAGCAAAGGTCACTGGCACTGCAATTCCTCCTATCAAACCTGCTAGACTGCCCAAGAAAGGGATTGCCACTGCCACGAAAAAGCAACCGTATCCGAACATAGCTCTGAACACTGACCGGAGCCACCATGGACATGGCTTATTCTTCCTTTTGGTGTACTTCGATTCCATGTCATCGAACATCGGCATCCCATAGATTTGGAATGAGCTTATAGCATTGATTATGACAAATAAACTTGTTAATGCAAGGATAGCTTGTGAAGTGTGTCGTCCGTGGTACTGATAAATTGCCGCTAACATTCCACCATTTGCAGGTATCTGAAATTGAGGGACAGCATAAAATTGATTAAGCAGTATGTATAGTCTGTCCCAGTTACCTTAAATTTATTCTTGGTTGGTGCTGAGAAAACGAAAATAGAGCATGAATTTTAATATACGAGGCCGCATATATACCTTGTGACCGTAAGCCCAATATCCTCCAATTGCGAGGGGAAACAGGCACATTGCAATGATCGAATATGCAACTTTAACCCCTCTCCACATTGGTATCTTAGATGGTTTCTTTTCAGTGGATGGCATGGTCGCCTGTGTCCAAGGAAAGTCAAATCATCAAGGAAAGCCTTTTGGCTGATAGAGATATAAAAATAAAAGCAGCAACCTCTTGATTTTGTCAGAGAAAAAGTCCTATATTAGTAACTATTTGGCTCTCTTTCCTTTTACCAAGCATTTTTATATCTCCTTACACTGCCAACAAATGACTGAAAGTGGCAACCGTTTTCCCAATTTCTATTTCCTAATGTATATTCAAGTATTAATAAAAACGATTCTAAAATAACTAATCACCGAAAGACATTAATTCTTCGGACAAAGAGGGACCACGGCAATTTTTTACGAGGAATGTTCTGTCGAAGCACAGTAAACATAAAAGTTAAATTGAGGAAGAGTTGATGTTTGATAAGGAGTTGAATCCCACTTCACAAACAGCTCAATTTAATATCATTCATAGAAGGAAATTTAATTACTTTTTTGGATATTTATTAACTAAAAGTTTCTTCACGAGAAGGAGTTAAATTTTGTTTTGTAATTGTTAGTAGCTGAATCCAGCGTTAGTTGTCGCTTGATAAGTGGGTAACCAAGTAACAGGTCCAGAATTTAAGTCCCACGATTTTTTTCCAAGAGGCTTAGACGGACCGAACCCTTAAGCATAGTCCAATACGGGCTTGGCTGGTATGGACCCTTTGAATGAAGGGGTTTCCATAGAAATCGGTTGGTCCTCCTAGTCGTCTTCTTTTGACCGAAAGAAAAGGAGAGGAAAAATTGCAAAGGAAAAGAAACCATGGTGTACCTGTATTTCAAGCGTAAGATTGTGGCCTCTAAAAGCAAAAGCGATGATCCCCAGGGCATTTAGAACGCTGAAAATCATAGCGATGTTGTCTTCTTCTTTAATTGGGTCGTAAGACACCCCATCTAGCCTTCCCTCAGTGACAGAAATCATCCACATCATCGTACAGTAGCCAATGGCAGTGACAGCACCGACCAGAGAGACACCAGCTATGGAATTCAAGTTGGGTAGCTGGGAAAGGACGACTGCTGCACACGTAAACACTAAATACCACTCCACTGTCGTCAACGGCTTCGCAGAGCAATGCCCACAAACAATTTGAAAGAAAAGCCTCATAGTTGAACCACCGACGATGATGAGGGCAACGCATGTGCCTCCTGATAAATACATGATTGGAAACAGGGCGAAGAGCTTGCCCATTTTCTCACCTGTATAAGGGGAATGCGTCAGGATATGAAAATTTGATAATGTATATATATAGAAATAAATACAACTATAAAAACTCTTTTTGAGAATTTGATATCAACCTATTTCTTAAAGGAACTCAGATTTAGTTTTGGAGTTCTTTTTTTCACTTAAATTTCAGCTGGTTGTATAATTCTGCTTAGGTAAGTTTGGAAATGAGTTTTGAGTTTGGATGGTGATTACGCCAAGCGTGAGCTATAACACGCTCGTGTGCCCAAAAGGGAAAAAAAGGTTTTGCCACTGCTCATTTTTTTTTTTTTTATTTTGCCCTTGCCCTTTTTCCCATGTTAAACCAAAAGAACCCTAAACTAGTTTTAACACCACAGAAGTGGAGAACATGTTTAGTATTAGTAAAGAAATAAAACGTCCTCTACAAATAAGTCAACTGTTAGGGGATAAGGTCACTTTAAGGGCACGGGATGAAGTATCTTTATACTCTGTCATCACATGCGTGATATGCAACAAATTGCAGTAAAAAGTATTGGAGGAAAATGACTAAGAAGATATACTGACCAAAAGTAGCACTGAAGAGTTGGAGATATCTGCTATACCGCATCCCAGTTTCCTCGGATTCATGTAGCTTGACCAATACCCAGAGCGTGTAAAGCTGCCATATGAAAGCCACTGTCAAGCTTATTATTCCCCATGTCCTGCAGCCCAAGCACATTAAAAGAAGAAATCATTTTTAACATTAAAGCTATCGATGTCAAATATGCAGACGAAACTCTAAGTTACATGTACTCGCCACTAGTTCAGCTTCTTGATGAATGCTTATATAGCCAGTTGCGTGTTAAAATGCAATATAAGAAGAGAAAGCATACCACCCAAGAATGGTGAAGGCCACTGGAAGAACAAGGGCTTGAATTCCAATTCCGGAGCAAAGAGTGTGAAAGGCAGCATAGTAGGCATTACCATTTCTTGACTCGGTGATGGGAAGCCATGCATCATGAGGATCAAGCTTGGTGAGTTGGATAGCCTTCCTAATTGGAGTGCCCAAGGGGGTGAGGAAGTTGGGAGCTTGGGATAATTTTTGGGTTCTGTTTGCTGCACTTTCATCATGTTCTGCTGATAGCAACAGAGGGTTTCTTGACAAAGAAGGTGAATTGTACTGCATCTGCATAGGAGGGGCCTGTGCCTCAGAATCTATCCCATGCCTTGGAGGAGGAATGGCAGAACCGTCTTCAACTACTTCACTCATCTTTTTCTCTTCTAATTAAGTCTTCACCCACACAACAGATAGGCCAACGACTAATTTATAGTCGTTTCATGCAAAATAGGTTAAAAGCTCGAAAACATGTAAGAAAAGGAAAGGCCGTCACTCTTATTAACATTTATTTGTGGTAAACAAAGTTCCAGTAGACAACTTTTATTGACCGGCACTCATTTAACCGGCTGGTTTTCCAAGTTCTTTCTTTTCGAGCACCCATTTTTTTTTTAAATATTTCATGAAGGTTTTTAATGCTACTAGTTTTTTAAGCGCTTCATTTGTTGAATTTCTCTTCCTCTTGACTTGGACCAAGTTTGTTATGACCAACTAATTTATCTTTTTTATTCTTTAAAGCAGCGTATCAATTTCACTGTTCATCATTTTATATTGAGTTTATATTTGATATATTATCAATATATAAATTTTATATATTATCAATAAATCAGATAATGATAATTCATTAATAAAGTGAATCAAATAATTATTACTTATTAATGAGTAAATTTTTTTAAAAAAATTTAATTTTTATGTATTTATTTTAAAGATTGATATTTATTCATTAATAAAATATTATCATCTGATTTATTGATAGGATATAAAATTTATATACTGATAATATATTAAATATAAACTCTTTTGTGTTTATGTACACAAAGCGTAACTTTTTTCACCTCATATCTCATATTTTCTTTTCTTTTCTTTTCTTTTTTGAATTTGAGTTTTAAATCAAACTAAAATTAAATATGTTAGAATATGTATATGAATGTTATTATCAAGAGTGTCTTTAAAGATGACAATTAATTTTTTGAACAATGATTTAATTGAAAATGAAATATTGAAAATTTAAGTAAGTTTGCAATTGATGATCCAAGGATATATTTTTTATTTGAACAGATCAATGGATATATTTATCCTTTAAAATTATGAAAACTATTAATAACGAAATGAGTGTTTGCTCCAAAAGATTTGAAGGTAATAAATTACACATGAAAGGTTCTTATGAAAAAGATTGTATAAAATTGTTACTCTGTATCAGTATGTCTATTTTATTAAAATCATATCATATAATTATATTATTAAAAAAATATTTATTACATACATCTCATTCAATAATTAAATGATAAATATTTACGTTAATAAACTTGAATATGTAAGATATAATGAATGATTAAATTGTTTTAAAAATGTAAATTTTGACATGATTTGAATAGCAAAAACGTATGTTCATCTATAATAATTGTTTTATACAATATTTTATTTTATTTTATTTTATAATGTCAAAATTGATTAGAAAGTCAAAATTCTTTATTTCGCAATTTGGTAAGGCATTTCATAACCATTTAAACCAGTAATACAATTTAAAACAAAAATGAAAAGTTTGACCTAGTAAAATGTTCATCAAATATTAAAGGAGTTTCTAGATGGCAATTCTTTATTATAAAATATTATTTTTCGTTTCAATCATTTTCCTCTCCATCGGACTTTCCCACCATTTGCCTGAAGAATTTATTGCATACACTTCAGCGCGTCTAGGATTACTTGAACGTTTTCTAAATTTGGTGCCAATTTTGAAATTATGACATTATCTCTTGGAAATTTTACACACCGCATTGACTTTGTTTTGCTCTTCCTACTTTCTTCAATTTTGAAATCTTTTCTCACGTTAGGCATGCCCCGATCAAAGACTATCCAAGTAGAAGTATAGATGGTATCGGATTGGATTGAAATGAATTTTTGTTTATTTTAAATTCGATTTAATTATATATATAATATTTAAATTTAATTTGATTCGATTTTTTTAATTTTTTATATTCAAATTCGATCTGATTTGATATTATTTAAAATCATATTTGATTCAATTTTAAAATTAATAAAATATTTTTTTAATATAAAATAATATTTTTTAAATATAAATATCAAATTAAATAAATATTAATATTAAATTAATTAAAAAATAATATATATCTAATCAAGTAAAGTTAAATTTATCTAAAATCTGACTCTGACTAAATTTTATTTTATTTTTTATCACTTGACCCAACTCTGATCTAATATCTAATATATTTTTAAAAATTCAATCTTAAAAAATTAAATTAAATCAAAACTCCTTAAATACGAGTTAAACTGCTCTTCTCAAGTAAAAGGGCCCTTACGTTAACAGTTTATTGGAGAATCCGTGGCTTTCTTATATGGGTTCACTCTGATTTGCTCCCTTCATCTCGAAGCTTTGAAAAAGAGCACTGCAACTATTTCCTCTTCCCACCGGGTTGGACCAAAAAATATAATATAAGGATGCCCTTAATTAGCTAGTATTTTAGGACGAAATTTCTTTGATGTGGCCGTGCACCTATAATAATAACTAATTAAAAACTATCATAATCTTGATCTGAGCAATATATTTATTATATATGTGAGCAATATTGGTGTGTTTTATATTCATACATTATTCAGAGGTTTTTTTAGTAAGTCTATGATCAACAATTGAGACTTGAGGTGGGTTTGAAAAGGATTAAAGTCAAATCTATACCCATAAAAATCAAACTAGTTAAGTGAATTTTAAAATTGAAATTAAATATCTCGTGAATTGCAGTTCTATACCAACCCAGCCTTGGATAAAATTATATGATACTTAAATTTGGACGAAGAAGTTGCCAATGGATCTTCACAAAAAGCACACAGCTGCCAATGTGACCAAACTGGATATTGAACATTCTCAACCCACATTCAAGTTGAAATCAGTATCAGATTATCAGAAGTTCCTGAAGAAATATCTACATGCATCCAGCTTAATTAATTTGCAGTGGGGCCATGCAAATGTTATTCTTTAAAATCTTTTACCATACAATATAATGTATGTATGTAACATACTTGTAAAAAGAAGCTTTTGTTCATTCAAAAGCAAAAAAAAAAAAAAAAAAAAAGAGAGAGAGGAAGAAGAAGAGTACATTAGCTCCCACATCGTCTTCTCTATCCATCTCACCTTCCGAGAAATGTTTCTAACCGCGGCCTAACATATAGCTTCTTCATGGATTTTTTTTTTCCTGCCAAACAAGCTCTAAATCAAACACAAAAGTAACTTCTAATTGAAGTACAAAACCATCCAAGGCGAATTAATTATCAGAATTTCCACATTTTTTGGTGCTTAATTAATTTCCTCTTTTTATTAAGCATGGACACATTTATGCTAAAAGGGAGCAATTGCAAACCAAAATTTATTTTTCATGGTGGCTTGACACCAATTTAATGTTAGGCCTAAAGCAATAAACACAATAATATAGAAATAATATATCGTAATAAACTCACAGTAATAGATAATAATCAACAATGTAAAAAAAAACACATCAAGATTTACATGAAAAATTCTCTAGTATAGAGGAAAAAAATCACGGATTATAAAAAAATCTTCACTATCAAATAATAGATGTACAAAGTTCTTCTCTAACTAAAACTAAAGTTAATTAATAACTAAAGAGATAATTGAAAAAATTCATCGAATAGGTGACTCAACAAATACACCATGGATTTGTTCCTAGAGAGCTTTAGATCTGATTTTTACTATTCAAAATATAAAACTCTGAATCATAAACTTGCTTACAAAATTTTAATTCAATCGGACTAAGGATCAATTTTTGTTAAACCGACTCTCCCTTCTCCATTTTCTCTCTATTTTTTTTTTTGTTTTTCTTTTTTCTCTTGGTTTTGGTGCCACCACATTCTATTTCTCTATTACACAACCCCCTTTTTATTGTTTAAAGCTTTATATAAATAAGGTTCTCTTAGGTCAAAGACAAAAAAAAAAAACTTTAGGCATTGGCCAAAACCAATGGGGTTGGATCCCACTCTTCCTAATAATCTCCCCCTCTAGTCTCATTAGAAGGAGATTTATCATCATAGTAGTTTCATTTGAAACTTACCTTAGCCAAAGAACTCATTTCGATCAAGTTACGGTAGAGCTCAAGCTTTTTCTTAAGAAGTATATTAGTCAACATATCTGCTACATTCTTATTAGTGTAGATTTTCTTCAATAGCATCTGCTATTACTTAATCACCGAATGTAACTAGTGATATCTAACATTAATATACTTCATTTTAATATGGTACATGACGTTTTTACTCAAATCTAAAGTATTTTGGCTATTACAAAATATCACATACGCTTTCTGATTTAACCTCAATTTAAGAAGAAAATATTTCATCCAAATCATTTCTTTACCTACTTCAATTGCTACAATAGACTCAGCCTTCGTAGTTGATAAGGTAATACACTTTTATAACTTAGACTGCCAAGAAACAACTCATCCTGTAAACATGAACAAATATCATGAAGTATATTTTTTATCATCAATGTCACCTACCATATCAACATCAATAAATCATTTTATCCACTCAAGCACATTTTTTAAGCGCCCCTCAAATAACTGAAAATCTTTTTCACTACTTTTCAGTGAACTTTTCTCGAATTAAAAGAATTTGCTCACTACACCAACTGCCTGGGCAATGTCAGACTGTATTCAAACTATAAGATACATTAAAAATTGACTACAAAAGAATAAGAAATACTAGACATAGTTAGTTGTTTTTTCTTAGTCAACAGACAAGATTTCTTACTCAGATGAAAATAATTGACAAGTTGATTACTAACTAATTTAGCATGTTGTATATTGAATCTATTAAACACCCATTTAACATATTTTTCTTGTGATAATCATAATTTTTTAGCTCTCTTATCTCGGATAATGTCTATACTGAGAATCTGCTTTGCTGGACCTAAATTCTTTATGTTAAAGCTTTAGACAATTGTTTTTTCAACCTACAAACCATACCAATATCTGTTTCCAAAATCAACATATCATTAACATATAATAAGAGAATAATGAAGTTACCATAAAAAAATTTTTTGACACACACACAAGAATCCGCTACCGTTCTTTTATAGCGTGACTCATCATAAAAGAATCAAACTTTTTGTACCACTATTATGGAGCTTCTTTCAAGTCATACAAGCTTTTTTTCATTTTGTAAACTAAGTGCTCTTTTTCTTTCACTTTAAAACTCTCAAGCTCATTCATATAAATATCCTCCTGCAAGAATGCAGTTTTGACATCAAGTTACGTAAGCTAAAGATTCAAACTAACTGCTAATCCTAGTATTACTCGAATGAAACTCATTTTCATAATTGGAGAAAAGATCACATCAAAATTGATGCCTAATTTCTGAGAAAAACTTTTTATCACCAATCAAGCTTTGTACCTCACTAGTTTGTCACCATTATTTTTCAACTTGAATATCCATTTATTCTTTAACGGCTTTTTTTCTTTTCAAAGTTTAATAAGATCATATGTACTATTTTTTTATAACAACTCGACATTTTCTTTAATTATTTTTAAATGGTGCTTTCTATCCAAAGTAGTCTACACATTTTGAAAGCTCTATGGCTTTTCATCACTAGTAACTAAAATAAAATTTAAACTTAGATACCTGGTACATGGTCTGTGCTCTCTAGTAGATCTCTTAGGCTAAAACTCTATACCACCTGATGTCAAAGGTAACTCTCTCTGCTCAACACTCTCTGGTCAAAAAGACTACACACCTTGCTCAACACTCTTTGATGGCAAAAATTGCTCACCTTGTTTAACACTCTCAGGTAGAGAGGATTGCTCTCCCTAGTCAAAACTAATTGCATCTGACTTATCACTAACTATGGCTGGCTCATAATATCATCAAGTTCTATTTCTTATTCATTCACTGTCTGTGACTCTTTCCTGTGAAACCTCTGTTGGTGTTGAAACATTACACTAAACAGTAACTCCTATAGTCTTCTTATTTATTTTGAGGTCTGTTATGATTTTTTTTTATGAAAGACTACATATTTGATTCTGACTTTTTTTCTCTTCATTGAATCTCATATCCTACAACTAAATTTCTTATCACTATATCCTACAAACACATATTGTGTTACTTTACTATCAAGCTTTGACTTCTGCTTTTTCAACACATGCATGAGTGCTTTACACCAAAAAAGTTTCAAGTGAAATATAAAATATCTTTTCCTGTCCACATTCTTTCTGAAGTGTCAAAGTCGAAAGGAACTGATGGTGATCTGTTAAGCAAATAGCAAGCTGTGTTGACTGCTTCATCCCAGAATGGCTTTGATAATTTTACCATCCTCAACATACATCTGATTTTTTTCACAATTATGTGGTTCATCCTTTCAGCTATACATCATTATGCTATGGTGTTCTAAGTTCTATCATTTCATGCATGATCCCATACTTTGAACAGTATTTTTTAAAGTTTTTATATGTGTATTCTTCATTATTATCAGTCTGAATATACTTTAAGGGCAGCCCTATTATCCTTTCCATCATGGCATAAAATTTTTGAAAATACTGCAATACCTGACTTTTATTTTTTAACATATACACCCAAATCTACGTGAAAGATCATCAATAAAAGTAATAAAATACCTGCTATCAATCAATAACTCAACCTCAATAAGACCACATATGTTAGAATGAATCAATTTCAATTTATTTTCTTTTTGTTGAGAACTCTTAAGAAAATAAACTCTATGATGCTTGCCAAACAAACAATGATCACATGAATCGAGAGACATACCTTTGATCAATGGAATGAGGGATTGCCTTGCCCACACTTATAATCCCTTCTCACTCATGTGTGCTAGCTTTTTGTGCCACAAGTTTGCTGAAGCATCATTTTCAATGACATTTATCTGGTTGTCATTTAATTGCATCTATGTTTTATATATTGTGTAGCATAATTTTTCTCCTGTAACTACTATAAATCTTTTGAGAAGTTTTCACTGTTTATTTTTTTGTCGACTATCATATCTTTTCTCATCAAGGATATTAATAACAAGCAAGTCAATTCTCATATCTGAAATGTATCTAACATTTCTCAAAGTTAACATGCAGCCCGTACTAATTTGTACAATACTATCATAAATCTCAACAATCTGTGACACACTTTTATTTTTTATCTTGGTATAACTAAAGTCTTTTACTTTGTAAGTTATAAACAATTACTTCTTAAGAACACAATGATATGTTGCTCCTGTGTCAACTATCCACTTAATGCTAAGATCACCAACATAATTACAATCACCATGTGTACAAGTCAAAGTAACTGAATCACTATTTGAATTTACTGCTACAACATTGTCAACATCTAAACTTTTACCTTTTTTATTTTTTCGCTCTTGCTTCAAGATTTTGCGGTATCGCTTTATATGACTTGCTTTACCATAATGAAAGTATTTCACTTTATCTCTGGACTTAAATCTATGTTTAGACTTACTACGACCTTTTGAGTTCTAACCTCTATCAATGTTTATACCCTTATTCTTTATGACCAAAGTTTGATTCCTAGGGTCTAAATCTTTTCGCTTTGCTTTTTCATTAAGCATATTATCTTTTACCATCTCCAATGTCACATTATAATCAGGAGCTGAATTAAGAACAGTCACAACTAGAGTTTTTCAACTGTCTGACAATGAACCCAAAAAAAATAACACATTTATTTTATCATCCATTTTAAGCTCTATAGTAGTCATCCAATTAAATATATCTTGAAAATCACTAACGTACTCTGTAATCAATCGTCCATCATTGTACTATAAAGTTACAAGCTTTTTAACAAGTATAACTTTATTTATACATGTTTTTCTCTTATACAATGTTACCAATTTTTTTCAAACAATGTAAGCATCTGTCTCCTGCATTACATAATGAAACACACTGATATCAACCTATTTTTTAATTGGAACCAACGTTGTTTTGCCTAACTTCTTGTAATTTTCATATTTCTTATCTACTGATTTCACTGAATCACTCAATACTAGCTCATACAAATCTTTGCAATATAAATGATCTTTCATTATAAGCTTTCAAATTGAATAATTTGATGCTGTCAATTTTATCATGAAATCTGTATCACACTTCATGATCTCAAATAAAATTTACTTCTGTCTTTGGTTGTTTTTGTATCGATATCTTAAAATAACCTTTATTTTGATACCACTTGTTAGGCATGAAGCAATAAACATAATAATGCAAAAGTAATATGTTACAATAAATCTACAGTAATAGACAACAATCAACAACGCATAAAAAATAAAGTACCTTAAGATTTATGTGAAAAATCCTGCAGTGTAAAAGAAAAAAAAATCACAAACCACCAAAAAAATCTCCACTATCAAATATTGGATATACAAAATTCTTTTCTAGCTAAAAATAAAGCTAATCAACAGCTAAAAAGATAATTGAAGAAATGTCACCAAATAGGTGACTCAATAAATACATTATAAATTTGTTCCTAGAGAGCTTCAAACTCAATCTTCACCATTCAGAATGTAAAACTCTAAATCATTAATCTGCTGACAAAATTTTAACTCAATCGAACTACAGATCGACTTTTATTAAATCAACTCTTCCTTTTTCTTTTTCTCTCTATTATTTTTGGCTTTGCTTCTTTCACTTAGTTTATGTTTCTCTATTACACAGCCCCTTTTTATTGTTTAAGGCTTTATATAAGTAGGCTTCTTTTATGTCAATGACAAAAAAAAAAAACTTTAAGCCTTTTAATTGGTCAAAACTAATGAGGTTGGATCCCATTCTTCGTAACACTTAACTGTTCATAAGCAATTATGGAATATTGATGCAAGGCAAACAATGCCTTCTTCATCCTTACATAGACACGGCTTTGAACCAAAGAGATGACATGCTCCAATACCCCTGTGTAGCATGGAAAAGTAATTGGGCCATCTTGGCAATCCGAACTCATCCTCTGACAATCTAAATTTCTAAAGAGCTCTCTGAAAACATTGGTATAGAGATATGCAAAGGTACAACGAAAAGTCTCTCATCCAAAGAGTAGACAACAAAATGGCCTGCCCTTGCTAAATTGCGGTTTATCCTGGGGAGTGATAAAGTTCTTCTTCCAATGTTAGCCATCGTTTTCCACTTCCTTGCAAGGGCGATAGAGTTTCTCCATGCTGATCATTGGAATAAGCAATTTAAGCAAACCGCAGCACTGACAGTTAAAAGAATAATGGTCAGTTTTTTTTGGTTTTGTAAACAGAAACTGATAAGAACAACACTGCCACAGAACTATAATCTATATATATATATATATATATATATTTGCTTCTTTTGCAGAAAGCAATCGAAGTTAGAGTTTCAACAAAAACCATGTGCTGATTGGATAGAAGAGATGGATTTGGACGTGGATTTGTTTTGGATTTTGCTGAGCATGTTGTGAGGGTCCTAACAATCCACATGGATTTCACATAATTGCGATTCAAGATATAAAAGGGCGCAGCGTCCAGGCTGCATGGAGTTCACTTTTAATATGCATCTGAAAAATAATTAAATTTGAACTTTCAAAAACTATTATAATATGTATTTCGGCTTAATAATTTAATTTTTAACAACTTGAACTACTAACTGTAAAATATTATTTTTCACATTTGTAAGGATAATATAACTCTCTTGAAGCACCATCAATAACAGAAACCCAATCCATTCGTAACAATCTGGCCACTTAATGCTGTGAGGCCCAACCAGCCGAATGCCTTGGAAAAAAAGGTATATACAAAGGAACTAATCCGAACTTCGAAGCTAGGCCCTTGCATTAAATTGAAAGTCATAGCTTCTAAAGCAATGGTTAATATATTTACAAAATTGATTTTTCATCTTATAGTCCGTAAACATTTGTTTCTCAACTCCAGCCGATTGCATAAAATTTTTAATTTTATTTCCTTTAAATTTTTTTGGGCTTGCGTTTCAATAATTCGTTTTGTGGAATCCGTGAGAATAAGGACCCAAAAGCCCAATATCAAAACTAGTTCAGGATCCAACCCAGAACATAGAACAGTCGGGCCCTTAGTTGTGCTTGATGATCAATTTCTCATCCGACAATTGGGAATCAAAGCAACCGGCAATCAAGTCATCAACTTCACAGTCGAGTCGAGCCAGAAGAAATTCAGCATCGAACATTTGGACCATTTCTGGTGATTTAGGGTTTAGTGACAGAGAGAAAGAGAGATGGGAGGAGGCCATGAAAGGAGCACAACTTATAAAGGTGTAACTTTGCATCACCCAAAGAGATGGCATGTAGTCACCGGCAAGGGCTTGTGCGCTATCATGTGGTAATCTTTTTTTTTTCCCTTTTCTTCTTTACTTTGAATTAATCTGAATCTTGATTTTTTATCTTACGTATCAATATTCAATATTCTCTTTAAAGTGCCTAATTGTATAAAACACGCTTAATTATAATCCCGATCCGCGAGGTTTGCTTTATTTGATTTAGTTTATTAAATGATGCTGTTAAGCTAAGTCATTGAGGAAATTGGGTGCAATTTCAATTAGCACAGTTGAATAAGAAGTCATGGATATGCCTTGAAATTGGAAAGTTAATTTCTTGAGTACTGGGGGTTTTAGCTGAAAAATATAGTACAGTAAGGCCTTGAATTTGGACGAAATTAATTGGATTCTCAGAGTTTTCATTTTTTTGCTTGCATATTCTCAGAGGGTTTTATGTCTTAGGTTTCACTTGTCTGCCTGGTTAGGATGGAAATTTTTTAATTAAGGATTATGTATATTTTCGGTTGTGTTTTTGCTCCGAGTTTATCTTTTCTGTATTATACTTCTGATCAATAGATAATAACTAGAGAAGTTTCTTCCAAACATTGATAAAGATGATGCGGAAATGCTGGTGGATATTATGCTGAATTTTCTATATTATATTTCTGATGAATAGAATATAATTCAAAATTTGATGTTTCAGGTTTTGGGTGTTGTACAGAGCTAAACAAGATGGTCCTGTAGTATTGGTAAGAAGTAGTACCTCTGTTCAACTTTCTTCATGATCAGCGTTCAGCCCTTATTTGCAGTAACTTCCTTTCATGCTTGGGCTGAATTTTTTCATGTGTCTCTTAGGGTTGGCGACACCCTTGGGAGGGCCATGATGAACATTCTCACGACCATGGAGACAAACATTAGGTACTGTTTTTCTTTTCGTGTGATTGCTTAACCTGACTTGTTTGGCTTCCTTTTTTTTTTTGTTATAATCATGCATTTATGAGTGGTTAATCAAACACAAGTAGAAGGGGGCCATTTATTCTTGATGATAGAAAACTTTATTTTTGTTTTTTCTGTAATAGGAGATTGTTATAGAAAACTTGTTTTTTGTTCTTCTGTACTAGGAGTTTATTATGAAATCCAATGGGTCGTTGCATTAAGATATATGACTATCAATTTTGTGATTTAAGTCCATATAACTTGAAGGCATTATGGTCTCTTATACTGGGCATGTAATTGATGGCATTTGCATATTTATGCATAAGGATCATCATTAAAACAAGAATAGAGAAGCGACAAACAGAGGACTTGCATAGGCATTATTAGATATTTAGTTAGTCCTTAATTTTTTATGTTTGCCTATTCTGTCACATAGTTAGGAGGTCTTATGATGTTAATGTTCATTTGATTTGCTGGCTAATTGTCATACTTTTGCCCCCATATCATGTGTTTGTTGCCAATTAAGATGTGCATACAGCTCGTTGCAGTACTCTTCTTAACCTCTTGTTTAGATAATATTTACATTCGTATTGTAAGAATGCAGTATGACATGAAAGGAACTAACAGTGTTTGGCTGCAGCCTGAAGAAGATTATCTGATTAGGCGTTGCTGGTGCAGAAGCTGGTTTGAATGTCTTCTGTTAATTTCTTCTGTTTCAATAAAGTGATTGTGAAAAGGGATTGTAGCATAATGAGATGAAAAATGAGACTCCATTTTGACATTATGGTTTTTTTTCTTTGTAAGCATGGATTTTCTTGATCGATGAATGTGTTTTTTGTGTACCTCTTTATTCAGCTGAATGTAGATTTAGGCTTAGTTGAAGTATTCATGATATTAACCTATCCTCCTAAATTACTGTGCCTTAACACAACAGCTGGAACCTCTTCTAACCCTCCTTCCCAACTCATATCTCCTTCGCTCCAAACATTTTTCCTACACTCTTACAACAAATGGCACAGAGCAATATTCTCCACTTACCAGATGGTAACCTTATCATCACCGATCAACTGCTATGGATCTCAATATTGAAGCTAACCAGGCATTATGTCTCAGTATGTAGGTCTGACTGTGATTTGATGTACTCATTATCTAGAAAGCAAGTTACTTGTCCGCTCAGACGATGGCTTGTCAATTATGGATATTGTTGTTTAAACACATTCTGTTACCTAGAATGAACTTGCAGACGGCACTCATATGTTAACGCTTACTTGATCCAGCTCAAAGTGTGACGAGACTTAACCTCTCTTTGATGGGTTACGTGAGAACGCCAATTTTGGTGACTAATGTAACATCAAAATGGAGCTGATCTTGATCGAGTCTTGATAAATTAAAGATTCAGATTTGAAAGTTATGGGAGTTAAATTAAAGATTTTGAGCCACCAAACTACGAAGGATACACATAACAATTCTAATTTAAACTGCCTATATTTGATACTAAGTTCCGTAAAAAAGTTAGTCAAATTTTTTATTCATTCCCGTAAAAAGGTAGATCACCCGACCTTACCTATTGATTGTTCTAAAGAATTGAGATTAAACAATTGGATTCTTCAATAGTTGTCATTGCCCGACTGTCTCAACTTAATTCAAGCAGCAGGTCTTACGCTGGTTTGTTCAAAGAACACTCTACAAACGGAAAATGTTAAACTTGGATTCCATATAACGAGATCCATATCGCCTTGTAATGCTCGTTTTGGGGAAACAGGACTGAACCTCTTACGTTTTTTTTTTTTTTTTCCTCATCCTTCCTTTATGGTCAGCACGAGTTGTTTGATAGTGGTCTCATCGACGCTGTCATCACATAATTGTTTTGTTGGGCACCCAACGGGGCCTTCTCCACACCATATTCTAAGCAACTATGTTGGATGCTTTGGCTGCTATATCGCTAGCTAGACATGTGCCATCAATTATCGATTTATACAATGTCAATCAAACATCGTTACGTGCAAACTTAATTTGTCTTGTTGTTTAAGATAGTCGCATGCTTTAATCACTGCTGGAAGCGCAGAAGGAGATTTCTGAAATGAGAGAATCTAGCTGTTAGAAATTTTATTGTGAGTTCAACATTACGCAATTGAGAAGAAAAGTTTATTGTCCAACTAGACAGTCAGCATTCACATGGCAATGAAAAAAAAAAAAAAGAAACAAAGAATATCAGAAAATTGAAAAAAAGAAAAAAAAGAGACGTGCAGCTGGATATTTTATGTTCTCCCATTTCTTTAAAGTTTTATCGATTGATTAATGAACATTATGCTATTTTACAAATTGCATGCGTCAGAGAAATGGAAAGAAATTACATTTTAAAATTCTGAGACCCTAAATTCAAGTTTTATTGTCTAGTTATATTTTAATTTGTTATTGAATTATTTAATGATTATAACTTTGTTAAGAAGTAATAAAATTGATTATATGAATATAATTCTTGATTATAATTGTATCCTCTATATCTTTTCTTTTGTAATGGTACCATTCAAAGTTAAAAGTAAGCTCTTAATATTTGACTTAACTATACAAATTAAGTTATAAACTTCAGCAATGCTTGTGATTGGTTTCCTGTTGTGCTTAATTCAGAAGGGCCTGCGATGGTTAACAGTTTTATTATCCAACTTAATATTCGAACAGAAATTATATTTTGGTCATATTTAACGGCTTCGTAATCTAAATATTAAACAGATAGATATACATTGAACACTAAATTAAATTGGATTTTGAATATTAATTAACATGATAAGATTTTGACAAATTGATATTTAACTTTTTGAAAATGTGATTATAACAGAAATTTAATCTAGATAGTTTTCTTTTAGCTTAGATTTCCAATTAATATAGAAGTCCTGCTAAATAGATAACGATCAAACTGAAAAAAAAAAATGAAATTTGCAATTAATTAAGAATCAAAGAATACAAAAACTGTTGGTTATTCAATAACTAAACCTGGCTATATATCTACCAAGCTTTAGGATGACAACTGAGTGAGCAAACCGTAAAAACAATGATTGCCAACCTTGGGTCAATTGCCACGGGAAAAGAATAGTTATTTAAGGGTATAGTCTTAATTAGTTCGTAAGTATGTTGAGACGTAGAACTCTAGTCTGGATCAAACGTCTAAACATGCACTCTACCTCGGCTTCAAGATCATCAATCGTTATTTCCACTGCCTCCAATCTTTTATTCGCGCTTTGAATTGCCATGTCATCGCTTATATCATAAAAGCTCTGGCAACTCGATCGCATGAACTTTGATGCGAAACACCCTTTAGCTGATTTCCTATCCAACCAGGGAATAGAAATGAGGGACAGTAGCGATTCCACCACAGATATAGCTGTCACTCTCACTTCTCTTAGCACCTCGACAACCTTCAACAGATTATCGTCAATAGGTGATATGTCAGAAGTGATAGACATGTTTCTCATCCCTTTTAGCAAGTGCAAACACTTGAGGGTCTCTTTCTTTAGTTGCTTTGCATATCGGTTGTAAACTTCAATTTTGGTTCCAATATCGGCCTCATCGGTGCTTACTCTGCGCAAAGTGAATTGCAGGTCTTGTTCATGTTCCTTGACAAGCAAAAGAACATCTCTGGAAATGCCACAATCATCCAACATTCTCAGTGATGATTCTTAGACTTGATGAACCCATTTTTCTTGCCCCTGGAGAACAAGCGCCCGCTTGATTATTGGTGAGTGAAGGAGGTCATTAGCGGAATTATGTAAGTCTCGAAGAGCATTGAAATTCAGGTTTGCCATCGTCGAAGACAAAGAAATAAACAAGAACCAATGGAGTCTCTCTGAGTAGAATTTGAGTACGTGGGGATTCAGGCTGATGGGGCCATGGAGGCCAATAAAGTCTTGACCATGGCTTTATATTGATTCTATAAAAAACCAACTTATCCTAAATTTGATCTCAGATCTCGAGGAAAAGGACTATAAAGTATCCATCGGAGTACGGATATGGGACAAATGATGACAGCTAATTAGGGGCCAAATGTGTCTGCAGGAACTTTTCACATGAGATAGAGAAAAGTAAGGCATCTCAAAGTTGTTAAGATAATGTTGTTGGATGTTGGTGACATCGACTGATAGCCTGATATATTAGAAAAGAAAGCATGCAGGATGCTAGCTTGCGTTCAATTCTAAAAAGGCATGCAGAGACAAATGGGATTAAACAAGTATTAATATAGTACTAGTGTTTTTGTATGTTTTCTCTTAATTTCTGGCAAGAACCTGCGCATTGTTCTGTTTTCTCTCAACACAACACAATCTGAATTAAGATTCACAGTCCCGGTGAGGAACTTCCAAGAAATTTTTGTGAAGGTTCCTATACTTCAGTACTCAAGAGAATGTAATATTAATTTAGTAGGAAGAAATGAAGTGGATTATAGTTTACTAACAATATTTCATGATTGGGACTGATCCTATCTAATTAAGCCCATTGTTGCTGCCATGCATCAAGATGACATTCCAAAGGCTAAGATGGCAAATATGAAAACTCACTGCAATTCTATAGCTAGGTTTTCTGAATTACCGTTATGCTTTGCAGATTGCTTAGCGGTTAACTCAAGCTTATCTAATAATTGCTATACTTCAAAAAAAAAAAAAAGAACAAATCGAGTTCGATTTGGGTTTCTAAACATGCCCAAATTTTATAAATAGAATCAATATAAAAATAGTAAAAACGTATAAAGATACTCCTTATATACTAGTAGTTATATATATTATTAAGCATAGAAATTTATAAAGATATAATTAATGTTTAAATAAAGAGAAATTATTCCAGCCGAGCTCGATCGGATTTGGAAATTTTTGTCTCAACCGGGCTTAAAATTTAATTGAGCCCACGCTGAGTATCAGATAGAGAGCTAGTGCTGTCAAAGCCCCATCCACATGTTCCTCGAGTTAGGAGAAATGAGTGGGCTCCCCTGCTATTGTGAGTTGACGTTATGCACAAGTACTTAAGCTGTGCACAATTTTCTTTTGGGCCAAGTGACCTTCTAATTAAGTTAATCACTAATTGTTACCCCCAGCCCATATGTTATATACATGCATTTAATTTTATCAAAAAAAAAAAAAAATCGGTATCACTGTTTCTTCTGCAGTAAATTAATATAATCATTGATAAATCAGGTGAAAAGTAAATTATTGATGAGAAAGGGGACAGCATGCATGCAGTACTTCAACAGTTTCAGATTTCGACATAATGCTGTAGATCATGAAAACCGGTTTCATGTGTCGGCAGTTTAATTATGGTTTTAAAGTGTTTGATGGCAATTTAAATAAACTCTGCTGTTAGTAGGTCTTTAACTCTTACTAATCTGAATCATTCATTTTAATTATGGTTTTAAAGTGTTGCACGCCTGTGTGTAGTGGCTTTCAGTATTGACCCAGCTATGCACTTCCGCTAAAAATTTGTTCAAGATTAAGCAAATGACTAGTAGTACTCCTTTATTAATTCGTGATGACGATTTTTGGTTTTGCTTTAAGCTATATAACCACTGATATATGCAGGCAGATAACTTGGCTCTACCACAGTATTTTCTGATTTCTTCCTGAATACTGATGTTAAATTTCTCATCTCAGCTCTATGAGAAATATAAATATATGCTCGATTTGCACAAGAAAACAAGGAATAAACAGAAAAGAAAAAGAAAGCTTAATTACAAGGGTTACAAAGCATAAATATAAGGTTATAATATCATTAAAATACCCGAATATTTTTGTCATTCTGACTTTTTTGGGTCATTTCAGCTCAAGGAAAGGTGGGAATGCATCTTTTCAGTACTGTTTTCTTTCCTGTAGGCCAGAACCGGAGGAGAATGTTAACCTATTTGCCAAGTACACATTATCCTTATAACAATGTTTTAGTTGCAAACTTTAAATTCCCTTCCAGAACTCGAAAGCTTCCTCCAGGAAGTCCAATTCTTGGCTACTTTTTTTAACTTCCAAGAAGGTTAAATATCAAATAAAAAATCAATTTAGACAAAATTTTACATGTTGGTCGGTCTAAATTAAAATACTGTAAAAACTTAAAAGAGTATAGGCGCCCGCACTAGAGCGTTGCCTGCGCTGCTGTAATCAAGCCAGCCTGTATCCACCTTTGCCTATGACTTGTCACTTGTTTAGAGCCATCTTTACCGACCAAAAAGCTTAATATAACAACTTTTCAGCGACTACAACCTTTGAGGAAGATCAGAGTGAGAAAGGCAAGATGGCCTGGGGACCTGGAAAAAGTTTTAAAAAAATTCTACTTCAACTATTTTGATGAAAAAAAAAAATCTACTACTTTACTTTATTCGGTTGTAATGCAACCGGGAATCAATAGGGTTCAAGTAAAGGTCGTTTTCCTGTCAAGAAATTCTCGGAAATGTCGTAAACGTGAAAAAAAAAAAAACAGAGCTAGGTGTCCAACGAATGAAGACGTAAGATTTGAGAATTGATCCTAATTATTAACGGCCTAACACCTTCAAAAAGATAACATGACATATCAAATTTTTTTTCATGAAGTCATCTTGTGATTTAAAAGCTTGAAGATCAGTGTCTGTTAGAAAACCAAAAACCTTAGTCATGAGAGAATTTGTAACTTGCTTACAATTACTTGACGCGAAGAGTTAAAGATATAGGTAAGATGTGAGTTATTTGGAAAGAATTAAGAAAGAAAATTGTTGACAAATTCTGAAAACTAAGCTAGGGGAGAAGAATAATTAATTACTGTAATCTTTTTCTGTCCTTTTGACCCTTTGAACGAAGCGGTGGTTAACCATGGAAATTTAAGGAATTAATATTCCTTAAATCTGAATGTGTTGGTTGTTAGGGTGGAGCCCTGGTGATGCTGAAGCTGTGGAAGGAAGAAAATGGAACGGTGGGTCCAAGCCACGATTGACTGAGTGGCTCCAAAAGTTGAAAATCATGTTAAGGATAAGACTTCTCATCAGACCTTTTTCTGTTTAATTCTTCGAACTATAAATTCAACTGGAGAAACTTTTTATTTTTTGGTTGAATTAAGAAAATGACAACTACGCTACTTTTTTCTTATAAAAATTAATTCTCCCATGTGGATTAATACTGCTTCGCTTTGAAATTTTTTTGGATTCTTATTCATATTTGTCGGTTAAGATAATTAAATTAATTAAGGCATTAATTATTTTTCATTCCCATAAAGGAACAAAAATTCGATTTAATTTGTCAAAAGCAATTAAGCAGCCAGTTTAATTGATACTGGTTTCAAATAATTATGCAGGAAGGAAATCAAACAATAGCTCCTAGGGCTAGCTATACAAAAAAGAATTTGTCGGTTGTAAAGTTGCGCACGGATAACCAAGCGTATCTTATCTTTTGCACGTGTGGCAATAATGTTTCGTTCTCGTAGGCTACCAGTTGACGCTTGAAAGAGAGGCCTCTCTAGCATTAAAAAAAGCCTAAGGTCAATTTTGGAGATAACAAATGGGCCTCCGATTTGTCAGCTTCCGGCTTCCCTCCCACCTGGCGGCCACCCACGTCAATCTCACGGCGGGACCCTTTGCCTATATATTACTACCCGTCGGCTCGCACAACCAAGCCTTAATTGGCGTCTCAATTTATTTGGTAAAAATAAATATTGTTTTTATTTTTTAACTTTAGTTATTCGTTGTTCATGGAGTACTCAAAACTTATTTTCGCATTCCTTGTCGGAATAAGATAACAAAAGATATATAGTCCGTACACAATGACTAAATAAAAGACATAGTCAATTTGGTGTCATGTGTTTTTGTTCATAGGCATGGCTTTAATATACGCTTAAGACAAAAATAATGGCAATACTTATTAGACTGGGCAATGTCCTTTTTCTGGTCAAATAATGGCCAATTATGCACAAATGTCGTAGTGTTCCAAGCATTTGATTTTTGGTGCCATGCTGTGCTGGGAAAAGGGAACTCGTACCACTGCTGGGAGGCGAGAGCTGTAACTGCCCACCCTGCATCTCTTTTTGCTTCTATTGCACTGTAATCTTGCCTGCATAAGCTATGTTGACTTCAATTACTTTAATTAATGAATAATTTCATGCTTAAATTTGCTTTTTTCTTTTCTTTCCGTGTGTTCTTTTCCTATGCTTATATGTCATTTATCATGGAATACTTTAATTAATTAACTTTTGTATTTATTATCCAAATTAAAGAAAATTTGCATCATTGTTTTGCAAATTTATTAGAGATGTTACCATTACGGACAAATTGTTAACCTGCTAATTACATGTTATAACTAATGTTGTCAAAAGATAAAATCATTTGTTATTACTTATAGTATTAAGTTTGAAATTGTTAAATTTTGGGATGATTTAAAATGAAAGCATTGTTCTTTTTTATTGAGAGAGAGAAAAAAAAAAGGATCAGCGAACTGATTATAAATGCAAACACCGTCTTTAAAAACTCATCATGGTGTAAATTTGGGTCTCGTTTGGTGCTGCATGAAAACTGAAAAGCAAAATGTTGTGCAACGTGAATGAAACCAGTGGATGAGAGCATCAGTAGCGGGGAAGACAAACAAATCCTGTCGGCGAATTTAGTAAAGCAAAATTTTCGGGGCTTTGAGCCCACGTGGCAGCACAGGATTCCACGCGTAATAAATCATCAGTACTACAATTTGGGGGATCTTATAAATGGTGTAGTTCTATGTTCCTCTTTTGGTATAGGGTCCTCCTTTTCTTTGCCTGAGGAATCTTTGAAAATACCCTTTACCATTTAGCCTTTAGGTTTAGGTTAAATCACTGAAAAAGAAAGAGCACTAAAAAAAATACACACCAAAAGGAGAGAAAAGAGAGATATGGAGGAGACTAAAGCAGTGAATTCCAGCAGGTTCAAAAGGGTTTGTGTCTTCTGTGGAAGCAGCTCCGGCAAGCGAAACTGCTATGGTGATGCTGCCCTTGAGCTGGGCAAAGAACTGGTATTCTCTTCTCCAATGCTTCTGCTTTCATTCTGTTTAGCTTGCTAACAACTTTTAACTATTAACTAAGCTCCTTCCTTGGGTTTAATTTCTCGGCTCAAGGTCTCCAGGAGGTTGGATCTTGTTTATGGAGGAGGAAGCGTCGGGTTAATGGGTTTGGTTTCTCAGGAGGTCCATCGAGGTGGAGGACATGTTTTAGGGTAAGACTACGAATACATATATTCCACGTATATATATATATATATATATATATATATTCCTGTTTGGAAAATGATTTTCTTCTCTATTTACTGAATTCCTTTCTTGTTAATTATATATATACTAGTATATATTCTGTTTGTTGACTTCTTTCTTTTATCAACAGGATTATCCCCAAAACTCTGATGAGCAAAGAGGTCTCTACTATCTTTCCTTTTTGGTTTTCTTGTTAATCTAAAGTCCCTTTAAGTATACGTCACTGAACCATGATGTGTACACAATATATGGTTTTGTTTTCATTAAACAGATAACTGGAGAAACAGTAGGAGAGGTCAAACCCGTTGCGGACATGCACCAAAGGAAAGCTGAGATGGCCCGCCACTCTGACTGTTTTATCGCCTTACCAGGTCTCTCTCTTAAAATCAACAATCTACTTAATTATTATGCTGTGCCTAGGTTTATTGTTTGGTTTCAATTAATCAGGTGGATATGGAACCCTTGAAGAGTTATTAGAAGTTATAACATGGGCCCAACTTGGAATCCACGACAAGCCTGTAAAGCCATTTCATGTCTCATCATGATGAACCTATTGACTTGAAACTGGTTTCTAATAGCATTCCAACTTTTATCTCTTTGTTTTTTTTTTTGGGTTTCAACAGGTTGGCTTGATTAATGTGGATGGCTACTATAATTATCTGCTCACCTTCTTAGACAAAGCCGTGGATGATGGCTTCATTAAGCCATCCCAACGTAATATCATTGTATCCGCTCCAACTGCAAGAGAACTTGTCCAAAAACTTGAGGTGGGTTTTCAAAGTTTCATAGTAAGCATATATCAAAAGTGATCAATTATTCAACTCTTGGGGTCCATTTTAGTTGTAAGTATTAGTATTTATTTATTGTATACATCTGCTCCGAAAACTTAGGATAGTGTTTTGTTTGAACAGGAATACGTGCCAATGCATGATGGAGTTGTTGCTAAGGCAAGGTGGGAGGCTGAACAATTGGATTTCAATTCATCTTTGCAGACTGAAATTGTTCGTTAATTAGAGAAAGAGGACAATGGCCTCTCTTTCAATTTTTTTTTTGGCTTTTTTATATTTTTTCCGATCAGCATATGCAATTAAGCATGCAACTTGCTAGGGTTTCTCCTTTCAAATTTTGTATGTACTGTATTACTCTAGATCTAGGATAGAAAGGAGAAAAATCTATGGGATGAGAAAGAAATTAAGCAAAAATGTTAGGTGGCTGTTACCTCCTTGTGTTAGATGAAAATAGCAAGTGGCAAGTCGTTTTTTTTTTTTTTTGGTCATGTGCTTACTCTGTAAAAGTTGCAATGAAACGAACACGAAGGACAAAAAAAAAAAAAACAGCTTTTTATTCTCTTTTCCATGCCTGCTTTTTTTTTTTTTTTGCTAACCCAAAGTAGGATTATTTATTAAGCAACCATAGAGCTTACAAAGATCAAGATCAGCAGTTAGGTCAGTAATGACAAAATATACAAAATCCACAAGCAAAAACCGAAAAGGGTAAATCATCTGAAAAAGAAACAAGACCTTAATCAGCCACCCTTGAAACAAACAAAATCAAAGAAGTGAAGCGAAAGGACACCGAAACACACCTTCAGAGCACTAACAATAACACTTGATAGAACATTTCTTTCTTCAAAACTTCAAATTTCAGAGCTTACCATGCCTGCTGTTTCTGCTCTACTGCTGTAGACACCCCTTTCTGACACTCTTCCTTGCAGTCTTTTGAGCTATTGTAGTTTGTAGGTAATGATTCAATTATGGAGTATACTCAATCTTTTTTTAATTTCATGTGCAGTCCTTAAAAAAAAAATGGACCCAAAACAAATTTTCTGCTCATCGCAGTGAATACTGAACGGTAACAGGGAAAGAGGAAGTTAATTGTTTAATTGGAATCTAATTCGATTTTCTTTTTAAATATTATATAATATTTTAAAATTTTAAATTTTGATTTGAATTTCAATTGAATCTTCGTTCTATTAAAATTGAATTAAATTAAATTTATTTTGTATGATTTATTTTAATTTATTAATATTTAAAATATTATATAATATTTTAAAATTTCAATCGATTTAAATTTAAATTAAATTTTTATTTAATTTAAATTGAATTAAATTAAATTTTATTAGTTTCATTCGATTTGATTTGTTAATTTTTAAATTTAAAATTTTATATATTATTTTAATATAAAATCTTAATATATTTAAATAAATTTTGATATAAAATTATTATTTTTATTTTATTAAAGTTTAAAAATATATAAATTAAATATATATATAATTTAATTTAATTTTTTTATTTTTTATTTAAATATAATTTAAATCTAATATATATAATATTTAAATCTAATCTGAATTAAAAAATATATATAATCAAATTAAATTAAATTCTACAATTTTAAATAAATTTCAAAATTTCTTAATTTTTGTTGGCAACTACTTCAGTCTACCAGGAATGGTCGATAAAAGCTTCGCAAAGCCATAAATCTTATGTATTTTCTTAGATAAAAGCAGGAATTGTATTTTCTAATTTTCCGCGTCTAAGTAAGGTGACTTTAATTTGATGGGAAAGGAAAACTGACAGGGAATGATGAGTGGCCTGACAATAGCTTCATTAATCATGGCGGCTTAACATAATGCGAAAGGACACGTTGAGTACGAGAATTAATTTCCAATTTTCAATTTCCTCTTGCACTATTTCTTTAGGAATTTCTGTGGCCTTTAATTGAGCATGCTATTTTGAATTTTCTCTTGCCTTTGTTTTGATTTTGAAAAGTTTAACCAAAAGAAACTAGTAGAACAGTATGTAGTAAGAGCCGGGGCGCCGGGGCAAGCACTTTGGGCATTTGAGACAAAGATATGTGGTATTGAGTCCTCCATACGTGATGGCATCATTTGGTGTTGGGTACCATTTCACGCGTTCCTTATCCCAACTCTGGCTTATCTAACTCAGCAATCAACCTCGCCAGTCCCTTCTTGTACGCGTAAACTTTTCCATGTCAGATATTTTGAACTGTCTCTATCATCATCATGCGGCCCGTTTCGTTTTTATTTATCCATTCCCTCTCGCTCTTAGTCACTGAACTAATTTGACATTTAAAAACCCCCCGTAAGGTAGCACTAAAATGTTTACTATTATGATCAGTTGCCTGCATGATTGGGCGAGACCATATCATGGATCACATATAATGTAGCTTTGGATTATTTGTTTTTTATAAATGTTTGCACCCAAATGATTACATTCATGTTATACATTTTTTTTATATATTGTTTTCTTTAAAATATAAAAAAAAAATCATCAACACTTATTGCTAAAGTTTGATAAATTTAAATTCTGATATTTTTAAATATAAAAAATATTGATGAATATAAACGTCAATGTAATTATCTTATTCTAATGTTGATTAATAAATACTATGGCAATTTTACCACCAAAACACCCCCCCTTAGTAGCGTAGAGGTCCACAAGTATGGTTAGAATGAGAAATTATTAATTAGGTAGGCCTTTTATACATATCATTCAATGGTCCGTCCATTAGTATTAGGCCATGTCAGCTATATTGTCCATTTCATATCTAACTAAGCCACATATGAGAGAAATTATTAGACGGTGTTAAACTTAACCAAAAAAAAAAAAATCAGAGTTAGAGTGAACAAGAGGAGGAAGATGTTTATTATCCAATCAATCAGAAAGGAAATCAATTCTATTGTTGTGCCGTTGAAGTCTTTTTCTCTCGTCTCTTTCTCAATTTTAAACATATAGATGCGACCTCCATAGATCTTTCTCTCTTTAGTTGCAAGATGTTTTTTTGAATGGATTCTGGGTTTTGTGAATGCGTTTGGGAAGAACTCCTTTATTCCATGAGGTCTGAGTTTAATAGTTGTCTAGTTGCACGACCAGGTATCTGTACTTTCGCTCATTGAATTGCAATTCAGTCTTGGTTTACGTTTATTTTTGTGTTTCTTTTTTATTAACCTCTAGTTAAGGTTTATCAATTAAACAATGCTCATTTTTTTCCCTTACATAATCGAATCTGAAGTGAACAAATACGTTAATATTGTATAATATTATTGGACACACAGATATTTTGTTTTCAGGGGATGTCTTATCGGATACATTTGAGGATCCAGCTAATCATGGAGATTCCATTAACTCCATATTTAATGGGCTCACGAATTTCTTCCCACCTCATACGTGGAACTCATCAACATTTATTAGACTGGACCTCGCGCCTCCAGTGCCTGCATTAAGGAACTCCAGATACAAAATGTCGTTATAAGAAAATACGTCCCCATCAGACAGAAAAGCGTTACTTCTTCTCCACACCCCACTTCCCCCAAACTGAAAATAACCGAACTCAATTTTTTCCATTAACATTGACCTTTGCATTGCAGGGTTGGATGTGGCCTGACCTGGCATGGTAGGGACTTTTGGACTTGGGAGAATTCCGCAAAGTATTTTCTATCGATTAATGAGCCGATGGTCCTTCTGGAAGTCACTGTCAATTGGGCCCAGTTGAGTTGCAATTACTTGTTTTGGGGCTTGTTTGGGCCCCTATAAAATTAAAGACGGTCGCGGTGAGCTAAGCCATGTTCGTCTAAACGCCTAAATTCGCAGTTATTTACCACATTCGTAAGTCGTAACCGACTTTGAATAATAGGCCAACGAAAGGAAAAGCAAGGCTGGCATCCAATTCCACTGTTCCAGGTCATTCTCATGCATTGATGAAATGCTTCAAGCTCTTCTGATAATCGTTGCTCATGTTGTCACTTTTCAATAGAACCACGGGATTTCCGTTTGTTAGGTTATTCGTCATTGTTTAGAACTTTTTCAGTGTTGGACCAATGGGCCACGGATCATATTCAAGCCCAAGAATCAATTAAACTCAAATGCCAATTATTTCTCACGGCCACGACCCCGACCCCGACCCCGTTTTTACTTTTTCTTTTTCCTGAAAATTTGGGATGGGAGGAAGGCTGGTGTTTGGGTAGGTCTAAAAAACAAGAATAGCGACACTTTTTTATTTTCGAATTGATGAATAAGTTTTTTTTAAATATCCATACTTTTAAGACAGCCACGTAAGAGTCATTTTGAAAGCTAAAACTGGTACCGGATATGCGTGTAACATCTCTCAATAGAATTGTAGAGTTCCACAGGGTTGAAGTCCTTTTTTTTAAAAAAAACTTTTAGTAGCAAATCTCTTTATTTCATTTTTTTTTTTAAATCTCCTTTTTGTTCGCCATCTTCGTTCTTCTTATTTTAGCTTGTTATGATTAGGATTTTGTTTTTTTATCTGCACTGTTTAACTGTTTAAAGTTCTCATATATTGGAAAAAACTTCAAAATCTACATTTTGATTTGATTATGACGTCAAACGATTACTGCGATTTGAATGGTGTCATGATTTGACTCTTCAACTAATTGCGTGTTCGAAGCTCCTTCTTCATCATTTTATTTCTGTACAAAATTTCACCACTTCTCGATTTTATTTTTGCTACACTCATATCTTTCAACGGTGAAGATCGTGAAGGTAGCATCAAACTTGGAAGCTTGAAAGTTGGAACCAATATGACTTGACGAATTACTTTGTCAACTGGGTAAGTGAGCTTAGTTTGAGAGCCTTAAACCCGGTTTTATTACTCTTCTTTTTTAAAATTTTAATTAGTGAAAAATTTTCTCTTTGAACTTCTACAATCTGATCCAGAGTTCCTTCGTTATACTTAAAATTAATCTCTCTCACAACGGGTCTATATGGGTAAGATCTGAAGTGAATTTGGTGAGTTTAGTGTTAGGCTTCGTTAGTCAATTAATTGACTTTTGTTTTTAGACATGGGTTAATCTCCTGTCAGCTCCTTTTTTGTAAAAAAAAGCCCCAAGATACTTCAAAGAAAGAGCTTTAATTTTTCAAATAAAATCCTCATAAAAAATTGATAATTTTTTTATTTTAGATAATCATTTTAAATTTTAATTAATTTAAAATTAAATTGAATCGAATTTCATAAAATGATAAATTTTTTAAAATTTATTTTTTTTATTTACAAAATTTAAAATCGATATCTTATTTTAAAATAATCAAATTTTTTATTACCTAAATCAATAAATATCGATAATAATTTAAAATATCTTTATGCCTCAATTGTCCAATTTGATTTATCTAAGTTTTTAGATCCAAAATCAAGCTCTATGAGAGCGATGCAGAAATACCGCTACTCGTTTTATATAAATATTTATATATATATTTATTTATTTATTTAAAGATTAGAGTTGGTAGCTCATTGATCTCTCTTATCTTGAAGTCGAGACTTCAGTCTTCACTTAAAAAACGTAAAAGAAATGTGAATTATAATAGCTCTTTGGAGAATTGCTGAAAACAACCCAAGTTGATCTTATTATATATATAGAGGAGAAAGAGATGACCATTAATCTCTATCCTTCCAAGCGTGCATTCGCTGTGAGTTCCCAGACAGCTCTAGAACTCCCTCGATTGTATAGAATTTATAAATTCCTGACAGAATATAAAATTGACGTACACAAATAAACTGCTCCATGGCTGAAAGATTAGATTTATTCATTCTGAATTTGGATCCAATGAATCGTGTGAAATACATAGAACTCCATGCTATAATGAAGTATCCTCATGCTTTAATATTCATGAACCTTTATGCACTCAAGTGATTGACCAAAATAATGTAGGTTGCTTAAGGAATTGCCTGTTGCTTGATTGGCGTTGGCCTGTCTGTGGGACAAATTTTTCAACTGCACACTTAGAAATATAAAATAAATATTTGCCCGAGTGAATTGTAACCATGTCTTCCGGATAGATTAAACCAGAACAGATATTTGTTCTTCTTATGCTTCGTGTTCGAATTGATCATGTGGCTAACATATAATACAACTCTCTGGTTGTTAATTCTCTAGCTGTAATTATGCAAATAGAATCTTGACGGCGGCCGTTGCGTCATCTGAATAAATCATGTCGTACCATCCATTTACAATTCATATTAATCTTTCCAAGCCAATACTCGTTGAATTGTTTTAAGCATCAACTATTCTTGCGTTTCACCTAAGTGACACTTGCTAATAATAACTCTTTGCATTCTCAATTGGTCAGCTATCTAGTTATTGCAGCCAGTCCCCGCTTCTGCCATGACAATAATCTGACTAATTACTTTTGCGTGGTTGATTTCAGTAGGTTAGGGATGAAATATAAGCACTCTTCCACGTTATTAAATGTCTTAACTTGAATGATCCCCCCACGTGCAGGAGGCAGAAAATTCCACTCTAGGAAAGAGGACAATGAGTCAGAATGAATGCTTAACAATCATCTGCTAGTTCAGATTCAGGGGTCTAAGGGATATCCCAGGAACGTAAAAGACATCACAGTTTCCTCCTACAATACTGGAAACAAGCGAGAATATTAAAAAAGAAATTCAATAAACAATAACTGCACAGTGATGTGAAATCGGGATAAGGGACAACTAGAAATCCAGCATTTCCTCAAAAGGAATTTAACAACAAATTACAAGTATAAGGTAACTAAATGAATCGCGTTCTAGACCAAAATTCACTAATCCGGGCCCCTTTGAATGTGCGAATAATTGGGGTTAGTTATTAGTTATTACCAATTCAAACGATTTCAATCAATCCAGTGTTAAAAAGGAAAGAAATTCAAACGTGAGACATGCCCACGAGTCAACAGCATCTTCCTATTGCTTGAAATGCTGGTGAGGTAAACATCCCGGCATTAGCCTTAGTCATCAAACATTTAGGTTGAATTTAGCTGCTTTGATCCGTTAGATAAACAGACTCCCCAATATTTGATAATGCTTTCCTCCCAACAAACTTCACCCCAAAGTTGCGATGTAACAAATTCATCCTGTTCCCATTCCATTCAGTTCACTTAACTGAAAGGTCTGCTTCCTTGTTATCAAGCCATAAAGACATAAGTAACTCGAGTCTGATTTATCACGCTGGAATTTGACCCTTATTAATGCATGAGATCCAAGATCTTTTGAATCGGGATCAAACAAAGCTGAGAAGCCCCAAAATGCCAGGTCAGGGTTCTCAAATAATTTATTCAAACTATCACTTTCCTCAGTATCATTATTAACTTTGCCAGTCAGAGCCAATGACCTCCACTTGGCCACTCTTAAGTATGTTAGCGGCCTCTCTCATTCCACTTAAAAAAGCTCCATGCATTGTGGCAGGATACTGCTTATTAGTTGCCTCACCTGCGGAGAAAACTCTGCCATCTCCAACACTCTCAGCAAGAATATCGTAATCATCCTCTGATGAACCAATAGCAACATAAGAGTAGGATCAATATGTGAAGCAATCTTTCCCCCACCGGGTACAAACAGCCTGAACAGCATCTGGACCAACAATCCCTTCTGGATGAAAAATGCCCCGCAATATGTTTAACACCCCTTTTTCACAGACTCAACAGGAGACATCATTTCAAACTTAATTGCTGCATCTCCAGCAACAAGATCAACAAGAAGTGCTCCTCCTGACACAGAAGAATAGCTATAAAACAAAAAGAACTCCCCTCTCATACTGGAGTCTTCTGTCAGGGGGCCAAAAGTATCAATCTCTCCACCCCAAAAATTGTATTGAAACAAATAGCAACCTTACTTAGCAACCCATATCCTAGTCTCTGAATAGCTTCCTTCTTTCTTTGGGGAAGCTCCGGAACAAATTCTATAGATCCCTTCTTGAGAACACCTAATGGAACAGTGCAAAGAGCCACATCCCCACGAAACTCCCGTCCACCAGCATAAACCCTAACCCCATCAATGCCATACCTGATACTCAGCACAATCCTCCCATAAAAAATGGGAAGGTCCTCAGCAAGTGCTCGAACAAACCTCTCATTTCCACCAGGTATAAAACAATGATCACCAACCATCTCATAGGGATCATCTTGATCCCAATATGCCATTGACAAAGCCATCAAGGAAGCATTAGCATATTCTAAATTCGCAAGACGTCAATTCAACAGCATCCTCTCCTGTGAATCCTCAGCTACCTTGTAAACATTCCTAAAAGCTAAGCTGCGGTCCCTAATGGAGCGTCAACTGATTTAACTTCCTCAATCATAGCATGCCCAAGCTTACAAACCCTATCCAATAACTTATTAAAAGAAACCTCTATTCTAGAATCAATATCAACATCTACTGCCCTTCCATCTGGCAAATACGAAGGGCAAATATCTCTCACCTTATGAAGAGGTAATCCCATTTGCCTTGCAAGAACCCCAAGTGGATTCCCATTTATTCCGGTGAGAACGCTCCCACCAAGATCCGCTGCAGCCACCACCCCATCACCATTCATCTTCCTCGTCTTCACAGGCCCGTCCTACCTTCCAAGACGACAACTTTAAACCCCATGGAAACTAATTGCCTCGCCGCAACCAAACCCGCGAGACCAGCACCCACAATCACCGCATTGGCTCTTTCCACACCATCAAATGAATTCATTTTCGCTTCTTTAACAGCCGGGGCTAAACCAAAATTAATGTAACCGTGTTCAAGAAGAAAATTGTATGCTGCGTCCACTAGATTTTTGTGCTTCGCTCGGATTGATTCGAGGGCATGATCACGCGTCAATCAGACAGAAACATTGGATCTCCAGCGAGCGAGAATGTGGTTTCTTACAACGACACAGTTAGCTTGCTCTTGGCCTCCAATTCTGGACACTGCATTGGCTTCGATTTCCTCTTCAGTAAGAGAATCAACAGGGAAACCCACTGAGATTGTGATTAAAGCTTCAGTGTCCATTTCTTTAGCGAGGCCTGATATTCTAGGGCGACGGTTCTTCGTGAAGGATGGGTTGGCGTTCAGTTCAGTTCAGTTAAGAAACGCTTTCTGCGACGGCGTCTACGAACAGGTGGGCCAGGTTCGCTGGGGTTTGCAAAAGTGTTTCGGGGTTGTTCGTCGGGGACGGGGTCAGAGCATTCATCTTGGGAATCCGAAATAGGGGGGGTTGAGTGTCGTATTGGGGTTTTCTTGATCTTTCGAGTTGGTGTTTTCCGGGGAGGAGTTGTCGTCGGAAACGACATCGTTAGGGTTCTCGGAGGTGTCCTGGGGTGGCTCGATTTTTGGGTTCCAAGATAGTTTTCACGAGAGTATGGTTTTGAGCATTCGGTGGTAAACTGTGAATTGAACAAAAATAAATAATAAATGATGTACAGTTGTTGCCTTGAGCCCCTGACTGCCGCCAGGAGTTCGTTTTACTTATATACCTACCTATGACTATGAAATCCTGATATTCGGTAAGGCCCAATATTCGAGTGTAGAGACAACCCCATAGTTTCAGGAGATCACCATTGCCCAGTGTTAACAGATCTCAGTCTGTTGGCCCAACTGGAAACGACATTAACTAATGCTTATTCTCCTCTTCTTCGGGCTGGTTTGTGAAATATATTATTCTGGCAGCACAGATTTATTGCTGTGCTGTCATTGTCGCATTTTGTCAAGCATAACTTGTATACTTCACTGAGAGGTTAATTGGCAGCTTAGTTTTCTATTTTTGGGTGTTTTTCTCACAACATTTCTATAAGTAGGGCCACAAGAAAAAAAAAAAAAAAACCCCATCATTAACAAAATCAATTATTTCATTAAAATCACAACAAAAAAATAAAAAAAGAGGTGATGGCAGTGCCAATAGGACTGTCGCTGCAAAACGGGCCCCTCCCTTACTCGATAACACATGCCATATTTGGTCGGAATTCACAACTCAATTTTCCATTACACATTAATCTCACATGATTGGTTACAGCAATTGATCTAGCCCCTTACAAAAGAATATTACAGACCACAACTTGGGACTTCTCAAGATCATTTCCCAACCCGTTGCCTTTTTTCCTCTAGGGCAGCAGCTTCATTCAACATGTCAGCTGCATCCTCGTGCATGTCAAGCTTGGCAAGGGCCACGGCCTGCATGTAAAATGCTGTCGACCACTCAGGGTAGACACATTGCGCTTGCATTGCATCTCGGAGGGCAGCATCTGGTTGATCACAGAGAAGATGACAAAGACTTCTTCGTGCGTATACAGTTGGAGAAACCATGGTTCCAACATCTATGAACTGCAAAGAAAACGGATGAAATTAACCAACCACTACTGCATAAAAATGCTATCGTTTTTTTTTTTTTGTCCTTTTGCCGATTATCTATTGAGCTGACAAAAACTGCTCCAATCTGAAGCATACGAAGCAATAAGGATCTCAAATTTCCAATTTGCTTACTCATTTCATCAAAACTTAAAGATTTCCCTACCTTCACTTTTCTATTGAGCAAAAATCCCCAGGGTCCAACTGATAAAATACCAGAAGCACCATAAAGTTAATTAACTGGGTCAACAGACCCTAGGTCTTTTGGGACCAAAAGATTGCTGTGCATGAATGTCATCTCTTCATCCCAGTAGAAATGGAATGTATACCTGAGAATAACACTCTACAGCAGTTTTAAAATCTTTGTCACGAAATGCTACATCTCCACGCTTTCTTGCCTCCAACATATCTCTCATTTGTTGAGTCCACTCTTGAAAGGATAGCTGAACCAGTCCATATCAAAAGGGATTTAGCAGCACATAATAGATAGGCATCCACAAACCTATATTTGTACAATCCAATTACCTCATTTGTTCCTTCATCATCTTTGTAATGTGTCATTACAAAAATTTGATGGATAGCTGTGAGATCCATCCGTGAACAGGCATCACCCATCGGAGACAGAGGGTGCTGAGGAGTAGGAGGTCCCTCCTCATGCTTGGGAATTCCCAACATCACATAAGATGGAACCTGCAAATGAAGACTCAAGATACTCAGAGTCTGATAAAAAAACAAATTCTAATATTTCATAAGAACATAACTGCAATTGCAAACAAGATGTCCTTAAATGCTCCATCCAATAAGGAAAGATGAGGCAATTTGGAGGGAGAGTGAAGGAGTATGAAAGACAGCTCACATCAGGTTTATTTTGCAATGGGGTAAGTGTGGTCACAAGATCTTTGGTACTTGGCCGCTCCCTTGGTTCATATTGCAAACATTGTGAGGCAAGATCAAAGACCACCGTTGCCTCTTCAGTAGAAAAGTTTCCCTCTAGGTGTGAATCCATTAAGAGAAGAATATTTCTGCCTCGTATCATATCAAGAGCCTGCATACAAATAAAATATGAATAAAGAAAAGAGAGGAAAAAGTAAAGAAAGGAAAAATCATAAGCGACAAAAATGATATTTTTATCCCTTATTCTTCAAGAAGAATTTCATAAATAAATCAGTTGGAGTCATCATATCCAAGAATTGAATGATGTATCATCAAAACAAAGCCAAATGCATGTAGATCATCCAAGAGAAATCACAAATCCTTGGTATCCATATATCCAACACTTTCAAATAAGAACCTCATTTTAAATGACTATTCAATTTTCCTGTTAGCTTTCTCATTCTAGGTTTAAACACCACAATTATATACAGCTCAAATAGTGGAATCATGCCATTATGTAGGTACATTACAATTTTCCGAGCATATAAAGAGTACTTAAAGGATAATTACTTACATGACTTGGAGGAATGTGCTTTCCACTGAGAAGATCCAAAAGGACAGTTCCAAAGCTGAATATAACACTTTCAGGAGTAACCCTTCCTAGAGCATGGACGTTAATAAGTTAATCAAATCAGAGTCAATCATTCAAGCCAAGAACAATTGCCATACAAATAATCCATGGTGAAAATTATCAGTCCTAGAAACTTCGAAGCTAACAATCAAATTTTCATGATAGAGATAGTACACTTTATCTTCACAAATTATGATTAATGCATTATGATCATCTATACATATCTGAGATGGAGGAAACTTTTACTGCCCTCAAACTTGCAATCAATCCCAACCATGTCAAAGCTAGCTACTTTAGCAAAAGAAAAAGAAGATCCATTGGTGGTCTAACATCTCCAGCATCATAAACTCTCCACCTCTTCCCCATATTTGGTAAAGATGAATTGATGGCAGTTATTCTCAGATAATCTATCAAGAGCAAGTTTAAACATGTTTCATTCATTTGCAAAACAGACGCATCATCACATGTAATTTGACAGAGATCACTCACTACAGGTGTTTGAAAAAAGTCCGTTTATGTAGTTTTGTATACAATTCTGTCAAGGCTCCTCCACTCTATCTTAGAGAAAATATGAATGATAAAACAAATCTAACTATTTCAAAACAATTGACTAAATGACTAAGTTTTAGATATAGACATACACGTTAAAAGATAATAAAATGTGAAGGAAGATTGTTTTATTTTTCCTAATGAGAGTGAAGAAATAAATCAAATAATAAAGAGTTAAAAGCCGTTACCATTTCTTAAATACTCAGGAGGCGTATATGCAAGATTGGTACTGTAACTTTTCCCATCCCTACTGTTCTTCATCAAGCCAAAACATGAAAGTCTAGGATCACCATTCTGCCAAAACCATTAACAAAATTATCAATTCACTCCATAAAAGATCAAAACAAATACCAAAACCTACAAAATAGGGATTTCTTGCAACACCTCATCAAAGAGAACCCTATATGCATTCAAATCATGGTACAATGGACGACCTTCACTACTGCAATAATCTAATGCTTCAGCTATATATAAAGCAACTCTCAATCGCATGACCCACTCGATAGTCTGGTTCTCCCCTGTCAAGCAAGAATAAAAACTGAAATTATCTTCAAGCCAAAAATAAAAACATGAAAAGGAAAGAGTAAACCCAAAATTATGCTTCCATCAGTCCATGGGACAATATGGCGAAGACAATGTAATGTCCTTCGCAATATAAGATAATATCACGCAGGATCTAACTGGTTGAGATTCAATTAGGTGGAAACAAAATTAATGAAACACATCAATAAACATCCAATCCCGTTAGGTCAGAGGAAGTAATAATTGCACTTAAATGGAATTAAATTTAATTTGTTTTTGCTAAAAAAAAAAAGACATGGCAGCTTAAATTGGAACATACAGTGAAATAAATGCTTTGCAAGGGTATCATTGGGCATGTATTCAGCAACAAGCAATCTCTCGTCACCATCACAGCAATACCCAATCAAATTGGCCACTCTCTTATGTCTCAGCTTTCCAACACCCCACGCTTCATCCTTTAATGATAGGCAAAAAAAATTTAAAAAAAAAAAAGAAGAAGAAGAATATCAGAAGAATTGAGACCCTATAAATGGAAATGATTCGATTATTTGGGGAAAAAAAAAGAAAGATAGAAAAACGTACGGCGAATTGTTTTGGATCGGGCCAGGCTAATTTGGTGAATTTCTTGATGGTGATCCAACGGCGATTATCGTCGTTTTGGAGGCGACCTTTGTAGACCAAATTGGGGGCCGTTTCGCCGCTTTCCGATACGATGAAATCGGAGCTGAAGTTGTTGGTGGCCGCCTTAAGCTCAGCAAAGGAGAACTCCGAGAAATCAGGGACGCCCCAGGCACCATCACCAAGGGAACCCGTTCCGTTGGACGTTTGGGGAGGGGCGTAATTGGTCTGAGTGATATGGTAGTTGTTGCTGTTGTGGTGGTGGTTGTGATTGGCTTTGGAGTGTGAGTCGCGTCCTCTCAGAAAGGAAGATTCGCAGCAGCCCATAACTCAGGGAAGAGTTGAATCAGACGACTAACATATAACCATAGAGATTCCTCTTTGTTCTTTTTGTTTTTTTAATTTATACTTCCGTTTTTATTTAATTAATAATCGAAGAGGGGCGGGTGATTGGGAAGAAACTTTTGAAGTTTTGAGAATCGGAGGTTTGCCTGCGTGTGTGTGAGAGAGAGAGCGAGAGAGATCTAAAGAGTGAGAAGCTGCGGCGGCTTTCTCTTGCTTCTCATTGCTTACCTTTCGTTCTCCCTTTCTCTCTCCATCGTCTCTTACTGCCCGTTCTGCACTGACAGAACCTTGGTCTCCCTCTCTCTTCGTTTTTTTTTTTCTTTTATAATTTCTACTGCTATTGAATTGTTCATTTGACGTGCTTGAAGGGTGTTTTTGTCCTTATGAGCACCGCTACACGACCAAGTACTAACGTCTCATTTTTCTTTCTCGAGATATTTTGGACTTCCGTTCTGTTCTTTCTTCCCCTACCAGACGCTACGCTACTCCTTTTTTTTTTCTTATTTTTCTAACAAATTATTTAATATACTATAAATAAAAAATTTAAACTCTTATCATCAATTGACATATATTTTAAAAAATATTTTATTGCTTGAACAAATAGTAAACAACTAATATTTTATTGCGTCAGCGAGTTTTTTCTTTAATGAGAACGAAAGAAAACGACGGCATAAAACTTTTCTATATTGAAATAAACTAAAAAAAAAAAAAAAGAAGAGAAAAATTATTGGTAAACTTTTTTTCAATATTTGAAATCGTTCACAATAAATAAATGGAAATTAATGAATTTTAGCCTCATAAAAATTCTATAAAGTTTCAAATTTAGATAGCTAATATGAGTGTACTTTAGTTAAATAAAAGAAATTAAATTTTTACTCACCTACCGAGTTTATTGTCACTTGCCCATATAACAATTATATATATATTCTTTTCTAAATATAACTGAATCGATATGTGGTATAATCCTTTAAGTAAAAATTAAAAGCCTTAATTAAAAGTTAAATACTTTATCAACCAATTACTTGTATATTGAGAATATTCGAAGAATATTGATTCTATCTTAATCAATTATTGGATGTTTACGGATCAAATTGTATCATTATACAATTTTTCAAATCCAACTAAAATGATTAAGAATAATTTAAATTTTATTGTGTTAAAAATTTATTTTTACATTCATTATGTTATTTTTATCAAATTCAAGATGGGATAATGCATTAATTATAATTTATTTTTAAAAAATAAATACATTAGCTAGTGTTATTAACATTCTCTGATATTTATATTATGGTATGTTAAAATTAAATAATTTTATATGTTAGTGAAAGTTTTGGAACTAATCACAGAGATTTGGAAACAAATCATTAGATTTATTGTGTTTATTAAGGAAGGAGGCGACGTGTGGTGAGCCATTGGTTGTATGATGAATCCGATAAAGGGAGATGCAGACTGAAGCGTACGAGTTGAAGGTGGGTGAGTTTTGGGGCCTTTCTTTCGGGTTCGCAATGACATCAGTATCGCCTTCAACAAAAGCTTACGCCAGCGATACGGTTATTCCGCTTTCCTTTCAACGTTGTTACAATTTCTATCAATGTCCTTCTCAATAAACCCATCTTATCTTAAATTAATTTTAAAAATAAAGCCAGAATAAGTCTTCTTTTTTTTTTTTTTTACTTTTAAGCAGTTCAGAGAAGGTTCTTCAACTGGTGACTGAGAATGAACCTGTTAAGAACGTAGTTTATATATACTATAATTATTGCATTGTTTTAGGAATGTAATTCTAGTGTGTGTATATATTTTAAAGAAAGGGGGAGGTAGGGAGTGAAATTCTAGTTTTTCCAGCTGTCAGAATGCCTTCAAGATTATTTCCGATTATCCGCTAAAAAAAGTGAAGCTAAACATTAAAAAAAAAAAAAACACTAATGACCATATATGAAAATTTTAGATTAATTTGAGAAGACGAAAATGCTGCTTCCAGCAAAGTGGGAAAAGAACATAGAAATAGAAAGGCTTTTACGGGCATGCCGGAGAGAGAGACCATATGGAGAACTGAAGTAGCAGAAAGCAGCGAACGATGGAGACAACCACAGAATATGAAGGCTGGCAATTTTTATTTTTCTGGTAAACCGACATTTTGACACTTGCATTTACCCCCGCAACCGAAAAAAACTTGTGGAATTTGCTTTTTTTTTTTTTTTTGGGCAAATGATATTTAAGCAAAGTCAAAATGTATGGGTCTCAATCCCTATCAACTTTCCTGGTTGCAATTTGATTAACTCTATTTCCTCTTTCCTTTTCGGCCACATCATGTAGCTTAGCTTGGATATTTCCTAAGGTAGGATATGCATAATCATAAACCGCATGCATGGATTGAAAACGCTTGCCCTTTCCTTTCCACCACTTTTCAATTATAAGCAAACTCAAGTATTTATATGTATTCAGTTTCAATTCGTCAATACTAATCTGAAAAATGTTTTGAAACCTCACCTGGCAGGCGGGGGAATTTCTTTTCAGTGTTATGACTGGAAATTTGACTTCGATGAAGTACCAAACTACCAACCTCCCTGCAACAGTTCAACTCTAATCATCTAATTGCTGAACCAGCTTATTTAAACAATGAAGGCCGAAAACTAATGCATTAAAGAATAATAAAATTAATATTATGCTGGCAAGCAGACAGTGCAGCTGATGTCAAAAATCGCTACCACGCCAAAGCACTTTGGTAAATTCCGAGATAAAATACAATCAAGCATATACGAGGAATTAGCACCCTATATATATGAATACGACACTTAAAACTATATATAACAGTGCCAAATTTGGTTCTTTCAGCAGCTTGGACCCTTGGCAGCTTTGAAACGATAAACCTGCAGCTTATGACCATAAGGATGCTTTTATCATATCTTGCTAAACCCAAATTCAGAAAGACAGATTGGGGGAAGATGCCTACGGACCATGACTTTTCCAATTCAATTCGTTGACTTTCAGCAAGGGAAGGCAATAGCCAAGTATCCTGAGCATTCAGAACCATTAGGCTCAACCAGGTTTAAATCAACCAGACATAGATTGTACAGAAGTGAGATGTCATCACAAGGAAATTTACCATAGTTATCCCCAGGCAAAACCGAAAATGAATTGACTTCTTTCAACTAATAATAATTAAAGCTGCATAACTAAGCAATTTAGAAGCCGGCCCTATACCTTAACCATGATAAGGACATTCGGGGTTATCTTGAATGGCCATGCCCTCTTCAATGCATTCATGAAGCTCCTCATAAGCTTGCCTCGAAAGGATAGCAAGCTTCTCCATTGCCGAGAAAATCTGCTTTAGATCGTATTGAAAACTAGTAGCATCCCTAATATCACTACGACCTGTGGTATCTCTAGGTAGAAGGACAGAACTTTCTTCCTTTGCCTGCAGGGTCATCTTTTTCACTCGAGCTTGCATCATTTTTTGCATCTTTTGCTCCTCCTTTTCCAAGATCTTTACTTTTCTTTCCATATCCTTATCAGCAATAATCCTTTGTTGCAGATCTGCATTATGCTGTTCCAGCACTTGGTTTATGCTCATTGAAAGTCCATGCACCGCTTCAAACAATTCCTTATCCGACAGTCTATCCATGGCTTCCAACCACCGGTAAATGATCACAAATATGGGGGGTGCTCCGCATCTACCATGAGAGAAAGGCGATACACCATTTCCTGTTTCCTCGGGTTCATATAGGAGACATCTTCGTAGCCAACCATTCAACGATTTGACATAACCCCTCTGGGCTGCAATCCACCTAGAGAAGCTATGGCTCCAGTTTTGAAGCTCAAACTTTAGTTTTATTGCCACCTCAAAATGAGCATCATTAAGCCTTCCATTCAGAGCAATAACATCCAAACATTTGGCTTCCATAACCTTTTGAGACTGACAGCTATGGCATTCTAGCATTACCTTCCACATTTCAAATAATCTAAAACAAGAAAATCGCAGTTAGCCATTTTTCTTTAACCAACTTCAGAAAATCAAGCATTGCATTGTCACTTCAGAAATGAAAAAAAAAAAAAGGAAAAAAGAAAAGACTAAGAATCATTTGATCTCCAGAATTTGCTTTATTTTCCCCCATCCCACTTCCCAGTTTAGTTCCCTATGAGACTGATTTCCCTAATCCTGATTGTCAACATTAACTTAAGACTTTGTGATGCCTTCACAGAATCTAAGGTTTCTCTTCAAACTCAAAAGTGTCCATTATCAGGTCATTTTCTTGGTTATCAGTGACTGCACTTATTCCCAATATCCTAACCATAAACTGCAGTCTCTACAGAAGCTATTGAGAGCTTAAATATATAATTAGTGAGAGAATATACATTTGTTATGATAAACAATTCAGTTAAAAGTATATTTAGGGGAATAGATGGGTAGTTGCAAAAGCCTCCTAATGTAAATTCAAGTTAAACCAAATCTAATTATTTTCTCTTTTGTAAAATTTTAGTGTCCAGCCCATATTTGTTAATAATGAACGTTTATTCCCTTATTCTTTAAAATTCTTCTATATCACCGTTTTCCTTCTTCAAACAAATGGAAAAATAGGTGCTCTGTTCTTGCAAGAGATCAACCACCATTCTCCTTCCTAATTTATAATCTATTACAAGTGAATATAATACCAGCAGCTGAGGTTTAGGTCTTCTAGTTATGATCTTGAGATTTGCACAACATAAAACAGAGTAGTTTTTACTGGACTGACAACGTACCTGTGAATCAGTTCACTGATCTGTGGCCACAACTCTTCGTCCATCAGCCTATTTATAGTAATCGCTATCTTGTCAATAACTTCAATTGCAACTCTCATCTTAGTAGATAAGGCCCTAATTAAAGTTCGCTTGGAGTCAACTCTGCGAGCATCAGCACCCTTCTGATCCAAGCTTTTCATCTGCCTACACTTCTTTGCATGAATTATACGCAGCTTCTCCTCAGCCTTCAAAATATAAGTAAACAAGGCAAACCATTTTAAGACTAAACCTTGTGCAATAAACCTGTATACTCATGATAGTATGTTTCTATTCAACCTGGATTTCGTCGAGAATTCCAAAATTGGGTCTCAAAAAGCTGCATGAGAAAAGCATGGGGATAAGATGGAAAAGGATAATGGTTTCAATTTAGAGCATCCCATAATAGCTGCCTAAATCATTGTGAAACATTGTACTTCCAGTCCAGTAAGTGATTTTTTGTCCCCTTAAGTTCTTAAGTTTCCACAATCCACGCGGAGATTTGATTTCGAAAAACTCAAATACTATGGCTATGTCCAATAAATAAGTATATATCCCCGTTTAATTCTGGTCATTGAATAAAAAAAAAATTGATGAATAACTATTTTTTTTTTCAGTTATTCTTATCTAATCTATTAATAACAAAATGAATTCTTTCAATACATAAAATAAAAATTCTAATGGCTTTTGTTACTATAACCGTCCCGACCATGATTTTTCTTTTTTTTTTTTTAAGGCATTTCATTTGGTCTTGAAATAAGAAGTTGTAATGATACTAGCTATATATAAAAAAATAATAATAATAACTAAAATAAAAAAAATAAATAAAAATGATTAGATAAATAGTGGGTTCCATTGTTTTTATGGTTACTTCTTAAACGATGAAATCCCCATATCCAAATAAAAAACAGCTGACTTGTATAAAACAGATAATTTCAATATACATATCTTAGTCTCTCCATTCTAAAGATCACTATTAAGCATATTGATGACGCCCAAAAGACTAGGGGTCTATTTGGATCCTATCATACATCAATGAGGTGCAATTGAAACATTTAATGAGTTTAACCGTATCATTTTTTGCATTTGGATAACATGGGTCGGTGCTATGGGTGTTTACCAATGGCACTGCATCTTCAGTTTGCAAGTGGATCCCATCAGTGAAAATTTTCAAACTCACTGCAGTATTTATTTTGAAAAATATGTTTATTTAAGTTTTTTTGTTTTTATTATTCTTAAAAGTATGGACAAAAATATCCCTGTCATTTAAGGCCTTATTATTAAAAATAAATAGATAAAAATAATTTTTAATAGTCAAAATTTTAATTATTATTTTAATATAATTTAATATGTGTCAATATTTTGATGGAATAAATTTTTAATATATTAAATGTTACTAATATTAAAATATAAATAAAAATTAATTTGTTAGTTATTTTTAAATTAATATTTTTAATAATCTTTTTTTAATTATAATTCATTTAATCTTTATCATTAATTTTGTATCTAAATATGTATCTCATCCTTGCAATATTCAATCCATCCTAATAATAACTAATAGTACTTCTATCATTATTTTTAATGCTATCAGAGCCGATACCACCTCCGGTACAAATGAACCCTAACTCATTCACCTTTTCAGTACACAAACTTGAACTAAAGGGCAAAGTTGAGTACGTGTCAGGTAACGTAAAATTCAAAAGCATCTTAAATTCTTGACCATACCTTGACTTCATCGTAGAGCTTCTTCTCCCACACGCACAGTTTCCTGAGAGTAGAAGACAGATTCTGTGAACTCACAATCTCATCATTATCCACAGAACTAATCTTCTCTTTGGACGGTAAGGACACTGTTTCCAATGAATTTGAAGTAATCACATGAAACCTCTTCGTCGAACCTGCATCGCAGAAACCACAAAAGACTATGTAACTGAAACTCCAATCCATAGTTTGATAAGGGAATGTTAAATCTATGCCTTGATAAACAGATTTTTTACGATGATAACGAAAATTTCCAGTGTCAAGGATTTTCAAAACTTCATTGCCGGACTCCGAAGCTTTTTCAAATAGGACTTGTAATTCTTTCGTTATCTCAGAAACACTTTCTTTGCCGCTTTGATTCTTGGGTTTATTTAAATCAGTCCTCTTTTGAACCTTCTCCATCTCTGGATCTACTTTCTTCTTATTCTCTGCATCACCATTCTTCACTGGAACAGCTTCTCCGCTCGAATTTTCTTCTCTTTTTTCTTTTTTACAATTTGCACTAGTTTTTTCATCTCCATGAATTTGCTTTACTAGTTGTTGGGCTTCAAGACCATGAGCTTCTTCTTTATTCTTTACTGTTTTGCTCGTAGAATAAGGTAACTCGTATCTCTCGTAAATTTCATCAAAAAAGTTCAAGTAATCCCAAGCCCCGCTGCCCGGAGCCGGAGGTGGAGGTGTTTTCCAACCTGAACCATTGAATTCGAAGTTCTGGTGTCGATAATTACGATCAGGCAAAGAATATGATGTTAGGATTCCGTGATTAAAATCATTTGGATGGATTTGGTTAAAAGATCTAAAATCTTTGCCTGTCGCTTCCTCTTCCGAATCAGTTTCGAACTGAATGTGCGAATCTGAGTTTGAACTCGAAAGAGAATGATCCGGCGAGGACAAGGGAGAAGATTGTTTCGGCGGTTTCTCGGTGGAGACGGCGCAGTCATCACCGGACATAGATTTGAGACTTTGATCGAAGAAATGGTGGAGAGTGAGGCCCAGAGTCTTGAGCGACTGCATGTATGCCATGTGTTCATCGGCAAGGGCGTAGCTTTGCTGGAGAGCGTCCTCGAGGAAGCTGCAGCGGTCGTGGCACAGAGAGACCGCCGGCAGCTGGTCGAGTTTTGAGGTGGCGCAGCCCATGAAATGACACGTGTCGTTTGATAACCAGCCCCCTGAAGGCCAAAGAACGTTCAAAAATCAAACAAAGCCAGATTTTGAAGGTCCTGAAAACAAGTTTCTCTCTAAGGCTTTCGAAGTAACGGCAACGGCTCCGTGGAAGCAGAATTTATAACGGAGATTAATGGTGGAGGGCTAGGCCGTTATAAAATTTTCTCCAATTTTATGCGCATTTAAGATGCAGCGTTTGTGAATTCTAAGAATGGCCAATTTCGAAAAAAATGAATAGAATAGGGAAAGAAAAAAAATTGATGTAAAGACTGGAAATCAGTTGACTGGGATTTATAGAAAGGGAAAGAGTGGCGGGATAGGCATAACGTCTCTTTGATATTTTTCTATTTTTGCAATGATGGTCCCTGCTACTTCTACAATTTGCATTTCTGACGCAACTTTTTATTTCTTATTATACTTCTAGTGTCGTATATTTTTAAATATAAGCCATGGCATATTTTTTCTTTTTTTTATGGCCTAAGAAAAAATAGATTCTGTAAGAAAGTTATGGAATAAAATTTAGGATTATTATTATTTTATTTTTAAATTTATACGTTCTTGATTTTGAAAGTGTTGAATATAGACTTGAGTGTGAAGCTACATGTCCTTTTGGAATGAAGTTAGCTTTATTAAATCAGGAAGGGAAGAACAGTTCCTAATTACCTCAGCACCAAATGCATCATATCTGCAACGTCTTACTCCGATAAAAGGGCCATTTTATCATGATGATATGACAACGCAAATCATTTTTCAAAATCATCTGTGATCCGAAATCATGCATGTATTTTTGTTCTTTTGTTCTCCATGATGATAAGGGCAATAAAATATTCAACTTTTACCACTTTATCATGTGTTGTACTAAAAGTGAATATGCCTCTCTGCACAATTAATAATCCTTACAACACTAATGGGGGATGGGGTGGCTCAAGGAAGTGAAAAAACTTTTAACCCATTTGGGTAACTTCTCTTCACCTGACGCGGGCAATGATTCTTTGTACTGCAGAAACTAAATAAGGTTTTAACGTTCGAATGCCAAATAATTTTGGAATCAAGAGAGGAAACTTTTGACAAATCTACGGCCATGATGGGGTTGTGAATCTTGGTGACTCGAATGGAGATTGTGGTGGAATTCCAACTCCGCAAAATCTTTGTCTTGTTGTCTAATCTCTTCTTTTTTTATGTTTTTTTTTTTTCTTAAGGTGGGAAATGCGTAGAGGACGAGAAGGCTTGGTTCTCATTTTCATCCCAGTCTTTTACATAATCCTAATTCCAGGGAAAGGCTATCTTCTGCTAGTGCCCTTCTAAAAATATGCTACCTCAAGAAGACAAGTTATTTTAATGTTTCATCACATGACTGTAGGTCTACCTCCACATCATCACGGCAGGGCATGGTCCCCCCCCAACCCCCCCCCCCCAAAAAAAAAAAAAAAACCAATTCTAACACTTCTCTGATTATTACTAGGGAGAAATTGCAGGTGCCATTCATTTCCAGAACCAAAGTGCTCATATCGCGGAGACAGAGACAAATTGCTTTTGTCCCTGATAAAATATACTTTTTCCAACTGAGATGTTTTAGCCTTTTCATTTTTTTTATTTGAATGAAAGATTTAAAATAAAGAACCTGATCAAGACATCTTTTTAACACACTCTTAACTTGAATGATACTGTTGCTTGTACTGCTGTACAGGGGTCATTGGCCACCAACAATTCCATCCCCCCTTTTTTTTTCTCCCAGAATAAAGTTGGTACCACCAGAATTTGTCTCATTTGTTAAGTGATTTTTGAAAATTCAACATTGTAATCATGCAACAGATGGAAATAATGATTATGTTGTTTAATGCAAAATCAAAGAGAACTATAATGTCATGAGCTGACAGCAGAGATGTTGCCAATGTTCCTGCAGCCCTGAATCTATACGCTTGAAAAATGGAAATAAGGCCAGCAGGATTTGATTAATTAGAGCCTCACAATCACAAGTGACAACAGGATATTTTCGTTTTTGCAGCCATGTGCATGGGAGCCTGCCCCACTTAAGCTACTCTGTACTACGTTTAGTGCATTATTGGTGGTCCTTTTCGTCTTTATACTTTATACGGTCTAAAATAATTAAAGGACTTCAATTATTTTCACTTTAATTCGTTTACACTTAGAAAACTTTCATGCCTTGAAGGCTTAACCCATTAAAGGACATAGGCAAAACTTTTCAAAAAGGTGTTTGTAATAAGTTGGGCCCTATGAAGGCCTACCTTCAAAGTGAAACTTTAAAGGACAACGACCAAAGCCCAACGCTTAGTGGTATAGAGTATATCGGTCATCTTAGGGTTCAAATAGTTTCAATTTTAGAAAAAAAAAAAAAGATTATTAGGCTCCGTGACATTGGCTGGGCCCAGAAGGCGGTACCTTGATCTGTTTCTTTTCCCCTTTAATTTGCTTTTGCAAAGGGAGGAGCCGTAAATTACTATTTTCACCTTAAATTCAGAGTTAGTCATGCCCTTCATTTTTCTTAAAAAATTCGGGTCACATATTAATTGGTGAATCGAAATATCTAATTTGGCCTTCAAAACAGGGAAATAAAGACAAAATAAATGCATTCGTACGGGGCACATTCTTTTCGAAACCGAAAATCAAATCAAAACAACATAACTACACACAGGTGTACCATAAACTTGTCCGCAACGAGACAATGCAAAGTGTAGTGCACAAACTCCAAAAACAAATAACTGTCTGGTTTTTTTAGCATGCAATATAAAACGATCTAATCTAACACAAGCAGTTAAAATTAACCTGAATAGCTCATTCGATTGAACTTCAAGACTGCTTACCGATAAAATTGGCCCATGTTAGTTTCTCTTGAAGCCCGTTTGAGTAATATGGGAATAGGCATGCTAGCCCAAAGGCTCAATAAGGAGATGCTTAAGTTGTGGAAAATTATTGTGTTTCAATTTAAATAGAATACCATTTGTAAGTAAAATAAAAAGTGTTCAAACGGCAATCATATATTCAACATACCTAATGTTTCAATTAGACCTGATAAATTAAAATATAATAATATGATATGAATATAATATAAAAATAAAATACAAAAATAATATAACTTAAAATTATAATAACAACTATATGAGTTTAAGAAAACAAAAAAATTATATTTTATATTTTTATATCGATAAAAATTATGATACGTAATTTTGATGTAAAACATATAAATATATAAATCATTAAACTTAATTTTAATTCTTGAATGATGAAAAAAATGCACCTTAATCCTACAAAAAAAGGTTGATAAGATGGGCCCCATGACTCTAAGCATTAACCTTCTTTTTCTTGCCTAATTTGGATTGATTTCTTGGCAAAATAATAACTTTGCAAGTTAAAAGAGAAATCAAATTTCCAACTCCCGACTTCCAATTATTATGGGGATGCAAAGCTCCTAATAATAGACTTGTTTCAGTTCATGAATGTGATAAAAGTTCTTTGTTCAATTAATTTCACATTCTTCTCATTAGCTATGTGATCCACATAATTGGGACCAACTGACTAATTAGGGACCACACCATTAGTTCTTGGCTATCTTTAAACTCTGCTTTTGTTAGGATATCAAAACATATCCGCTAAGTTCTGAGCTATAATCTGCTGTCAGTGCCAGTGGAGAATCCACTATTTCTAAGCCAATTTGAAGGGGTGGAGGCAACCCCAATTATATGCAGTATTATATATATATGCTCTTTTAATCCCTTCATAATGCAGCATTATCTTGAGACAAAACTCATGATGAAGGAATGATTGCCTTTAATTATTAGCAAAAAGCCTCTTATTTAAAAAAAAAATAAAAAAAATAAAATCACCTAATCAAATTCAACTGTGTCTAACAAACCATGTGCTGTTTTCTTCTCTCTGTCAACGTGCTGCATATTTTTCCTTTTCCTTTTTGTCTTTCAGTAACTTTTCTTGCCGATTGCTTCTGCTTATCTCTTTGTTTTCTTTTTTCGTTTCTTTTATCTTTAATTTTGTTGCCATAAGAGCTGGAGCTGCCACCTTGTATGTTTCACTGCCTGTCTCAAAAGCCATTGCCTGCAACGTGCGACCGAAAAACCATTAAAGAAGCTATAAACAAGAAATAATTAATTAATTTAATTTAGCCTCCCTATTATTGATGCCTTTGGCCATTGATTTGAATATAAAATTTCCGGGAGTCATGTTTTTCACAACACCTAATTAAGAAATCAACGGAGTTACTGTTAATTATTATCCCAGGCCTAATTGCATCTTAAACGGTAAAATTGAAAGAGCTTTATTAATTCTGCAACTTTTTGTCTTTTAATGGAGATTTTAGATAAGCAATATTGTCATATTACTCTTTAATAATTAAGTACTGTCAATCGCTACAAGTTGGGTTATGGTTGTCCAAAAAACTAGTCAGAATCATGAAGCAAACCAAATGATTCCTAACACCTAGTGCATTGTCGTGTCTTGGGCTTTAGAAAACTGCAGCTATGTTCAATTGTTGCCATATGCCCACACAATGAAAACAAAGAGTAAGAGGGACGGAGGAAATCTTTTGAAGACCAAAAGTATCAGGGTTGGCAATCCAACCAGTTTCTGATGGGTTTCGACCCGATCCAACGACTTAGAATTTGTTTTTATTTTTTAAATAAAATTTGGATCGAGTCGGATTAAGTAATGTTAAAAAAAAAATTGGGATCGAATCGAATTTAAGTTTTAGATAAATTCGATCTAATATTATATAAAAATTATTTTTTAATTTTTTATTTATATATATTTATATAATTATATATTTAAATATTTATATTTTAAAAAATAATTTTATATTTTAAAATAATATTTTATTAATTTAAGTTAAACGATTTATATAATATCAAATTAAATCAAATTTAAATATGAAAAAAATTAAAAAAAATTTTTAAATCAGGTCAAATTCGATTTGATGAATATAAAATCAAATCGAGTTCTAATCCATTTCAACTCGACCCGTGGCCAACCTTTCAAAACTTTCAGAAATTATCGCTGTACAGTACACCATTCAAAAAACTCCCTCTCTGCGTGCACTTTTAATTTTTCACAATGTTTCATTCTTTCTACTGGAAAAAAAAAAAAAAAAAAGAAAAGGTTTACGAAACAAAAGGTAAATTACATCTCTATTTGTGTGTGACCAGACAATAATGTAAATAATTAATTTTTTCCTTCCTAGTTGGTGAGAGTATTAAGAAGTGAAACCCTAGTGTTTATCAAACTCCTAAAAGCCTTTTCACTGCCACTTTCAACATCAGCAATGCACCTTTCCAAGTCTTGCATTCTCTTCAAAACCATCCTCACTTCCTCATCTCCCTTTTTTCTCAAACCCCACATGTTCGCTTCACCAATGTTTTGAAATTCTTTAATACTTTCCTCGATCTTAAACTTCTTGGCTTTCTTTGAGAACTTCAACCCCATCCAAGACGATTTTCTTGATGTAAATGACTTGGAAATCCCATTGAAAAGAGCCTGTGAAACTGAAACAGTCACTTCAATTACATTGCTGATAACACCTGCCAGCTCAGTATCCGCAATAGATACTAAACCTGATCCAGGAAATGAGTATCGCCCACTGCACCGGAGTGAGGATACGAGTTTAGCAATCTCTTTAGCCATCTTCTTGCGACCTTTCAAATACATAGCAATCTTTGAGTAGTCGTTTCTCCTTAGAGCCATCCACGCCGCGAGTTGCTCTTCTTTAAGTGCCAGAAATGATGTTTGGAAGATCCCATAAACATCAACAAAACATAGGAAATCTTCGAGAAGCTTCTCAACCCATTCACGCTTATGGCTTAACAACTCATGGGTTTGTGGCAGCTGAAGAATATCATGAAGAGCATCATGAACGTCCTTTAGGTGGTTCAGGCCATCACAAAGCCAAGCTGAGGTTCGTTTATCAGGATTGAATGACCATGTTTTGAGCTCAGTGATTTCATCTTTGAGTTGGGAAATCAAGGGATGTGATCTACATGGAAGAGAGATGGATCTGATGTGGTGAGAAATTGGTTTGGATGGACGGTTAGTGGTTTTGTTTGGGAAAGAGAGTGAGCGCCCGAAAACGCCAACCATTTTTTTTTTTGGTGCTGGCCGCCGGTGTTTGATTTGTTTGTGATTGGCTCGCTTTAGAGCTGTGTGCTTTGACAAGTAAATGAAAAAGAGGAGATAGACATATATACAGGGAGGACAACTAAGGCGCACGAGGGGAAGGGTAAGGGGTGGGGGGGGGGGGGGACTGGATCTGCGAATAAGTATTAGGCTGTTATAGCCGCTAAACTAAATAATCAGTCATTTGAGTTTGGGGTTGCAAACCGAGGCGCTTATGGGTTCCTTTTCCAGTGGAGAGGAGACACCACGTGGTGTTGACACCCTGGCAGCTCTGATCAATAGAGCAAGTCTTGTCAGTGTTCCCTGTTAGTTTTGTCCAGTGACTAAAACCAGAGACTTGTTACAGCTAGCTATAGTTCATAATGTCAAACCTCTAAATCAAGTATCATGAAGGCATAGTAATCTTAACCTTGACCAACTAGTTAGCGATAAAAACTATTTAGCCAATTCTACAATCCTCTAAACTGAAACACTTTAAAAAATCAGTTAAAAGTTTATATCTTCTTGCAATAATATCAACTTTAGTGCTGAGCTAAGACATAGAACAGCTATGATTCACATGAACTTTATCAGAGTTACATTCAAGTACTTCAAATGAAAGTGGATATTTGGAAAATTTAGAGTTAGGATATTAAGTCTCCAATCGAACAATTACATTATACTTTGGATCCTTTATTATTACTAATGGAATCTTCGAATCATCATTCCTTCTGGATAACTAATTGCTTCAATATTATTCAAATGAATGACATTACGGCAGAATTTCGCACACAAAAACCATCAGGCAGCGCCAACCCTATTACAGATCAAGTTCGCTTTAGGCCTGCCTCGCTGCACCACTAATATGGTGTGCTGGTAAAAAAAAAGTATAGACAGCGCATGAGGGTTCAAGCATCTCAATGCACATGCTGGAACTGCTTGAATTGCACCACTGGATTGGTAGAATTGGTAAGATTTCAAAAACTTCACTTGTAAGGACTAGATTTGAATTTTGCTGTCAACAATCTCATTTAATGGATTATATGTAAATCCAGTTTAAATCTTTTCTGAAACCTACAGTCTGATCTGATACTAGATCAAGAAATCCTCCCTTTACCTTAAACTTTTTGATAAAAAGAAAAAAAAAAGAGAGAGAAAGAACTGCTCGAATTGTCTTGTTTCTAACTAACTAATCGTAGAAAACAAACTCAGACGGGCCTTAGCTGTCACTATTAAATATAACAGGGCCAGCCCCCTACTTGCATCTGGAATATTCAGAAGATTAAGCATATTGGTCTCCTACCAATCTGCATTTTTAACTTTTAAACGCGCTAGGGGTTCAATTCACACGTATTTTCCAAGCTGTCAACGTCCGGATAACCGCTGGAAAAACTACAAATTTTTATGCCAGGAAAACTAAGAAGATTATGCGGAGCTAAGCTACAATGTTTCAAGCGGAACTTGGAACTTAAAGATGATTACAGGAGATTAAGAATCTGTGAAAACATTATAACCCTAATAAAATCTTTTTAAGTCAACTAATGGTTCAGATCATATTATTAACCGTCTGATTAATCAGCCTTTTTTCACAGAAGACAAATTAGGTATATTATGCCAATGGTATGAGGAAATCATTTAGAAAATTGATCCCCGCAAAGCATTAATGCGTATCTGCTACCAATTCTATGCTTTGCTTATCAAAAAATAACGTGAGGAAAAAACAAATACTCACTTCCGAAAAATACGAAAAAACTTTTTTATTCGGCCATACCGCCCTTTACGAGATATGCCGGACCTGTTCTGCTGCTGCTATCTATCTATTCCGCCACGAGAGGTCTTGGAGGTTGCAAATTGTTAATAATATCAAACCCCCAAAATAAGCAACATCATGAATTATATATCATTTCTGATCAAACCAGCATATTTTTTTTCTCTTTTTAATTTATTAACATAAAACGGAACCTTAACTTAAAGTCATTTTAAAGCTGAAAGTTTGAAGAATAGAACTGAATGGATTCTATCTATATTACATTAACTATATGATTTTTTCCATTCCATGCCAACTCTCGAACTCGAGGATGTATATAATTTTTGTGGTCCTGGGTAGTGGTAAACGGAAGGAAAACGAAGTAATTTTTTTATACTGGAAATTAGGTAATAGGTATTACCAAAACCTTAGAAGCCTTCCAATTGATTCGTGCAATAAGAAGGCAAGCCTCATGCAATATTGAGGTGTGCGCACCTTCTGTTCTGTCAAAGAGAAGCTGTATTTTGGGTAGAAATTTATAAAATCCACCATTCCAGCAACTGTAGCAACATGTGAACAAGTAATTAAGAAGCCAAATTAATTGGAATTGGCAACTTGTGAAGAAGTATTTAGATTAAACCATTAATTGTCAACTACTCTGACTGCTTTTTAGACTTCTCCTAACTGAAAATTTAAATTGTAAAAGGCCCCAAACAGAGAAACATAACTAACTATCGATAATAATTCTTTAATAACAATGGTGTTAAATAAGTATTCCAAGTAAACCCTGAATCTATCCCTTCTCGTTGACCAAGTTGTATATAGTATTTGTTCCCGGTCATGGTCACTGTATACAACCAATTTGTTGATCAAGTAAACCGGGCTAGCTGTGGAATTCAAAATACCCACGCTAGGCAACCAGACATGACAGAGAGGCTTTGACCAACTTATTGTCCTTGAAGTCCTCAATATAAATTCAGATAAGATTTGAAATTGAGTCACAAGATTCTTTGGCAAATTAATAAACGGTGAGGTTTAAGCCGTTAAGTAGTATGCCAGACAAATTGCCAAGAAACTGCAGTTTTAAGGTATTCGTTAAAGACGGAGATAACGCTTAGTATCAGTCATCATAGATTGGCATTGACTCAGCCCACGTGGAGCGGTGGAGATGATTCGAAAGGCATCTTCATTCTTCACAAAATAAAAAGAAAAAAAAGAAAAATTTAAGAGGAAAATTCATCACGTTTTTCCCCCTTTTTTTTTTTTCTCCAATATTCCTCCGAATATGCGGGATATGGGAATGGGAATGACTCAAGGAGGTTTTTCATTTTTGATCTTCTGGTAGGTAAAGAAGATGAAGGTCATTTCAAACCCACAACTAGAATTTGGTAAAGTCACAAAGGAAAGTATTTTAATTAATTGTCATACGTACTCATCTTTTTCACAGCAATATATTAAGAATAAAGCAAGATCTTAGTAACTTTTTCTGTAGCCAAAAATTTACTTTTGTTTCATGATCTTTAAGCAAGGGATAATACACTTGATGTGAAATTTATACGTTTAAGACAATTGAAGTTGGAAGCATGGGAATGGGATTACCGGAATGATGATGATCATTGAGGTTTTTTTTTCTTTTTTTTTTTTTTGATAAAACATCAAAAACTCAATGAATAATCCAAAACCAAAATTAGTTTCCTTCAGTGTATACTTTAAGGAAAAAACTTGAACCTCGGTAGCATTATTGATGCCTTCTGGTTAGTTAGCTGAAAACTAAGGTTCTGGAACGAAGTATTCTAGTCTTGAATACAATCCTTCAGATACAAGTATACTCATGGTATAGTTAATTGGCACCCAATGCTTAGGACATTCATTTTCTTAGACAAAACATATAAAGTAGCGTAGCTCACCCTGATGATGACCAAGCTGGTTAAACCTTAACAATGTAGACTGCCCACCAAGTCAGGAGAGACGTCCCTAGTAAGACTAACAAGTAATAGCCTATTAAACCCAAACAAATTGTTCTCGCCCAAGCAACCGCTACTCCATCGGTCTAGCCTAGACTATAAAGGCATTACGTGGCCTCCAAAACGTATGCCATGGATGATGTTTGGGCTGTAAAACAGTATTAATTTAATTTACTTACGGCCCAAGCATCAGAAAGCTAACTGCTAACCTTTGCACGTAATGGGATGAGGGGGTGGCCTCCTCCATGCGTCACGCAATTTACTTGACACGTGCCACTTAGTTTTGAAACGCAAAGCAAAGATGAGATATGCAATGAATAAAATGCTAGGGAAGTGGATCATTGTGGTAGAAATTGTCAAATTGTTGTTATTTAACAATGGAAAGGAAGAGTGAAGAAGAAGGAAAAGCAAAAGAGACGGAGCACATTCATCAGCTTCCTCATATTTCACCTATGCAGCCGGTGATACATGGTGCTTACGGTGGCAGAATGTACGGAACCGAGCAGGGACAGAAGAAAAAAGAGGAAAAGCCGCCTGCCAGTAAGACTCAAAGTGCTGATGGACCGGATGAGGCCAAGAACGAGCCCAGGCACAAACCTCCACCGTCATCCGGTGATCTTGACATTGATATCAGTGGCCAATCTTATATCCAGTAAATCGTCGCTGCCGCTTTATTGTTTGTTCTATGCTGTTCTCTATTTTTTTTTTTTTTTTGGATTTCTTGGCTTGTAAAATAAACGGCATGCTTTAATATTGTGGTTTCAATTTTCCAGTCTTCAGCTGTATGTTACAATGGAATCTCTTACTTTCTAGTAATGATAGTATTATTGGTATGTCATGAAATTAACGAAGCGGCCCAATTTTAAGAACTGATTGTTAGGCTTAATCAAACAAAAATATATGGCTCCAACGGGTCCAAATCCTAGCAGGCCTGCCTGAAAGACAATAGTTAACTAAATTTCATGGGTGCAGAAGAGGTTCGACGATGAGGAAAGTAATTTCTGTTTGAGGTAAAGATATATTTGTCCTATATCACGGACGACGTTAAATTGTTGAGGGTTTTTAGGTTGGTAACATTGGTGCCCGTAGGTAGCTTGAGAAAGAGTTATTTCCGGGCGCGTTTCGACGTTCAGGAACCATGTAGGATAGCTGTCGAACGAGTATCCTAACCTAGGAAGTAAGTAGAATGGCTAGAGGAAAAAGTAAGGTCAGTCTCATCTACCAAATCCAACCTCACGATCTTGGTCTGACCTTTAGTTTATTGAGTTGACAATTTCTCTTGTCAATTCACGAAATTATCAAGCCGTAAAAGAACATTAGTCACGGGACAGATATTAGAGCAGCTGTATTTGTCAGACGTAATTTGCAAGATATTGTCTTTTTACCGATAATTTTCCTACATCTTTTATGCATAAATTAAGGGGTAATGCTATAGATTGATATATTTACTTAAACATCCAAAGTTGTTTGCAAATGTTATATTCGGTCCCAATTGGCTCAATTCTCATTTGGTGAGTTCATTAATCACCATTAAAAGAAAAATTAATGCCCTTTATACTTATTTAAATTCATAATTTTCAAATATCAACAAAAATCTCATATCAATTGATTTAAATATTTTTTAAATTTTTTTATTTTTATATAATTAAAGAAAATATTATACGTACATAAGCTAGTATAATTCGAATTAATAAATATCTTAAACTAATTGATCCAAATATCTCATAAAAAAATATTACATTACTTTTTTATATTTATTTAACTAAAAAAAATATTACATGAATAAAATCTTTCTGGCTCAACTTTCAAACGCCCACCAAAACGTCATACCTACATATTAAAACATCTGTCGGCAGCATAAATCTTGCATTTAATTATCCCAAGAAAATGCATGAAAATATCACAAAAGAAAATGAGTTTGTCCAATTCAGGGCCTAGTAAGGAACCTAGCTTGTTTTATGGGTCCAACTCTCCTGAAAACATGGACTCTTTCGATACTGTTTCAAGCCCAATTGACCTAGATTTGGCTGTAAAAAAAAGCCCATTCCGTACGCCGTAGTATCCAAGCCCCAGGTAAAACGACACGAACTTTAACAGGAACGTCCGCAAAATTGAGGAGTACCGTTAACATTGAAGCAGCGCTCACTACTCGTCGCTGGTTCCATTGAATCCGGGTTCCAGGTGGTGCAACGATGCAAGGAGGATCTTCTGGCATCGACTACGGTCTCAAATATCAGGTTGACCTTCAAAATCTCAATCCCACTAATTTTAACTCCCCTCAGAATCGAAGTTCTAAGCCTTACCTTTTATGCTCGCAGGAAGATGCATATCGGATGTCAAAGCGGACACGGATCACACCAGCTTCATTGCGGGAGCCCTCAGTTTCCGGGAAGAAAATGGGTTTTTGTTCTTGAATTAATCTGTTTTAATTTCATGATTGCAGTGCTTAATTTTTTAATCATATTAGCTAATCGAACTGAATTCTGCCAGGTGCATCTGACTCGGCTGGAACCGAACTCATTTTTGAGGGCTTGTTTTCGCATCCTAACGAGATCTAGGACCTAGCTTCTTGACCCTTCGATCAATGGGCTTTCTCTACTTTTTTTTCTGCTGGTAGCTTATTGACCTTGATTTACGTGTATTTCTTGCATGTTCTGGTTTGTGGATTTGTTTTTTTTTTTTTCTCAATAGGGATGCAACTGGACTTGATCTTGGTAACATTTGACTAGCTTACTCGACCTATTCTGTCTGCTCCAAGTAGTTCATAGGTTTTGGTGACTTTACCCCTAAAAAAGAGAAAGCACAAAATAGATTCTTAATGAAAATAACCTGCACAATCATTTTGTACATCGTTGTGGTTGTCAGGCCTTCTAATTTCCAGTTAGGCCATTTGAGGTTGAAAGTTCTTCTCTGTCTGTATTAGTTTTAGTACTATTGATTGAATTAGCTGTCGCCATAATTGGTCATTAGCAATAGCATTGTCCTGTATGAAGTTTGGTGGGTTAAAGATGGAGAGGGGTTTAATAGGTTTCTTTGTTGTTGAGGGTGAATCTTATGGGGCTGCAATATGGCTGATCCCTGAGTTATATGGGCAGTTAAATTCACCACAGTAGGATTGAATTGCCTTCCTTGATGCACGTGTTGGTAAGATTAATCGGTGAGTTTCTGTTTTGAAACTTCCCCTAAGTTTATTGAAATGTATGTTCTTTGCATTTCGTCCAAGGCAATTTTGTGAAGTTTATTTGGCTTACTTACTATGCATGTATATAAACAACAGTGTTCTCTGGTGGCCATCTGGAAGAGATGATAAGTTGATCAGCACTGATGATGATGAACATATTTTCTTATGGAGTGGAGATTGTTCAAAAAAGGTTGCCCAGGTTAGTTTCTGCATGGATTATCTTCTTCTTAACTTCGATGATTATTGTAGTAGTATGTGAATGGCCAACCTGTAGGTTTTACATTTGTGAAGGAAATACGTCACTACTAGAATACCTTCTCAAAAACACAACAGACAAAAATTTGTAATTGGTAGCATTTGTTACTTTGTTTTTTTTTTTTTTTTTCCTCTCAATATATTCAATATAGCTTCATAGTGTTTGATGTTAATTTTTTTAGCAATTGACAACTTTGCATTTATCTTAGACTCTGTTTTTCATGGTAGTTGTGCAGAGACATTGACTACATATTAATGGCAGTTACTAGAAACAAAAAATATCTGAATACCTATGAATAGTATAAATTTTAATTCTCTTTCTGGTGCTTATTCAGATCTTATTGTGGAAATCTAGGTGCAATCTAAGGAGTCAGCTGGTATGCTTCATTACTTATGTGGTGGTGCATGGGATCCACATGACGTAAATGCAGTTGCCGCAACTTGTGAATCATCAGTCCAGTTTTGGGATCTACGTGCAATGAAGTATGTTGTCTCTGCATATCTTAGTTTCTTTATTAGTTCATAACTGTCTAATCATTGTATTTGGTGGTCATGTAATCTGGTGTTCCATTTCCCTTCTGAATTGTACTTCTCGTTCTAAAAGGCATGGGCCCAATTAAAACAGTTGTTATTTCATCACCTGCCTTCAACTATCTAAAAGAAGGAGGGCTAGGGAGGAGGAATATTGTAACTTGTACCTTTAACCATTTAGTTTTTTATGCAGTTTGTTTTTCTTAAAATGTTTAACCAATTAACCTTGATATATGGTTTATCGATTTAGCTTAGAGTTATGCTGTGGCTGACATCAATTTTATGTAACAGGAAGGCAAATGCAATGGAGCATGCCCATATCTGCAATGCTAACTATGTTGTGAAGAAAAATAATATACTTGTATAGCTTGCATATTTTACTAGTTTAACATCGCCTTAAATTTAGTGGTCATTGCACTATTGCTTTAATACTAACATTTTTGTTATTTCTGTTGCAACATTGATTTTTAGAAATTCCTTTTTGGGTTACAAATTGGCATGTTAAATTGCTTTTTCTATCAAACAAAACTGTCTTATTTCTATAACTATGTGAATCCAAGATCTTCGACCTGCTATGCCTAGATATTTTATGTATAGACTGGTAATATAAATTATGTCTGTTTCACTGTAACATATTAAGGATGAGAAATTGGGAGGATTCTACTGGCCTATTAAACTGTACTTTCAATTTTGTCAAAGCCGTGGCCAAGCTGGGAACTGCCCTGTCCGAAAATCAGCTACGCACACATGTAAACTTAAAAACTTCTAGTTTAATTATTTGCAAATACAAAACTTTGACTTTGTATCTCTATTATTTACAGAGATAAATAACATTATTGACTATTCAGATGTTTATCACATTTTCTAAAAGGGAATTTATCAATTGTGGATCTCTCTTTACAGGTAATAAATTTTTTGCTGGTGCGTGGGTATTTTATGGAATGAAGTCAATCCTTTGCTTTTGTCAATCATAAGAGACATTCACTTATAACTAATGGTTGCTGAAATCAGTAAAAGAATGATCAAATCATATAGAAATGGTCTGTGATTTGTGAATGAACCGATTTTAGTGAGATGGTGTTTCTGTTGGGTACTACTTCCGAGTTATTATTGTCACTTTTATCACAGGTCATTGCAGAAGAAGAATCTGGGATACACATATGGGATCTTAGAAAGCCCAAAATTCCTGTCAAAGAGCTTCCTGGACTTTCGCACTAGTAATTGACTTGTTTACTCTTGTGGGTTTTTTTTTTTTTGCTTGAAGTCATTTTTATGTTTGAGGAACTCGACTCTTTCTATTCTCCCACCTAATTGATTTATAGTTAATTTCCCACATTGGAGTTTATGTCTTTAACTGTTTCTGTCCTCTAAAAAAAATGGGAGTATTTAAATTCAGGTACTTCTAGTTCACTGATGGTGACCTGTTTAATAATGTTGGCAGGACATGGGCTGTAAGGTGTAACCCTGAGTATGATGGGATAATTCTGGTTATCTCTCTCTCTCTCTCTCTCTCTCTCTCTCTGTGTTTAAAACTAATAGAACCTGAGCATTCATCTTAACTAGGTTGCTTTTTAGGTATAGGTATCAGGATCCTGGTTGGACTAAGCTGGTTATAAATATTCATCTGAATCAACTAGGCATAACAATATCTTTCGATTTAAGCCATCATTCTGTATAATGGTTCACTATTAATAGAAACTGCAAATTGTTTTTTGTTATATTTTGAAGTTTTCTTGACTCTGTTTCCCTTCTTCTGAGTGCTGGCACAGACTCAACTGTTACTTCTGCTGGCTCCTACATCTTCTGTAGATGGGTCTACCTCTGAAAGGTTGTTTTGTTATCCCTTGTCCGAAGTTTTGTACAGCTTCCTAATTCATTCGCTGATCTAATCTTATACCTTTTCCTTTATCAGCATAGCTGAATCACCCACTCAACAGGTGACCCATTGTTTAAAACCTACAGTGATTATGAAGACAGTGTATATGGTAATCAATCCTACCACTGTTTTCTACTATGTTGTAAATATAAATCTAACAAGGTTTTAACCATGTTCCCAGGCCTTGCTTGGAGTTCTCGTGAGCCTTATTTGCTTCTCTATCCTATGATGGGAGGGTAAGAACTTTGCAAGTCTGAAAAGCTAGAAACGTAAAAGGAACTGTACATTAACTAGCCATACAGGTGGTTGTAAAATCAAGTTGATTTGTTCTTTCCATTTAATTCAGGTGGTCGTAGAATCAATTAAGCCTTTCCTTTCAAGAAAATGAAGGTTTTTTGTTGTTCGTATTCTACTGGAAAGTTTCCATTTATTTACATCTGTGCTTACATTGATGAATGATGCCCAAAATATTTAGGCAACTTACAGCTTGAGTACAATGACATATCTTACATGAAGAGGGGTAGCACGTAAATGAAGTTTTTGGTGGCCTGGAGAGCTTAGAGTTGTGTTTCTTGACTTTTGCAGCCACTGTATTCTTGATTAGTATTCAAACTAGAGTATAGTTGCTTATCACCACCATTTATTCTACGAAAATGAACCATGCTTTTGTTATTCTCTTCTTTTGTGTTTATTGCAGCAATTCCTTTAAATTTTCTATAGAAAAGATTCAAAATTGAACCTGAACCAAGACCAAACCACCCGTTCTGTTCATAAACTAGTTCTTTGCACAACTAATAAAAGGTTCCATTCGCTAAGGTATGTAGTTGCTCAATTTCCAATTGTGTTTTATCATGTTATGGTAAAACATTAACTGGATAAAAAAAAATTTGCATGAGTTCTTCGTAAGTTGGAGGTAGGCTAGGCCAGAATTAGACAATAGAAAGATGGTGATGTTGGCTAGGATGGAACCCCTTTTTGAGTCTGAAAATATTGAACTTGTGGTTGTTATTTACTGAATTGTGACGGAGAAGCTGATGCAAGTAGGAAAAGGAAAGCCTCGCATAACAACACGACCACGAGTAAAATGCAAGGTTTGTGTTCTATGCGAAGCCTAAATGCGGTATGGAGAAAAACGTTGGAAAAGCGAGTCATTTGAAAGTAATCGCTCGACAAAAGTACAAGGCCACAATCCACAAATAAGATTTGTTTTATATCGCACACAGCATCTAAAATTCATGAAGCGACATCAAGCTTATCCAAACGCACAGTTAATTTGATTTGGTTTCCTCCTCCGTACGCAGGGGGAGGGTGTTTTATTCTTTTCTTACACGTGGCCGGTTTCGTCACCATGAAAGTCGGGCCACGTATAGCATGACAAGCTAGCTGCCAGGTTTTCAGCTTATCCGCAATTTAATCTCATGGTCAACAGGTGCCTTGCCATGTCATCAAATGGTGAGGCGTTGACACGTGGTGACAGCAAGCGGGCGCCGACGTGGCAACCAATTCAAACCCTCTTCCTTGTTTGGATAAGGTGGAGACTGGGGTTGAGAAGGGTTTCGCATTTCAATTTTCAACGAATAGTCATTTCACTTGCTTTTCAAATACGAAAACTCTCGTTTCTGTGTCTGCCAACTACTGGTAGTATCTGCGGCAGAGATTCATTTGCACAAAATCCAGAAATTGTGTTTGGATGAAATTCCTTCTCAGAAAAGACTTTTTAACTTTGACCATGTATCTGTTTTTAAGTGGCTACCCACCCCCCTGCTGCAACCGTGTGAATGCTTTCTTCACATTCCCCCAGCGAAAAATTAAGAAAATATTGACTTTGCACCATGCTTTTCCAAAATATACTCGTACTGTTAAGGACGATATAAATATAACTTTTTTTTTCTTCTATAAATAAAAACGTCCCAGGGCTAAGATCACAAAATCACTAAAGAAAATGACGCTGATGTGAAAACACGTGGCATATGGAGAGAGGCATAAGGGATACAAAAACCTGCAAAGTGGGACCGAGAGTTGCTCACGTGTACGATAAAATCCCGGGATTTGCATTGCGAAGCAGCAGGGCAGAAGAGGAATAGCAAACCGATCAGAGCATCTCACTCTCTCTCTCCACACAATTGCTCGCACGCTCGCTCGCACCTCGCACCCCCCGCATCCTTTCCTCTCCTCATCTAAAATTCTCAAGCCCCTCTTTCTAGTCTGCTCTAAAGTCATCTCCCCGTCAAACGTCCGGCCAACGCAAAGATTCTCCTGAAATTCTCGCCTCCATTCACATTGGCCCCTTCCTCTAATTTATTTTTCCTAAATTCCCCGTTCCCGACTTTTACTTAATTTCTCCCACTTCCTCCGAAATCCTCATATAAAAACGCGCTTCTCATTATCTTTTTTTATTTTCTAAAATTTTCCCATCTTTTCTCTTTTTCTATATCTTCTAGGGTTTTTTTGGGCGTCCATGGCATTATCTTAATCTATGGCTGCGAGTTCCAGAGGATTGGCGACTCAGCTCGAGTTCAAGCACCTCAAGCTCCATGTCTCCCATGGACTGACACCGAGTAAAAGAAAGAGATTGTACTTTCAACGTGGTCGACTCATTATGTTGAGTCGAATTAGTTGCTGCTGCTCCGACCCCGTTGTCCCGATCCGGAGCGCCACCGCTTCGGGCAAGAGCAATGAGAAGTCGGAGGACTGGCGGTTCGACTCCAAAAAAAGCCCTCATAGGGTCCGAGTCCAGGCCTCTCCTGCAATGCCGTTTGCTTCGGCTCAGTACGCCACACTTTAATTCTTCTGCACTTTTTTTTTTATCAATCTATCCAGGAATTTGTACGCATATCGTATATTTATACTCATATTGTTCCTTAATGTGAATAATGATATTCTGAATTTATTAATTATACATATTTTTAAATAAACTACAGGATACGTAACTTTCGCTAATTTGGGTATTTCATTGTGGGAATAGGATGTTGGAAGTTTTTGACTTCAGGCTCTTAAATTAATTTGTTTGTTCCTTTTTATTGTGAATTTTCACTTCTGATAGCCTATTACCAGTCGTAGGTTCTTTTTTTGGTTGAATTTTGATGCAAGAACTTAAAAGGTTGTGTTCACTACCAAAGCTTGTAAAGTAATGTTGATTTTATGTTATTATTTTTACAGATCTCGATTTCCTTCTAAACAAGAAAAGTTCTACCCTCGGTGCACCCCCCGAAATTCTGGTCCTCAGTCTCGCGATACTCCCCCAAAAAGAGGTAACACGTAGTGCTCAGTAAACTGCAGGATTTTATTATGAAATTCTTGCCGTGCTTGTATATGGCTTTAGGTTTTGTACTGGCATTTAGATTACCATGCCTAATAAATGATAGGTTTGTTTGCTTATTTCTTCATTGTAGACACTGGTATTGCAAATGAGAAGGACTGGGGCATTAGCTTGTTAAATGAGAATGTTAATGAGTCTGGCACAAATGAAGATGGCAGTAGCTGGTATCGAGAAAGTGGGGAGGACCTTGGTGAAAATGGATACCGGTGTAGATGGACAAGGATGGGTGGTCAATCCCATGATGGTTCCTCAGAATGGAAGGAAACGGTATAAAATCATTTTATTTTAAGTCATTTTATTATTATAAGAAGAACATGGGCTTGTGACTGTAGATTAAAGCAATTAGGTACTGTGTTTCCCACCAAAATTGAGTGGAAAATATGACATGCCCATATTAAACATTTAAAGCTTGTCAAAAAAAAAAAAAAAAAAGTAAGAAACCCTTCAAATCAAGCATTTGAAGAGAACTCATTCTTCAGAGAAACATCTTTCTGTTTTGGCCGGTACTTGGAAGAGATTTCTAAGAGTCCGTCGTTTGCTAAGATTTCTAAAGCACTCAAAGCTCTGCATCTTGATGAGAAATTTGTTATTTGACCAGCCTTCTTGCAGATTATTATCTATGTGTAACATCTATTTCTGTATCCAAATTGATCAATATATTCAGTGGCATTATTTAATTATATATTTGTTATTAGGGGAGGGATCAAGTTACACAAAAAAAGTTTTACACCATTTTACACCTTTTTTTAACCAGTGATTTCAATAGATTCAAGGGATAAGATAAACAAGTAAAAAAAAGAAAAAAGTGGTTTAATTGAAATCAATGGTTAGAAAAAGGTGTAATACTAAAAAGTTTTACACTGGTGTAACTTGATCCCTCGCCTTGTCGTTATTATGATATAGAAGAAATAACTCAAATTCAGTTAGACATATTCTTTAGTGCTTTGCAACAAGGATAGATTGATCGGTTAACTTTTGTATCACCTCTCTTTGTTTTTCTTTATTTTGGAAGTGGGGTGCCTAGGTGTTGGGATAGTGAATCATCCTTTCTCTGAGGCTATGTATTAAGGGTAGTATATTTGAGAGATATAAGCACCTAACAGGGTTTATTGACGTCAAATGTTATTTCTATCAAGGAAGAAAGGATGATTCACTTGAAGATTTTGAGAATGGCATCTCAAAACTACCATGGAACTGTAATGGTTTTTTTTAAATTCTGATCCTAAACATTGTTTTTATAACCTCATTAAGTATCATCCCAGGTGGATGCATTTAATTGGATTTATTGCTCTCCTTTACAGTGGTGGGAGAAAAGTGACTGGAGTGGATACAAAGAGCTAGGTAATTTTACTTACCTTTTTATCGCTTTATTCTATACAACTATTTGGGTAATTTCAAATGGTTTATCCTTGCTTAAGTGACTAAAATCATCTGAGCATGGATTTGCCCATTTGTTTTGTTTCAAATCCTTGTAAAATATTGGTCTACAGACTACAGGTTAGTAATTTGCCTAACTTTTAGAAGAGGTTGTATCTCATAGGTGTTGAGAAATCTGGAAGAAATGCTGAAGGAGATTCATGGTGGGAAACATGGCAAGAAGTCCTTCATCAAGATGAATGGAGGTCTTTATTTCCACATCATTCACCTTTATCAGGAAACACTTAACTTCAAATCCACGAATTATCATGTAGTGACAAATAGGATGTTTCCATTTAACATGCATGCAATTTTTCATCAATACAATCATTATGACATCTTTAAAACTGCAGTAATTTAGCAAGGATAGAGAGGAGTGCTCAGAAGCAAGCAAAATCTGGCACTGAAGATGCTGGTTGGTATGAGAAATGGTGAGTTATACTTCAATGGATGATATTCATGATATTATATTTCATACGCTTTATGTGTGCGGCTGAGCAATGGCAAAATATCTAGGGTATTTTAGTGATAAACTTATTTTGGTAGGTGGGAAAAGTATGATGCCAAAGGCTGGACAGAAAAAGGGGCACACAAGTATGGTAGACTGAATGAACAGTCATGGTGGGAGAAGTGGGGAGAGCATTATGATGGAAGTGGATCTGTTCTCAAATGGTAATTTCAATTAGCCTTGTACTACTAGATTTTGTGTTATTATTAGTAGTTTGAATTCTTGATTTTTTGCAACAATTTACTATCTTCAGATGGTAATATGACACAAAACCATATCGTGCCTTGTTTTATCTTGAAAGGAAAGACTGAGATATGTTAGATTAATGGAAATTTCAACAGCATTTCTTTTGATCTTCTTTATAAGAACGCTTTAACTGATATTGAGATTATAAAGTTTTCTTCTCTTTATTTTTTCCTATTTGGTTAGACCTTCCCACCTCAAGCACTTTCCTATAGTTATATTAAAATTTATTTTTTGATAATATGCAGGACAGATAAATGGGCTGAGACTGAATTGGGAACTAAATGGGGAGATAAGTGGGAAGAGAAGTTTTTTGCTGGCATTGGAGCACGGCAAGGGGAGACATGGCATGTATCTCCGAGTGGTGATCGTATGTATAGTTATTTCAACATTCTATCTGCATGTGATGCATAATTCGATTGTTTTCCAAATTTAACTTGTTCATAAAATTCTTTTGGTCGTATTAATCTCCTATTTGGCAGCTTAAGTTCATGTTTTTTATTTTGTTGAAACTTTGGATAAGTAACTGTATTTGATTATTCTTTTTGGCTGATACCTTGGTGCAAGTTTGTTTCAAAACTCTTTGCTCTTAGTATGAACGCCATAGGAGTAGGGCAGAAAACCTATGGAAGATCTTAAGTCAGTTTGCACAATGGAATATTGTTGAACAGCTGTCCAAGCATCTGAAAAACATGGAAATGGATCAGTGCTTAATTTGTTGTGCCAAGGAACTTTTGGGAAGAAAATTTAGTCTTCCAATGTAACCTATGATCATCTACAGATGAAGAGACCTGAAATTTAACAACTAAGGTGTCCTTTTGTCTTAGTGGGAAGTACAGGCTGGTTGGTTGAATATTGTTCCCTTTTGTGGCATAGACAATGAAATTTATCACTCTTATGACAGGCCAGGCTTCATTGGTTGTCATCATCATTCACAAGAAAAGATTTATAGCTGTATGAAGTTTTTTTTTTTTGTTATTGTTGTGACTCTAGGTATAGAAGTGACCTATAGGATGTTTTGCCTAAACGTCCGTTGTAGAGTTCAATTTTTGAGATGTTTGCATTTAAAGTTGCTCGTCCAGTTTATTTTAATTTTTTGTTACTAAGTTTTGCTTGGTCTAATAGGTTGGTCAAGAACATGGGGTGAGGAGCATTTCGGCAATGGGTATGGAACAGTTTTTCAAACCCTTCCACAAATTCTTGTTATATTAGCTAGAATTTCCATTTTGTTTTTACTGCACATTTTCTTATGCTGAATGCATTCTGATTAAAAATTGGACCGTGCTTTTTATTTATCATGTCTTTCTCTCTGGTGCATTGTATACGGTAGAGACTAATTCCCTTTGCCTCGTAAACAGAAAAGTTCACAAATATGGGAAGAGCACAACTAGTGAAAGCTGGGATATAGTTGTTGATGAGGAGACTTATTATGAGTAAGAACATGTGCTTATCGCTTAGTTAAAACAGTTGTAAATGCTTTTTGGTTTTGTAAATGTGAGAAGAAAAGTACTTGTTAAGATTATAGAAGATCGGAGTAAATTTGCAACAGAAAACTGACACAGTTTTTCACTTTTGTTGAAGGGCTGAACCTCATTATGGGTGGGCAGATGTCGTGGGCGACTCAAGCCAGTTACTAAGCATCCAACCTCGGGCGAGGCCGCCTGGTGTCTACCCAAACCTTGATTTTGGGTCCTCACCACCTCAAGATGATGAACAACCTGACATGCTGCCTCCCTCTTGACAATGAGGAGTTGTTTTTTTAACCCCCTTCCTTTTGCTTTAGGTGGTTTAAATTAATTAATCTCAATCATTTTGGTTGAAACTTGTAACGGAACATTTTGGATTACTGCTGTTCCATTTATTCATTCTTTCAATTGTCAGCGCATCCCACGTTTGGCGATTCTGCTGAGGTAATTCCAAAAATGCCTGGGTAGGTATGATTTAGATTCGAAAGGTAATTATCTTAGGATCGTTGTTTCGTTTATTCTGTTTAGGGTTTTAATTATTATTTAAGCATGAAAAGCAAAATTATGTCAGATCTCGGTAGAAAAACATAGTTGGGTGACATATGTGAGTCAAGGTGCAATGTGCATCCCTCACAAATATTTGGGTTTGCTAGGATTTGACTGTGACTCTGACATTTTGTTAAATTAATCTACAGGGTCAAGCGTAGGCCTCAAGTACTTTACCAGATCATGTAATAGACCAAAATAAGTGTCAGAAAAGTTGATTCGGACCATCTGACCAGGCTTTAATCGGTCCGTATTGTCGTCCAATTAAATTGTCTAGATGGCGAGACTGGGATTTTGAAGAGCTTACGGGCGCCCATATTGGGCCCAAAAATAATACATGTCTGTCGGTCTATATGGGCATCAAATATTTGGATTGTACATTTCCATGGGCCTTTCTTGGAGCATACTAGTAAAAGTTGGTTCAAATCATTGGCCTTTGTTCTAAGGTTGCCCAACCTTACCCCTTACTGGGTCAATGTTGGCCCAATTTTTGGTTACTTTGTGTCAAAGTAAGACCCAATATTGGGCTTATGGCTCCTACTTAGGGAGTGAAAATTGGGTTCAATCTTATCAGGCCTCATTTAAGGTTCGATCCAATCTTTAGCCTTAAGTAGTTGGGCCCGGCTTTGGTTTTTATCACAACTCTTGCCCAACCTTAGCTTCGGGGGGCAAAGTGGGGCTTAACTAGGGCTTCTCTAGGTCAAGGTGGTCAATTTGGGCCTTTTTGGACTGTACAGGCCTTAAGTGGAGCCATAATCAGTCAATGTTTGGTCAAAAGCAGGGCCTTAGTGGATGTACATAGGCTCAATTTGGGCCTACTCTTGGGCTTCATCTGGTCTAAGTGTAGCGGAAATTTAGTTGTACGGGCTATTAGTTGGGCCTAAACTTGGGCCACAATTAGTCAATGTTTGGTCCAAAGCTGGCTCTTAGTGATAAACATGAACTCAATTTGGGCCGATTATTAGGCTTCACTTGTTCAAAGTCCAATTTTTCTTTACGCTTAAATTGGGCCTAAACTTGGGCCAAAAAGTCAAATGTTTGGTCAAAAGCTGGGTTTTAATGAATCTACATGAGTTCAATTTGGGCCTACACTTGGGCTTTACAGGGTTAAAGTTGGCTTAACTTTTTTGTTTGGTCAAATGTTGGGCTTAATAATGAGCTCAATTTGGGCCTACTTTTGGGCTTCACCTGGTCAAACTTAGTCCCAACTTTTTTTCTAAGAGCCTATGTTGTGCCTAAACTGTGACCAAACTTCATCCTATTTTTGGGCCGAGAGCTTTTTGGGTTGACAGGCATGAACAGACCAAACTGCAAATCCCCTTAGATCACCCATTGGGCAAGGAGGTTTTTTGAGTAGACGGGCCCGTAGAGCTCACACTGCCAAATTAGGAGCCCAACTTCCAATTATTTATTATTATTATTATTTTCCATTAATGGACGAGCCTTGCCCCTCGGACGAGCCAATTAATCAGCCGAATGCTAATTTCAGTCCATATCATCGATAAGAAAAAAATTGGCCTTAAGGAGCTAACTCGGGCCTGATATTGGCCCAAACCATTCTTCCAACTAAATGAAAAGTGCCGAAGTTAATCTTAAAACAATAAGTTATCTTTATACATTTTTAATAATAGTAAAATATTTGATATTAATAATATAATGGAAATTTTGTATGATAAATTAATTATATAATACATTTTTTTAATAATAAATTATAATTCAGGAAAAAAAATGGTTACCAACCAATAATTAAGCAGCAGTTCACGCATTCGGGGCTTCCCCTCACGCAAGAAGCATCATCGGAATTTGGTTTCGAGCCGCCGCCAATCTTTCTTGTATCAGTTGGCTTATATATTATAATAGATACTTGAGACAACTAGGATGAAATTTACATCAGTTTTGCTCAACTAAGTAATGGACTTGGAGCAGTAAATGGATGATCTACGTAAGATCAAAAGACCCCAAAACCGGAAAAAGAGAAAAGGAAAAACAAAATCACTAGAACCATAGCTTTATTTCACCCTTTTGTTGTTTTCCCCTAACTTGGCAATTGGATTGAGGCTCAAGATCAATCTCTTCTTAGCAACCCAAAATCAGTAGTAATTGAGGTCAGTTCTGGTGAACCTTTGGCCATAATTCATGTTTTGGAACCTTGTTCTGCGCCAACATCTGAACACGAATAAGTTCCATGTTTGACTCCCCGTCCACCATATGCCCCATTATAAGTTGAATGCTCCTGAAAATTTGAAACTCAAGCAAAAAACAACTGTTGAGACTTTCAGGGGTTTGATAGAGAGGATGACATCTTGCATTATCATCAACAAAACTATGAATTTCAAGAACGTATTTGTCAGGTTTATCAAACTCATTCTATTCAGTCTGAGAGCATCTCTTCCAACTCAGGTTCATCAGAGATGACTGCATCATAATCCAAACCTGTCACTTCATACAGACCCTTCTCTTGAGGTTCATCCTGATCCTCATCATAATCCACATATCAAGCCATCATCATCATCATCATCATCATCATCATCATTTACCATATCTTTTATTGATAAATCATCCAATTTCCCATGTTTTTGTGTCTTGAATCTGCCCTCGCCTTTTCCTTAGCTTCTGAATCTTCACATATACAGGTGGATGGGTTCTCATGAAACTCACCCCTGCCTGGCCTCACCTCATTTGCATCCCCCATAAAGCCTCTCTGTAAGGTATTAACTCTAGAGCAAATGCTTCCCTTGTCATGTTGCTTCTGCTCAAGAACAACCGAATAGATTTTTAGCATTTAGATGAATAGTAGGTTTGTCCAAAATATGTCCTGCAATAACACAATGGAAAATGTTAGCCAGCACTTATAATTACAGAATGGAAGGATGGAAAGGTGGACTTTTGTACCTTCTTCCAGCTAATATTCTAACCATGTTACCATTGTTGTTGGTGACAAACACATAACTCTCATCACAAACAATAAAGTCAAGTGCAGCCATTTGAGAAGAGAATGAAGGAAATGGCTGCAATTCTTCCTTTGTGGCAACGGTATCTCTTGATTAGAAGTTTGGGAAGAGTACTTTTAGGATTCTCAATGTTTAATCCTCTCCATACACTTCACCAGACGCCACATAGATATGAATATTGCTGCCATATCCTAGAGCTCTCAGCATCGGACCAACTTCCTCTGGGCCAAGTGGGCATTTTCCTTGCCTCCATTGCTTATCAGGATTGTTTTCTGCAAACCGATAAAGAGATGCATTACAGCATATGCATTAGATCTGGGGTTGGGAGCTGAATGATGGGAGTCAAATTAATACAAAATGGAGAATTAAAAGTACTGCAGTTTCTGTTCTCACAATATGGCAGTGACTTAAGAATTTTCTATGCATCTCTTTTAAACTCTCCTGTTCTTTATAAAATCTTCAAACAACTGTACTTGAACCTTCTATAATGTTTCCATATCATGGAAATGGACAGAGCTGTATGCGCATTCACATATTTTTTTCTTTCCCTTGGTGTGAGGAGGCTGATATTTATAAACTGAAAAATGATGTTGGGTGATCATAAAAGTGAAAATTTACTTTCCAAATTCCACATTCTATGCCTGTTAAAAATGAGAATTAGGGTGTAGAAAATTATTAGGGTATGACACTAGGGCCTTACATATAAAGTTTTCCACTTCTTTTGTTTGGCACCTAATTCGTTCCTTTCCTTTTCACCTCCACCATAATCACACCCTGTGTAAGAAAGCATATCAGTCTCAAACCTCTAAGAAAAAAGTATGGCCACATTAATAATCTCATACCTGTCTTTTATTATTGAATAGAAAAGCTATTAATTGGACTAATGACGCATTGATTCACTGCTGCATATGCACATATCTATCATGATGAAGTTGGTAAAAGAAACCTCAAACTAGGGTTCTGAAAGACAAATAGCTTTAACTATGGGTAGATAATTAAAGTTTCCATCAGCTCAAATCAGCAGAAAGCTGCCATTTGCATGTTACAGTTTTTTTATTGAATCTTAGCTCATTAAATTATTCTGTTTATACAGTATATGTTTGCCAATTGGGGCATCATTCAAGCAAACACTTCATTATACAATTTCATTCCATATTTACATGCTCACTTACAATTATGAATAAAATAGTATAAAACTCCACAGCGACCGATCAAGAAAATAATGAAGAGCATGTATTCTTGAGTTTAGCCATTGCAAACTATATAAATATTTAGCACTAGAAACATAAATCGTACTCACAGGCTTGCAGCTTCTTGTACTAATTATGATATCAAACACAAAATCAGGCTGGAAAATACTATAAAACATCATTCCAGGAGATAAAAGAACTGAAATGGGAAATAGCTATCACGATTACCCCGGTTCTTTGTTGATTCAAGCCCCCGCTTGTGATGATAGCGAGGACCGAGGGGATGCGTAACAGCTTCAGCTTCTGCAATACAATCAATACATTAATGCCTTTTGACTGCATTAGGTATCTCAGCAATTTCATAATTGTCTGAAGCAGGTTAAAAACCCTAAATCATCTCAATTTTTTCATCATCACTAGATTTGAGGTTTCTCAAACCCATTTTCATGAAACCTAAAGTTTCAACATAGAAACGCACAAATAATTAATCAAACAGGAGAATAAATAAATAAATGATTATACGCACTCACAAATTTGGCGCTGGCATTACAGCATCCATAAAAGATTTTAGTATTCCTCGAACTCCATACGTCAAAACCTAAATTTCCTCCGCTACTCTGTTTCTCGTAAACAATATCCATGGTTAGGATCCAATGAAACCTAAACAAAACCCAACGCATAATCACTCTAAAATTATAAAGAATAATACAGGTAAAGAGGGAACCCTAACGGTAATAAAGAAAACTGAATTGGTAATTGGATCCTCAACGAGTGCGTTAACCTACACGAAGGGAAAAAAGATTTAAGTTATGCGTAAACCAAATCACACATAAATTTTGACGCAAATTGGGGGAAAATGGAGAAAGCGAGATGGAGAGAGGCAATACAGAGGACTGATGGTGGCGAATGTGAAAGCGATCGGATTCGTTAGGAGAAGATGCAAGAAAGGAAATTATAGCGAAGAGGATTAGAAGAGAACCGATGATGGCGGATACTATCTTAACAAAGGATCGGAGGCGGTGGTGGTAAGGGGTTGCGCTGCTGTGGAAAGGCCATAACACCGTCAGTGGTGACGGCGCATTCCAATCTCTTTCCGAGCAAAAACTTAAAAGTATAGAGAGGGAGAGGGAGAAGGAGAGAGAGAACTGATTGATCTCTCTCCACTATAACTCCGACATTGCTCGAAAGATAATGGGTAGAGAGAGTCGGAGGAGTGAAAACATGAGCACAAACCCTAAAAGTGAGATTATATGATGGAACAAATAATAGCGTCGGGCTGATGAGGGGTTGGTTTTTTTTTTTTTTTTTCCCTATTCGCTACTAATAAATGCCTAATATCACGTGTCTTCCCTCATTGTTGGTGAGAAAAATCTTTAGATAAAGTCGAAGAAAGGGAAATTCATGAAAATCTATCGGGCTTATTTTTGCTCAAGTTGAAGAATGGAGAAATTCAAAAAGCTGTCCAATATACTCAGACGTTTGGGCTGGGCTAACATCAAATTGAAGGAAAGCGAATTCCTTTCTATTAAGGATTTTTTATTAGAAATAAGAAAAACCAATCGCAATGTTCCTCTCTCACTCATAAGACGTCCGTCACTAAACAATCAAAGGTGGTTTGACTGGTTTCCAAAGCATGATGGAATGAAAGCAATTGAGAAATCCTGCGGCTAGATAGATAGAAGAGTAGTAGTAGCATTCGATAGTCTGCTTATATTATCCTCTACAAGCTACTCCACACTCTTCTGGTGGAACCCAACTGCACTTTTCACTTTCAAACCAACAAACCCTAATCGCCGGGAACTCCCGCACCACATAACTCACCACTTTTTTCTTCTGCTTTTCGTCACACTTGTTAATGTCTGCACTATAAAGATAAAATAATCAAACTCTGTTTATTTATTTATTGTTTGGTGAAAGGAAAAGTGAATAGAATAGAATAGAATAGAAAAAAAGCTGCCACGGAGCTGACTCTTCCTTTGTAGTGCAAAGTTCTTCGTCAGTCCTGTCATCGTGTAAGCGTAAACTATTTCTTCCCTCAGTTCGCTTCCCAAGAAAGATTAAAAGCAAGAGAAGGTTGGGTTTTAGAATGAAGCTTACGATTCTTCCATCTCCTAATGGCACTCTGGTATCTCTCTCTCTCTCTCTCTCTCTCTCTCTCATGTGTTTTTCTTGGCTGGATGTTTTATTCAAGTAGTTTTTAATTGTCCTTTCTTAAAAAGAAAAATCAGCAGCCTAAAACCAGTAGAGATCATATTGGAGTATGTGAAATATGTGCAGCCGGGGTTCAAGGAATTGTTCGTTAACCCCCCCCCCCCCCACCAACAGGTTTCATTTTTCTGTTTCCCTATTTGCTCTGGATGCTGATTCCTTGGGTTCTAAAATTGAATGTTATTTTTTTCAGGTTGTTGAGGCAATGCGGCAAACGGTTACAGATATGATTGAAACCCTGCGCCTCCAATTTTTTGCGGTGACAGTCACCACCTTTAGTATATTATGCTTTTCAGTCTGATTTTGATTATGGTTTTTTAGTGGTATTGAACTCTACTCTTATCAGTTTAGACAATCATTGGGATCTCTTTGGTTTTCCTTTAGGTTGCTGAAAAACTTGCACAACTCTTGTACAGTGTTATGATGACTGGATATATATCTTCAGGAATGCACGATACGGATTGGAATTGCAACAAAGCTTAGAGCAGGCTGCTCTTCCTGAGGGGCAAGAAAAGAAGGTAAGTCTTTGTTTCCCCTTTTGCTTCTTAACCAAGACGGTAACTGTTATCTGGAGAAAACCTTGCGAGGCTGCGGCTATTGCTTTGCCACTAACCCAAGCCCAATAGGTAATGGCTCTCACAGCTGCTCTATAGTGGTGTACTCTGGAACCATGGATAATGCAGCCTGTTATGATAGGGCGAATTCTCACATTGATACACATGAGAAAGGAAACAGAATTAGACAGTGACATATTTCGTTTTGATGATATAACTGCTTGTCATTGGTGTCTAAACGGAACTTACCACGGGAATTAATATCCTTGTCTTTAAGTAGTTGAATCCTATCATGTTATCTGTTCTGTTTTTTTCTTTTTTACTTCCTTGACCTAGAGAGTTTTTTTTTCCAGTTTGATGCTAGTGTAAGTTAAATCTGAGGGCCACTAGACGTTATAGCTTTGTCTAAATCAGCAATGCAAGACTTCATTTTTGTACTTCTTGTTAATTTGGTGTTAAAATTAATGCAACACGAATTTGCTCTGATGCAGATAAATTATGCTTATTCGTTGTTCGCTTAGTATTTGTGTCTTTTTCTAGATATCTTCTTTTACTATGCAAAACAATAACATGCTTAGTATTTTATCAAAAGCCTTGAGAATATCACGTGACTTCTTTGTGCTGCTGCTCAAAAAAGATTAGATGCCAAGTATATACAACAAAACATGTGTAAGACTACTTAACCCTAGTAACAAGTGGCTGTTTGTCTCATTAAGAACTAAAAGGTTTATATTTTCCGGGTTCTAATCCTTGTTGATGTCTGTACTGTTTTTCTTGTTTGCTGCAGGATAACCAGAGCCAAATAAACAATAACTTTGAGCCAAACAAGAGCAACAGAAGCATAATGAAGCATTTAATTCATAAAGGTCGAGACTTTTATAATAGCAAAATTATAATATACTACTCTATAAAAACTGACTGATTCCAAAAAAAAAAAAAAATACTGACAGATTAACTACACTAACCAATATTCCAATTTTCTTGGAACTAGAGTGAAATAATTAATAATATTTTCTTCCCGTTTTAAGAGCACAAACTTGCTTTCTTGTGGACTCAGAGATGTATAATCAATGAAGAAAATAAGCACTGTGTTGTGAGGTTTGCATTCTATCACACGTTCCAAGAAAAGCATTATAAGGATATGGATGTGGGCATTCACAAACATGATCCGACAGAGCCTCATCTAAGTCAAGTTCTTATGCAATTGCAGTTGCAGATGTAGTTGCATACAGGCGCACTCAGCTGATCGAAATCCCCGGGATTTGGTCTGGTCGGCCTTGAGTCAAGATTTGGCCCAACTGACCGCAAAAAACTGAGTAACAAGATGGTCCATAACCAGGGCCCGAAAACTTCTCAACCGAGCCCAAATCTGGCAAATGCATTTTTAAAATAAAAAGATTTAGTTGATTTTTTTTTATTTTTCTTATCATATTGTTGGTACAATAAAATTTTCTTTTTATTCTGAGTATTCTCATTCCTATTATTATTATTATTGTGTGGATGACTTTGATGCCGCTGTTGTTTTTTATAGATATTATAATTATTGTTATTATCGTTGTTGTAATTGTCAGTTAAGGAAGTTTTACTGACAAAGTCAAAGTAAGTTGTCGTATTAGAAAGAGGGAGGATGACCAGGATTGAGGAGCAAATAAATCAGATAGAGCCAATCTGGAGGTAGATGAAAACAATATTTTTCATTTTGATGTGATAATATATATGTTGGATGTGTCCGGCGTTATTGTTTTATTTGCAGATTGCAGGCTATGCCTTTATCCTTCATTGTTTTACCAATGAAAATCATAAACAACCGATTTCAAAAACAGACAGATAAAAGCATGTTATATTTCTAATCTTGTACGTAGGTGTCCCCAAAAACCTCTATAGAATACTATTAGAAAGCCAGAAAAAACAAAGAAATTGGAGGTTTAAATCATGACTGAGGCGAGCATCAAACCCACTTCTCCGACACAGATACAGAGATAAGTTCGTGTTAAAACCTTACATGGTTACGTACTTCTAACAGTGGCAGGCTTTCTATCTTCCTGTCTGAGAAAATGGTTATGGAGGTCGAAACAGTTTCCAGAGAATTTATCAAACCCACTTCTCCGACACCCCATCATCTTAGAACTCACAGCCTTTCCTTCTTGGATCAGTACGCTCCTTCAATTTATGTTCCCATGGTCTTCTTCTACATGAACCAAGAAACGAGCATTCCCCTTACTGATATTATTGCCTCCAACCACAAGAGGTCACAACGGCTAAAGCAATCTCTATCAGAAACCTTAACTCTCTTTTATCCATTCGCTGGAAGGATCAAAGACAGCCTTTCCATTGATTGTAACGATAAGGGAGCTTACTATGTAGAGGCTAGAGTTAACCGTCCTCTTAATGACCTTCTGAACCTCCCTGATCCATCTTTTATCCCAGAACTCCTTCCTGCTGAGGCTGGTTGGACTGAAACAGGAGGAGGTTGTGTAGCCATGATACAAGTTACCACCTTTGCATGCGGTAGCATTGTTATTGGCACATTTCTTTCGCATATGATCGTCGATGGACCTGCAGCTTCAACGTTTCTCAGAAGTTGGGCTGCAGTGACTAGCAAATCTGGTGAAGAAGCTGTATGTCCAAAATTTGATGCCTCTTTGGTATACCCAAAGAGTGAGACATATCCCAAGGAGGCAACCAATTTAGCTCTGTTTAGCCCATTTTTCAAAAAAGGAATTTGTTCGTCGAGGAGAATCATTTTTGATGCCTCAGCAATAGCTTCACTGAAGACCAAAACAGCAAGTGCAAGTGTACCAGATCCAACACGAGTCGAGACCGTGTCAGCCCTCCTCAGCAAGTGTATCATGGCTACTTTCAAAGCAAAATCCGATGTCCAGAAGCCAACTCTTATAAACCACGCAGTGAATCTTCGTCAAAGGGCAGTGCCGCCAGTCCCAAAACATACAATGGGAAATTTCTTATGCATGGCGGCTGCATTATTGACAGGTAAAGAAACGGAGTTGGGTGACTTGGTTTGCCATCTAAGGAAAGCGATACGAAAAGCTGATGGTGATTTTGTTAAGAGCCTACAAGGAGAGGGAGGACTGCTTAAATATTGCAAGTACATAGAGGAAATGGGTAAGGCATCGTCTGGTGCAGCTGGTCAGGTTGATTTTATTGGGTTTAGTAGTTGGTGCAACTTCGGTCTTTATGAGATAGATTTTGGCTGGGGAAAGCCTACGTGGGTTACAAGCAGTGCCTCCAACAAATCGGAAACTATGTTCCCGAATATGATTATTCTCATGGATACAAAAATGGGAGATGGAGTTGAAGCGTGGGTGTTCTTGGATGAGCACGACATGATTATGCTAGAGCAGAACGAAGAGCTCCTTGCATTTGTCTTCCTGGAACAGAGTCCAGTGAAAAGTGGGTTATGCTGTTTGAAATGATTTATAAACGAACCAGCCAATAAGGAATTCCCTAGCGGAATATGATCTTACATAAAGTTAAGATTAGAGCATCAGCTCATAAATAAAATACTTAATATTAAAGATGACTGAGACAAACAAAATCTGATCAGTATACAAATAAAACAAGTTTTTCTTCCCCCCACCCCTCCATTTTTTCCTCATCAGTTGAATGGTATATTATATTATATCAAAAGTTTTTTTTTAATATTATATCAGAAGTTAATTCTAGTATTCATGTTAGCATAAGTTAATTAATTTGTTTGTTAAGTGTCAATCTAATCAACATGCAAAAAATCTCTAATTCTCTTATACAAATTCACGACATCTTTTTATCCAAAGTATGTAACATGCAGCTTTCCTCACGTTGTATTCTATGTATAATGTCAAAGAGGTATGGCCGAAACAATTAGTCTGCCACCCTTAGTTTTTGAAATTCGAGAACAGAACATGAAAAATAATAGTACCGAGGATAACAAGAAAAGCCTGAAATATGTTCTTGTTTCCTGCATTCCAACCTCAAGCAACTCCATTTTCTTCCCATATCTATTTCTCCTCCCTATTAAGTAAGTATCAAGATATTCATCTATGGACACCCATTTGTCCAAATTAAATACACCAACCTTGGTATGGACATCTAGCTGACGTGGTCCCAGCTTAAAAGTTGTGAAAAAGGCAGCAGACCAGTCATTGAGAACTCTCTGAAAATGCAAACAAAATCTTTCTTACTGAAAAAAGTTCAAAAAATATTGTTTGGAAAAGCAATATGAAAAACAAAAGAATGTAAGCAGTCGGTTTTAGAGGCAACTCAACATACCTTTAAGGTGGTATGGTCAACTGGATTGACCATTTTAAAGCAGCCGATTGTCGAGGCTGTACCATCTCCATAGATCTGCCCGCAACATGCAGTTATGGCTGTTAATAAGGTAAATTTGCTCTAGGTTATTCTGTGAAAAGAGAGTTTTCATTTCAAATACCTCGAAGGTAAATGCCATGGGTACTCTTACAACATCATACATGTAATCCGTTGCTGTCCCACGTGTCAGATACCTGAAAGTAGTATAAATATATTGGTGGGATGAGATCGAATGGAAAACAAGAAAACATACTAAAACCCAAAGATTATTTTTTTTTTTTTTTTACTTTTACTTTTTGGTGAGAACATAAAAAAATTTCCATTAAAACCCCAGCTTGAGAACTTTTAATCTCATACCTTTGTTTGCATATACAGCAATTCATTGAACTATAGAGTGCTATTGTATAAAAATGAAGCATTTCAAGAATGAAGTCACTGTCACAGACTATAAATTACTGTACAGGTAGGAATGTTTCCAGAAAATGGCTTCCAAAAGACAACCTTAAAAGAAATGATAATAAAGCTGAAAAAATGATTAGTTGCCAATGCAGAATATTTTATAGCGCAATGGTCCTATCTCTCAAGTTCATGGAGTACTCTCTCTCTCTCTCTCTCTCTCTATATATATATATATATATATATATACACACACACACACATACATAATGATGTCATCACAAATCATCTTTGCTAAGTATAAAAATACAAACCCGACAGAACCTCCACCAGAACCATTCATGCAACGCTTGTGGAAATGAACTTTATTCAGTTCTTCAAGCAACAATCTCATTTGACGTGATGGCAATCCGTCAGGGGTTGTGTTTTTGTGGTCATATGGCAAAAATAGTGCCTAGACGAATTATAATCAAAACCAAGTAGGTCATACAGACGGCACACCAGAACCATCCATAAAGGAAAAAAGATGGACCAAAAAGCATAAAGCAAGCTTGGGCATCAGCCTAGGATGAAAATGAAAGAAATTAAACATTAACTATATCAAGCCCATGTATTAAATTCGCTCCAATAAATACATTTTTGAGCAAAGATGGAAATGCTTCTGCAAAAAGTACTGGTTTCTGACTGCAACAACTGAACTACCAGCAATCGAAAGATACTAAAACGTTATAAAATATAAGAACCAATCTTCTTTTCACTCTGGTATAGACAGAATATCAAATGATTGATTATTATACTATATGCTCTTAACAACATTATCAAATATTCTAAATCCAAAGTTTTCTCTAGATATAGACAGAATATCAAAGATTATCATTTTCTTTATGAGTTTTTGTCATGTATGAATGTTGCAAATCAATCATATTAATTCCTGTTGGAGAAACATTTCAGTTAAAAGAAAATGCCTTTTAGTGCATGTGAATGCTTCCTAGAGATTTCAATGTCCAAAAAAGTATTTTAATGCAGCAATTCTTAGGAAAGAATAGCCTAAGCATTGATAAATAGTTAAGGCAAAAATCAGTAGATGAAGGAAAAAGAAAGAACTATTAGCATGGAACTCAGGATCACTAATCACTTGCCTCCATACCAGAGTGCACATTAACCCATATTTGAGGATCAAATGATATTGCAAGCTTCTGTATGATTTGGGTTTCAGGCTCGCTAAAAGCAGCAGTTCCAGGATTCTCTTCATATGGATCGTAGTCCTATAATTGAAGAAAAAAATTGAATGAAGAACCTCATCCTATAAATGAAGAGAAGACTTAAAACATGCAACTGTAGTAAGAACCATATGAAATAGGATTTGTATGTAGAAAATGAGAGGCATAATGAACCTTCTCCTTCTTACCCCAATCTACACTCCAATTCCGGTTGAGATCAACTCCTCTCCCTGGCAAAGTAACCTAATTTAGACATTTCAACTTATTAACACAAGATCATAGATATTTTATAGTTATAGGATAAATTGCATTATCATTTCTCCTTTCACAAAGCTCTCCTGCTTCAACAAGCTTGCGGCCATTCAAATTCTCCATTGGCACTCCCTACCAAATTATTGGACATTAGCACTCTAGTTATTAATGGTCAATGTATTGTTTCTAAAAATAAGTAAAGAAGCAAGGTGATTTTTTAAATTATTTTAATTTATACAACATATATCCTATAGCAACCTAGCATCACATGTTCACTGAACATGTATGCTTGACTGGACCCTAGGACACATATTACTAACTAAGTGTCAACCTATGAGGATATTAAATAAGAAAATCTTATCCATACTTCCTCATTTAGCAAGTTCGTAATTTGCAAAAACAACTCACTTTGCTATACTATTACAGATACATTAATTCACACTGTGGGAAAACAAAAGCCAAGAATGTTCTTGCAAGTGAATATAAATTACCTTTATAACTACATTTTCAAGGGTACTACTTAGGGAGGCTCGGTCCATCTTGAGTAGAAACTGTTCTTCACTTAAGATTGACAAGATCCGCCATGCCAGTTCAGAGGTAATAAGCTCCCTCCCATGCTGCCTAAAACTCTGGAAGACAAGGAATTATCTGTCAAGAACACCAGCTATTACGAATTTGAGATCATATATTAACTACACATCGGATTAGAATTTAGAAAGGACACTAGCAATACAATGATTGTATGCAAATTTAAGCATTAGATTCCCATCTGTTAAAATTTTTAATAACTAGAAAGCAAAAACATCAATTGGTCTTCCCATACCATTCATAAAACATGATTATGCATAAAACATGATTATGCAGGAAACTTACAAGAAGGATCCGAAACTTCGACCTGTCATCACTCTCTTTCCCGCTCTGGCAATAAGTAACAACAGTGATCTCTGCCTCATAGCCTTTGTTTCCAGCTTTAATTGTTTCTACCTGTTTATGGTACGAATAGTAGTAAACCAAATGCCCACACCATAATTGTTTCCAAATATAAGAAGTTGTAGTCCACCTACAATGCGTTTGTCAGGGTGTCGATGTACCACAGACTTTATCTGTTCGATCAAATCATTACTGCAAAACAGTATAGAAGTACATTAAAACAAGAAACAAAATAATATGGCTCAAAACTCCAAAGTCCAATGGCACTTTCGAACCAAAGATTGAAAAAATATATATATATATATATATATGTTTGGTTTCTGAAACTAGATCCTTCACATCATGTTCAGAAACTTGATAAGTCATAAGGTTGAACAATCTAGACTAGATTAGTTCATTTTCCTTTTCGTCTATTCTCAGACTGTTACTCTTTTTCTTCTCATGTCATGATTCTTGAGATCTAGAAAACCAGTGAACTTAAAAGTATGGCAGAAAGTTCAAAATCTGACGTTCAAATATAGTCTGGCAAATTCCATTATGCCAAATTAATCTCAAAAGGTGAGGGTATCATGTAATTCTTCCGAAACTAGTCTGGGCAAACTTAAATTTTGAGATTTCTTCAACAAAATTTGTTAGCTGTATTTCAAGCATATTAATAATATATTTCCGCAGGTGTTTGCAGCAAACAAACTTTGGTTTTCTTTTTTCTTTTTCGGGTTCAAAAGACTCATTCATCGACAAAAATATTAAAGAAAATTAAAGTTAGAATATTCTGCTCATTAATTCCGGGGAAGGTAAAAAACCATAAAATATATATCAAGCAAATTTAAGATTTTGTCATCAGACTACTAATGGGAAATGCTAAGCTTGAACCTTGAGGCAAGGATTTGATAATCCTATATCCATATTAAATCATACGCCACAAAGAAAAAAACAAAAAAGAGAAAACTTTACTAACTGTTTCACAAACTTCAAAGAAATAAGAGATATTAATAGCATGAAAAATAAAGTAACGAGAAAGAATACCCGGAATGGTAGAGATGGTGGTTGACGGGAGTAAAAGAAGGTTGGGTGAGATTAGCATCGGCGCAAACAAGAGAGAAACTTCGCAAACAAGCAAAAAAGGAGAGGAAAGAAGATAAGAGAAGAAAGGAAGCACCAACGAGCAATCGAATGGGAAGAAAAATGCTGACGCTGTTGGTGCTGTGTAGGGATTTCTGTGTTAATTTTTATTTCATATTTTCTAGGATGAAAATATGTATAAGTGAAGATGATTCCTTCTGTCCTGCAAGGACTTTTTGGTTTCGCTGATGAGTTGGTTTCAAAGAAAAGAGAGAGAGAGAGAGAGAGAGAGAGAATGTGTGGCTTTGTCAGTTTGCCTGCTGGATTTTCCACGTTCAACGGCCTTGTTTTTTATTTTGTTTTATTTCCATCGTAAGGCGGTGACGCTGACAGTAGTGTCGTTCTATGTACTCTTCATAATATAATAATATCAATCTTCAGCGATCGGATTTCAGAAACGGATTTCATAACGGTTAGGTCAAATGGATTTTCTTCTCTCCGTCTCCCTGTCCATTACTATTTACTTTGCTTAGTGGGAGGGGGAAGCCATAAAGATGGGCTGCTGCAAGCAGTAGTGGAGACCACGTCAAACTAAGCTCGGTCCTTTGGTATTTTTGGGCTGAACTCCCTTTGCCTTATTGCGGGACTTTCAACCTTCATTTTTGGGGCTCATTACTACTTTGGTGGCTTGTCGACATGTTTAATCCTCATTTTATCTTTGTTTTAATTTTCTTTAAATTTTTTAGTTTAATTTCCAAATCAACGGTTGGCCAAAAAAAAATTTGCTAATCAACAGTGCTTGATCTATTGACTATAGTATGTACGAAATTCAATGATATAAAGGGCTAATTATTCTCTACAAACATGATGGGCACCGTACCCTATCATGGTTAGGATGAAAACGTCAACTGCGAAGCTCCAGTTACTTGTAACTCTCTTTATAATTTATAATAGAAATAAAATATAGTTTTAACGACAATGACCCAAAATAAGATCCGAAAGCTAATCAAAATGTAAAATTATCGGATAAGATGTATTGATATAAATATTTGTATGGATAATTTTTTTTTTATGATCCATAAGATAATATTTATATTATATTATTTATTAAGTAATTTTATTTAATAAATTATTTAAATTTAATATGTTTGGATAATTATGTAAATTTAATATATTTGGATAATTATTTAAATTCAAATCAAAATCTATAAAATATTAAAAATTTTACATAAATTTTAAATTCAAATATATTAAATTATAAATTACCTTTCTTTTTTAATTTAATCATAATTCTAAATATATATATATAGGCTTAATAAACTTTTATTTACTTTCAAATAATTTTATTTAATATATTATATAAATTAAATATTTTTGGGTAACAATTTAAATTCAAATAAAACTTTTATCAAAAATTAAAAAATTTACATATATTTTGAATTTAAATATATTAAATCATAATTTATCTTTTCTTTTCAAATTTAATAATAGCTTTACATATATATATATATATATTATATGTGTATGTGTAAGCTTAACAAAATTTTATTTGTTGAAATCAAAATCTCAAAAATAAAAATAAAAAGCTCATAAAATGAGAGTATCACCCCCTAACCAATATTATTTTATTCGTTATTATTAGAATCAGAAATTGAAGAATACAAAATTTTTTATTTGACAATTATAGTTTATGAGTTTTGACAAAAATAAATAAAAATTAGAAAGAGTAATAATCATATCATACTCATGAACAAGTAAATTCATGTTATGCCTTTATTTTTCTTTTATTATTATTTTTTTAGTTTTAAAAATAAGTTTGTAATGGTGTTAGATTGTTTTTTCTTTGTTTTTATAATATATATATTTTTTTAGATTTCAATAATGAAAAAAAAAAATGAGCACACATTTAGATTGGTTTCAACTAGGTAATAGGTATAATTCATTTTTTTTTTCCTATTCTATTTTTTTTCCTCTATTTGTTTGTTTCTTCCAATCTTTTGTTTGGTTTTTATATTATATGATATATAAATTTAGATTTGATTTATTTTAAAAAAAGTTTGTTCATATGTATATATATATATATATATAGTTAAACTGGATATTTATTATGCATAAGCATAAAAAGATTTAAATTATATATATGCTCTCAATTTGTATATTTAATCAAATCAAAAATTATAAAATATTAAAAAATTTACATAAATTTTAAATTTAAATATATTAAATTATAAATTCATTTTATTTTTTAATTTAATCATAAATCCAAATATATATAGGCTTAATAAATTTTTATCTACTGTGAAATAATTTTATTTAATAAATTATATAAATTTAATATTTTTGGATAACTATTTAAATTCAAATCAAACTCTATAAAAAATTATAGATTTTACATAAATTTTGGTTTTAAATATATTAAATTATAATTTACCTTTTTCTTTTTAAATTTAATTATAACTATACACACACACACATATATAATATATATATACATATATCTCTCTATGTGTGTATGAGCTAAATTTTTATTTGTTGAAATCAAAATATCAAAATAAAAATAAAGAACTCATAAAGTGAGTACATCACCTTTTAACCAATGTTATTTTATTTGTTATTATTAGAATTATAAATTGAAAAATACAATCTTTTTTTTGTTTGATGATTATAATTTATGAGTTTTGGTAGAAATGGACAAAAGCTAGAAAGAATAATAACCACATTATATTCATAAATAAGTAAATTCACTTTATGCCTTTATGATTCTTTTATTTTTATTTTTTAGTTTTAAAAATAAGTTTATGATGGTGTTGGATTGTTTTTTTATTTTATAATATTGATTTTTTTTTTTTTTAGACTTCAATAATAAAAAGAAAATGGGAGCATATTCAATTAAGTTTCAACTAGGCAATAGGTATAGTTCATTACCTTTTTTATATTATATTTTTTATTTTTTATTTTCCTCTATTTGTTTGTTTCTTCAAACTTATTATTTGGTTTTATTTGTATTATATGATATATGCATCTAGATATGATCTATTCTAAAATAAAATTGGTTCATATGTTTATATGTATATATAGATATATATATATATATAATTAAATTGGATATTTGCTATAAGTACAAGATATCTAAATTATTTATAATTCTCAATTTTGTATAATTGGTTTATGTTCTAATAAAAAAACAACTATGTATATGTTAAAGTATATATTTAAAAAAAATAAGAAGTATTAAAAAGAAAATTGTTACAAGCAAATTAATAATTATGTTTTGTAGTTCAATCATATATTATTATTATTTGATGTTTTATTTTTGGCGTAGCTTTATAAGATTTAATAATTTAAGAATATTTTGCTAATATAAATGTCTTTTACAATTTAATCAAATGATATATTTTTTATATATTCATATTACCATATAAACAATTATTAATTTTGACTATTTTATTTTTAATAAGCCAAAATAAAATTTTATTAAAAGTAGTGAAATGGTTATAAATATCTAACCACAATCAAAAGTACAATAAAGCACAGAAAGAATATAAACCCTAAAAAAATTATACCAACATCAGGTGAGGAATCTAAAAGCGTAGATAACAATATTTTTAACACTAAAAAAAAAAACAATAATAAAAATCTTAATCATTTAAAACTAAACTCTACTTTTTTGATCCAATAAGAAAAAATGAGTAGCCAAATTTTCATTGTTTAGTAAATAAATTGAAAAAATAGTTTTTATGAAAATGAAAAATTTTTTATAATTCTTTGAAATTTTATAAAAAGTTTGACTTTGAAAAAATATTATAATATATATAAACTCTTATTTAGTTGTACCTTAATATTTATGAATGTATAATTATATATAATAAACCAATAAATATTTATATTTTTTATTAAAGTAATATAAAAAATTAAGGTTAATTAAAAAACTTTAATTATTAAAAATAATAAAAAAAAGTTCGTGCATGGCATGGGTTAAAAAACTAGTTCAGAAATGACTTGCTGATCATCAAATGGACTAGGATCAAATATAGCCAATTTCAGGAGCTCCTTATCTAGTTCAAGTATATATTGCCATGTCTTGTTCATCGAAGGTCACCCATGCTTCTATGCCGTCACCAAATTGCTTGTCCACTAGAATTATGCGGAGTTTTCCATCCCAAAACTGCTGACCCATACAGGTTTTCCCACCTAAAATCGGCCTGATACAACCCAAATTACACCACGGGCTAAATCCAAAATGGTCTAATCCACCTTAGGAGAACAGATCGCCTATTTATCCGAGAGTCTCAGAAATCAGAGATTTCCCTTCATCATGATCTCCTAATTTCTTTATAAGATCATCATCAACTCTTGGTATTGCCTCCCTTACCTGTCCTACCAAGTCAGGCAAATCTGACTTATTCTCAGCCTTGCATTTTGCAGATGCTAACCAGAGGAAATTTCCAGTAGAATTCTCCATATTTATCAAAATATCCGAAATAAATAAATATCCAAAATTTTTTATTTTTCTAATTCAAAATCCTATTCATCATATAATATAGATGGAAAAAGATTTTCTTCACTATTTAAAAAATAAGTGGAAGTTTTGGATTGTGATTTCCTATAAATACCTTTTATATGTTAGCTCTACAGACTGTCATAATAAGTGGAAGTTTTCAATGGTGATTTCCTATAAAAGCCTTTTTATATGTTAGCTCTAAAATTACGACAGTCTGAAATAGCCCCATTTAATTACTTCTTATACCTGAAACATCCATTAAGTCCGATACACCAGGCCACAAAAAGACTCCTTTTTAGAACATTGGATCTTGTTAACTTTGAGCTTTTGTGTGTTTTATGTTTTATACATAAAAATTTTGGTCGAGAAGTTTAGGCTCTGTTTGGTTTTGTTAAAATGAAGTAAAAGCCTTCGACATCACTAGAGACTAACTATTAATTACATTATTCGATCAATGTGTTTCTTTGAAAAGTAAATATATATATATGTTTTTAACTTTAGAATTATGTATTTTGCATGGTTTAATATTGAATAGAAAAATCAATACTCAGAGTTACAATATACAGGTACCATACATACCTTTTATTGTAAAGAACCAAAAAAAAAAAAAAAAAAAAACCAATTGATGGAAGTCAAATAATCCAACGCCGCTGATTCACTGATATGTAGTGATTTAATTCGCCCAAGTTATAGAATTACAAATATACCCTAAATTTAAAATTATTCGCTTGAGTGCCTAGGGTTTGTGATTTGTACAAAAGCAGAGCGGAAGATTCAGAAAGAAAGGGAAAAAGGAAAGAAGAGGGAAACAATGAGCCGAAGCTTGGGCATACCGGTAAAGCTACTACACGAGGCGTCGGGTCACGTGGTAACGGTGGAGCTGAAGAGCGGAGAGCTTTACAGAGGAAGCATGATCGAGTGCGAGGATAACTGGAATTGTCAGCTTGAGAACATCACCTACACTGCTAAAGTACCTCTCTTTCTCACTTTTCTTTTCCTTTTTCTTCTTTAGCTGTTCAGTAACGAGTTTGATTTGTTTAACTTTTATTTGAAGCTGAGAAATTTAGGGTTTATGCTCAGTTAGTGATAAAACTTTAAATGTTTCAACATTTGATGTTAGATTTAGGCATTGTATGCCGGAACTGTGGACTTAAGTTTACGAATAGGTTAAATCCTAAGAGGGAGACCAAGAGATGGTTGGAGTTTAATGTTTGAAGTTGGGGTTATCACTCAGCAATCTCTTACTGCTATATCTTGCTTTGTCCTTGGATTTGTTTTATTGATTGTTGTGTCATTCTAGTTTGGTTTCACGTATTGTTGTGTATATTCCAATCAGATTTTATTTAATGGAGTATCTTTGTTCCTGACTTCTTGCATCATGGTTCTTTATTTGATATATCCAATTTCCTCACGATTCAAAGTTGGAATAAGGAAAATGAGGATTTCACTCAGATTGTATTTCCCAATTTTCTTTCTGAAAAAATCCTTGTGATTTAAGTCCATGTTCCTCTCATCCCCCTTTTCAGAAGTAGATGCTTCAAGACCACATTCTCTTTCCCTTTATCTCTAGCTTCTTTTTTGTCCTTCCTCTCAATTACTTCCATTAATAACTGATTTTAAGATGATTGGTTTGGCTTTGCTTCAGGATGGAAAGGTATCACAGCTTGAGCATGTTTTCATTCGAGGCAGTAAAGTCAGGTATTATCTCTCTCTCTTTGCCTTGTCCCCCCTTTTTTTAATGGGGTTGATAAGTGGTATTTGAGAGTATGTTTAAATTATTCCCTAAACTTTGTTTGTCTATTAAAAACTGGACTTATTTTGACAGGTTTATGGTCATACCTGACATGTTGAAGAATGCTCCAATGTTCAAGCGTCTGGATGCTAAAATCAAGGTATGCATCTATTTGTTTTTGTACATTGTGCACTTGTTAGAATAATTCTAACTTCGTTTCATAACTTCTTGAAGGGTAAGAGCTCATCTCTAGGAGTTGGCAGAGGTAGAGCTGTTGCAATGCGAGCCAAGGTAAGTTCAGCTATCCTGAAATTATGATGGAACCAAAAGAATTGTGCTTTTGTTTGCTTAATTTTTATTAATGTCCTTATCTTGTTTCTGTGCTTCAGTTCACAAATTTTATTGTATTTTATTTTTTGTTTTACAGGCCCAAGCTGCTGGCCGTGGCACAACAGCCGGTAGAGGTGTTGTGCCATCTGTTCGTAGATAACTTTGTCTTGTCAAATGTTTTCTATTCTCTTCCGTCAGTAGCAGCGTGCATCATCATAGGTCACCTGAGAAATGCTTTGAATTTATTACCAAGCTTGTACCTCCTCATACTTGATGTGAAAGGGTGACTCTTTTGTTATGTTGAGGGAAAAGAAATTAGATAGAGGTGAATTTATTTTGCCTGGATCCAATTGACTGCTCAATTTCTGTATGCATGTATTGAAATGCCAAAATGATCTCACTGTTTTTAGGAGCATGATAAAGCGTGCACATCTATCCCAGAATTATCAATTTGGTCTTCTGAATCTTATGCCTGCATCGTGGTTTTGTGATTGTAGGGAAGTGCTAGTATGATGGGATCATCTGAATCAGTGACTTCCATGCCATAAGTCTATAGGGATCCTTATATTTGTGTGTTCAATAGCCATTTATATGCATCTGAACGTTGGTAAAAGTTAAACAATGGTAATCTCAGTAGTCTTAAACCTACACAAAGTGTCTACTACAAGAGCACAATGATCCTAGGTTACGTGAAGGTCTTTTGGGTCTTTTGGGGTTGTGTGTAGAAGATGCGTTTGGCGCGTTTAGAGCATTAGCTTTTTACAGTATGTACGGGTAGATCTTATCATGTGGGCGAAGTGACCCACAACAACCGATCTTTACGTGGAATGCCGAACAAGCATATTCTAAATCAAAAGATGCTGGTAAGTACAAATATAGGGTGTTCTATGAAAAAAAGAGCTACCTTTAGAAAAAAATAGGGGTAGTTAGTTTCTTTTGAGGATGAGGACCAGATTATTGAGCAAGTGGAATGAATTGGATAAGGTAGATTCTGTACTCAACTACATGAAATTTATTGGTGCAACTGTACATGGTAGGTTAAACCTAAAAAAAATAAACTTGAAGGAAATGATATTGGAAAAGCCAGATCCTCATAATCCTACTCAGTGGAAGTAACCGTACTGCTCCAGGAAGCAAATGCTTTCCAGGGGCTAGAAGCATCTGTGGTTGCACCGGTGAGTAGAACTCTAAAGAATCTAAACGTAAGCAGAGAATTTGGTCCAGTTACAGGCCATGATGCAAACTAACCTGGCTTGCACCTTGTTTGATCATTCTCGTGTACTCTCAAATCTATCCAAGTCCTTCCATCCACAGAACCCTGGCAAAATCGAGGAGAGTTACCTTACAGTTCGTTTCCATTGTTAGAATTCACTTATTTCAGCACAAGCATCTAAGAATAAATTCAGTTAATATCTTCTTTACCTGAAATTTCCAACATCTTATGTAGGCCCCGGAGCCATCCTGTCTCAATGTGTAGTAGTTGGACGTGAGATGCATTAATCACATTGGCTCATTAGCAGACTGGTACCAGATTTCACTCAAAGCAACACTTGCACTGAAATTTTTAATTTAATACAGATGAGAACAGTATGAAATTAATCAGGCACATGCTATGACTGGAAGAGACCGATAGACAGGAAAACTCAATTGCAGCTGAAACTTCTTTGTGGCTGAAGTCATAGACCATATTATCTTCCAAAGATATGATCCTTATGAATGCATTATTTATGTTTACAGACAACTTAATTCAACCAAATTAAAGTTTTTTTTGGTATGACAGATTAGTGGGAGTACACAGCAGAAACCTGATGATCTTGGCCAATGTCAACCATCCACCATGCACAAATATGTCTGTCTTCCATACGAGGCCCAGCAAAACACGTTCCCTGACACAGGACATATCATTTGGTTGTCATTCAGTTCAGCTAATAATGCATTAGACCTTAGACTTCTTTTTTAGAGAACTTTGGAAGGGTTTGATTCATCATACCTGGTAAGTTGCTGATACCAAAACTTTGGGATCAGTGTATCTTGAAGAGGGAGTGCTAGCTGTAATAGCAATTCTCTGAAGCATGTAGTTAAAGAAAAGGGAGGGGGGGGGGGGGGAGTAAGGAACAGTAACTGGGTTATGAATGAAAAAATAAAGAGGATTGAGAATTTCACCTTAGACAGGACAGGGTTAACCCATGGATGTTCACCGTATGATGTCCCAGCGAAGTACAGAACTCCATTGCTATCCCCATCACATATATACTGGAGCTCCTTATAACTGGATCGTCTATGTTGAAATCTTACACAACAAAATAGAATCCAATGTTAGTCAATTAATTGCTCAAGAACACTGCACGTACGCCATGGTGTAATGGCTCTTTGAAAATTCTTTTCTAAAAGTCTTCTATAACAAGTATAGCATCACTAAGCAAGATCTAGATTAGCTCTTTCAGAAAGAACCAAAGGAAACATGACTAAATAACTGCTTTGGTGGCCAGAGGAGTACTCATAACAAAATTAGAGAATACGGCAAACAAACTAAAACCTAAGAAAGAGAGGAGATTATGGTGGACTTGGTTTCTCTTCACTGCTTTAAGTATCAGATTCTGAATTTTAATTGCCATTTTCTCAGTAATGAAAATGACATTTCTCTTCAGAATGTAAGCCCCTTATGACAAAGATATCAAAATGCGTAAGTGCAAAAGAAGACTTACTTAATGGTAATTTCCATGTATTGCCTCTCCACATTCTATGTAATTAATGGCTTTCTTAACCTATTTCATAAACATAGAGACATTAGTATTGGAGGAAATAAAATATCAGATTGAAACACTTGTCCAAAAGGTTTCTTTGAAGAGAAACAACAAACTTACAAGATCACCAAAAGCAGTCTGCCTGCTTAGACTGGTATGTTCCAACAGCAACATCATTGAAGATAATAGTAGTTGATAGTTGACTATAGCCATATTCTTAGCATAGTAGATATCCTTATATCCAGATTTTTCTTACCTTCTTAAGCAGGAGATATGGCAGTAAAGAAAACCTCACTGATGGAAGCAAGTCATTAACAAGTTGAAGCCTATCCTTGAACAGACTTTCTAGAGTTGAATTTACTATTATCTCATTCACCGCCTCCCACCCACACAATTTCTCTGCTTTCATGCACCACATCAAAATTCCATCAAGAACTCTTTCTTTAGATGTTACTGTTAGCTCTGGATGCTGCAAAGAGTCCATAATTTATAATAAGAAAGAAGGAACTTATCATGTGGGATACATCATAACTAACTCTAAATCTACATTATAACTTGCATAAACCAACCAAAAGATGGGTCTGAGATATAATTTCCCCAAATCTAGCAATTTAATAAGCAAAAGCAACATTGACACAACAATAGAGATAACTCCAGCATATTTCTTTAAGTTTCTTCATCTCTATCTATATAACTAATTAGCCACTTTGGTCCATTTTTTTAAATAAAACAATCATTTTCTGTGTTGTACTCGTGTAGCAACATAAACTACTGACTCATAACAACCCAGCTTCTTGCCCTTTAAGTTGGAAATTATACTCTAAGAACAGAGCACTTGAGCCTAATCCTAGTTGAAAACTATTTGACAATTTGTGAGTTTAAAACAGGACACACTCTTATGTAGTTACACTACCCTTCACTCAGTCACTTATTACACCCAAACAAGTTAGCTAAGATAGATCTTAACAAGTGAAAACCCACCTGAATAATATTTGTAAAAATTGTCTCATCTAATGAGATGAATGCAAAGCTTGCAATTGTGCAGTAGTCAAAGTGCATTGCAAATCTCCTTTCACAAGTTTCTTCGATAAGTTTACATGAAGGGATTGATGAAACCACTTGGAGAATTGGACAGACAGAGTCCTGCAACAAAGTTCAATAGTTAGCTTCACAAGCAACAGCATTGTGAACATCTGCAGGAAAACTAATTATATTAGCCCTATTCTCTGCTTCCTCGTCAATTAAACTTGTGCATAATAGAAAAACTCATGTTGTATGACCATCTTCCACTAGGAGAACTCCATCCCTGCATGTAACATGCACATGAAAGGTATCAATATTTTATAATTCATTATTATAAAAGGGGTCTCTTCTTTTGTTTTCAGAACTCCAAAACCGCAAGTCAGTTCTCCATTCTTTTAATTCTATGCATACAAAAAACATAATGAGACACTGGCGATAAAAAGTGTCTGCATGGCTCTAACAAAACCACCAAATCAAATTATTTCATAAGCTTAGATTAGTAAACTACCTCTGAGAGGCATTCTAAAAGCATTTTGCAGCATTCCTGATGAAGAAGAGAGATTCCAAATTAGTCAGCAATAGAAGGAGCTAGAGTAACAAGGCACCAAAGTCCTTGGTATCCTCAATACTGAGTTCCCCACTGTACATGAACTCAAGCGTAGTCTTCAATGCTGCAGGAGACACATCCCTTAAACAAACCTCAGGCGAGTTGCTCTCACACATTCCATTTGTGAACATCTGAGGGGTAACTAATTATGTTAGTCAAATGTTGTTGACACAACCAAACTGAGAATCAAAAAAATTGGTGAAAATTGAAGAGACATGAAGCTTTAACCCACTCATTTTGTAATGAAAAAAAAGTTTTCCTTTTTCAGTTTCTTATTGAAAATTTGATATCAATGGCAAAGCAAAGAAAGCCAAACAAAAAAAAAAAAAATCTTTATCCAAAAACTTTCAACCTTAAATGAATATGATGAAAAGCAATATCAGTAAGAAACAGATCCTAGCACACCTTCAGTAAAGTTTGGCTAATATATATTATTTTGAAAGTACAATTTATTTCATTTAATAGACTTCTTTTTCTTTTGGCAAGATCTCATAAATGCAGAAGAGACATGCCTATAGTTTAAGAATTTTTGTCGTACATTTTTCTATAGCATAATCCACAGGAGGCATGAGGTCCTCACCTTTGCAAATGGGACACTATACAAGCCGAGAATAACTTTATGAGCCCGAACAATGAGACCTTGACCCTCAATGTAAATGCTAATGTCACTGTACTCGCCTGTTGAATGCAATTGTTGGAGCCTCTGCATGTTTATCGGGAGCCCAGAGGAGAAGGTTCCTCCATAATAGGGATGAGAACTTGAATACGACAATTCCACATTCCTACCCAAGTCAAACAACTTTTTATTTACTATAAACCGCTCCATTACTTCCTCACATTGCTTCACTAATGGCAACACTTCAAACTGTAAGCTCAGAGCCCACAAGGAACTAAGTTGTGTCTCTGAAATCTAGGTCAAACAGAAGCAAGAAATAAGAAAAACTAGGACGCGAGAATCAGGAATAGATCCTTTAAATTGATAGAGAATGCCAATAACAGTGGACTCCATAGAGGAAATAATAAAAGATACCTGTGTTTGGCCTGCATATACGTATTGAAGAAGCGCATGAGGAATTGGATATACTACATGCTGTAGCTCAACAACATCTCCATCTGATGAGCTCAGAGAAAAGTTTCCAGATGCCTGCAATATAACCTTATGAGCAGGGACAGGCCTTTCCTTCTCAACAACAATGAAGAACATATCAGATAATTCCCAACTCTCAAGAAAATTTTCAAGTCCCCACTTCTCATAGCCCATTTGTTCATATTCCAACTCATCACCATCCCCTCCATTGTATTCACCACAGTCCACTTGCTTCCACAGCAACAAATGATTCAGCGTCAAGGGCAATACGTTAACATTTCGATAGCCCACATGTTTATACCAGCTACTAAGGCCAACATACTGAACACTACAATTTGGTTTTGTATGTAGCCACTGGAACACAAGATTCTGAAATGGGTATCTTCCTTTACCAATACTAATCAATCCATCGTAGAAACTGATCCAATAACTCTGGAATGCTGAAGAACAACATAGGGCAATTCGTTCTACATCAACCATAGTTTTCCCGCCCACCTCAATTTTCAATCTACGATTCCTATGACTACCAATGATTACAGTATAATGAGGACTGTTATCCCTCTTATAATGGTAGTGCTGACTTCCAACATTCTCCCCAAACACCACAGTAACATCATTGTGTGCAAAAGCATCGAATGCTACACATCCCCTGCCAGCCTCCCGGAATTTCAAATCCTTTCTCCAAGCACACTCAAAGGGAGCTACCATGATGAACTTTTTTTCTTTTTTTTCCATAATCTTTCCTAAAAGAAAAACCAACACTTTTCACTCACTTGAAACTTAAGCTAGAAAATCAGCCGTATTTACAGGAACCTGAGATGGTGAGGAAGATATCACCACCACCTTCTGTATCTGATACACACAAACACACACACACAAAAGGGACAAGTTTGCAATAAAGGAAGAAAATAACAATCTTAGCTTGTAATTAATCAACCTAAAACACGTTAGCTTACATATTCAAGACTAAAATTATTCCAAAAACAGATGCTGACAAGTAATAAACTTTGGGTGGGGAGGGGGTTAAAACTAAAGCACGGTAACGGTTCAAACATCGCTATCTGAGAGAACCTAGAGACTTGGAATCGTCCAACTTGACAAAAAATCTAAACCCACCAGCTGCTTTTCGCTCAGTATCAATCATACACCACATTCTTATCCAAATAAAAGATCAATATGCAAAAAAGAAAAAAAATCTCCAAAGATAACCTTAAAGTTAGCCCACGAAAGTCCACACAACAGACAATTACAAGACATAAGATGGGTACCGATGGCAACAGCTTTCGCTTATAACAGAAAAATTCACTTTTTACAACACTGTTTGAGGGCTTTTTCATGGAGGGTTTTTTTTTTTTTTTCCGTTTTTCAATTTACCTGGAAGAATATACACGGGATCATAAACGAAGGGATACACTTTGGATAAATGAAAACGAAAATTCTTCGTAATCTGGCAACCTGTTCTTCTTTAAAAGATTTTGTAAATGAAAATATGAAAAGAATTTATTGGTAAAATTTGGTGTTAGTGATGGGTGGTGAATCGTGGCAATGAGTGCGAGGCAGCTGTGGATGTTATGTGACATTGACACGTAACAGAACCCAACAAGATTTATTATCCGTCTATCTCTGTCCGCTGACAATGTCAGACCACATTGGGATCATTACTTTCTTTTTTAATTCTTAATTTTTTTTTCTTATTTTCTAATAATAGATTTTATTTTTAATTTCTAAACGCACAAACTGCCGTTGTGAGGTCGCAAATGAAATTTGCATTACAAGTTACTTGAATATTTGCAATCCAACCCTTTCTTTTTCTCTCTTTTAATACAAATCAAAGAAAGAAGAAACAAACTAAAATACAAATCTTTTTATCCATTGAGACAAATCTTTTTATCCATTGAGAACCATAAAAGGAAAAACCTATTGAACAGAAGGAAATGAAATATATAGAAACAAACAACATCTTGTTGCTATAAAATATAAAAAACTAGAAGGAAGAATTCAAAGGGAAAAACACCAAGTCAGTATTATATTTTATTTTTAATTTCTAAACGCACAAACTGCCGTTGTGAGGTCGCAAATGAAATTTGCATTACAAGTTACTTGAATATTTGCAATCCAACCCTTTCTTTTTCTCTCTTTTAATACAAATCAAAGAAAGAAGAAACAAACTAAAATACAAATCTTTTTATCCATTGAGACAAATCTTTTTATCCATTGAGAACCATAAAAGGAAAAACCTATTGAACAGAAGGAAATGAAATATATAGAAACAAACAACATCTTGTTGCTATAAAATATAAAAAACTAGAAGGAAGAATTCAAAGGGAAAAACACCAAGTCAGTATTATATAGTCGTAAAACCAGGGGCAACTTGTGTTGCTCGATTGCACCCCACCCCCCTCATTTCCTATAAGCACCAATCAATGTTTTTAAGCTGTGCTAGAATCTAGCCTCCAAGAGAAAAGTTGCTGGCTCACTTTTTGCAGCATAACCGTACTTAGATGTACTGTACTTCCTTTCTACACCTGTAAGTTTCCCTGTCCCTGCCTTCTGATGGAAAGTAACCATCATTCTTGAGCAATCCCTACACAAAAACAAGAAATAGCTAGAGTAAGTTTCAACTGGAAATACAAAATTTGCTCATAAATCATAATAACAAATAGATGAAAGACTTACATAAGCTGCTCTTCCGAATAGGTAGTATACCACTTACTGGTCTTGCTCCAATGCTTAGACCCTCTAAGAGCACACTGAGCAGTGAAAATAGCAGCAGCAGCTAATAAAGAAGGTCGAAACTTAAGCATTTCATATTCAACTAGGCAAAGCTCGATCATGAAGAATGACAGAAGCTCAAGCTGGTTCAACAAAGTCACATTTAAAGCCATCTCAGACTCATTTAAATAACTTTGTTGGATAATAAATGCAAAATGACCATGTTTGTTGTCACGAACCTTCTTGTCAGATTGAGCAGCTTTGAGAAATCTCCTCATAAACACATACGGCGTAGGAAGGGATAGATTGAATTGTAAGGTATTGATCATCAATTTCTCCTGCAAATCAAGATGTATGTCATTTCTATTTCCTATTGAGTCATCAAAACATTAAAAAACAAGGTGAAATTATGAAACGCAATATTGAATTACAAACCATATCAAGCACTTCTTTCCTGCTGTAAGCCTTGTCAGAAATCAGAATCAGATCCTCTACAACAGGAACAGAAACTTCTTCATATTTGGAGGCAAGAAGCATGGCTGTTACTCCAACCAGCTGAAGTTTCTTCCTCACTACTTGTTGAACCGCTAAAAATCTATCGATTAGATTGACTGTCAGATATAAGGTCTCATCCATCAGCTCTAACTTGTAGTGAACCTGTCATTCCATAATGCTTATTAATGATGGATTTTTAAATTGCCAGGATTCTACCTAATTCATCTGTAACAAGGACGCAATGTCAGTTAGTGCAACATTTGCATACCTCTATCAGCCAGTCAATGAGGATACCTCTCATCCTTTCATTAATGTCATATTGCTGTGCCATATAATTTGGAGGAACACAACCAGTACACTGCAAAAACTTAATGAAGAAGTTCAGAAAATCAACCAAAAAAAGAGATTAATAAGTACTCAATCTTAAGTTGCAACTGAAAATGAAATCACCTCTGCTTTCCTGTAGAATTTGTATAAATCATCAATGTACTCAACAACTGCAAGCGGATTCTTTTTATCAAAATTGTCAATGTCCACAAAAGGTTCTTCATCCATGTCTTCCATTTCAACCTCCTCCTGCAGGGGAGACAGAATCAGTGCTATTCTGAACAAAAGGATAAATTAATGGAGGTGTCCCATACCATCCGGTCAATCTCTTCTAGCATAGCTTCTGTGTGTTGCACGAACATTGGCACATCGAAGTCACTGCTCTCCTTGGGATCATCCACATCTATGCTGGTGCAATCTTCAGATTCATTTGAAACTGACACTGACTGGATTGGTTTCTTTATTTCCTATTAATCTAACGTGACTGAATAATTGAGGATAACACCAATATTCTTTCATTGTAAAAAATGGTACCTCAGTTTTGATTTGCTGCTTGTTAGCCATCTGGGCAGCAAACTTCCTGATTAGAAAGAATCATAAGCAAAAGGATGAAGTAGAAGATATATTTTGGCAATCAAAACATACATCATAAAACTAAAAGAAAAGGTTACTAGCCTAGTAATTGGTCTATGCAGAGGTATTGGTGGGATCTTATCACAGACTGCATTTCTTCTGAAAAGAGAAAAAAATGGACAAAGAATATTAAAACTCTGCCTTGAGAACACAACTTTAATTTCTTGCTGCTGAGAAAGAGAGAAATAAAAAACTGTTTTCTAAAAGTGAAAAAATTGTCTTTTTGGACCATTGAATACCATGACAGACCCCACTTCCCATATACATCATTTCTTCAATCTCATTCAGGAATCAGAAACCAAACCAACAATAGCTAACTCAAAAAGATCTACTTTCTTTTTTGTTCTCAGCAGCCTAACAGAGAGAGGATGTAAGAAAGAACTCACTCAGATAAAGGTCTTTTGTTTACTGCACAAGGGTAAGGTGGATCTCCAATTACGTTCCGATTAATAGTGCTTAATGCTCTTCGATTCTGCCCATTCGCCGCCACGAACTTCCCTCCACAGGCACGCAGACCCCCTTTTATTGCAAATTACAAAAGAAAAAACATTTCTTTAACACTTTAACTTTCGAAATTTTATTTAAACATCAAAAGAGAGGTTACAGAAAATGGGGTTGAATTAATCACCTTGGAGATATGAGGGTCCGATGACTCCAGGATTGTTCTCATCCGATCCAGCCATTCTTTCCGTATCTACAGACAACAGCTGTAAACAATAAGAATCCGCTTAAGATAGGCATCCCCAAACTCCAGTCGAAGATCATCAAGACCCCCTTCAGTCTAAATTAAAGTGATCCTTTTCTTTCCTTTTTTTTTTTTTTTGGTTGAAATACGCAAAATTGAAAGAAATGGTAAAGACCCAATAAAGAAAGAATATCAACAAAATATTAAATCAGAAAATAATGAAGAACCTTTCTCAAAAGAGTTTCCTTGTTGATTTCTCCCACTGCCAGATTCCAAAACCCCGCTACCTTTGATGTCCACTTCACCGAAAAAGGAAATCGAAGAGAGAGATTTCTCAATAGAATAACATTTGAGGCTTGAACCGCGATCAAATTGATCTCTCTCTCTTTCTCTTCTCGTTCAGGCTTTTGGGGTTTTTGACACAGAAAAGGACGAAATTATGAAAGGAAATTGAGACGCAAAGAGCGGATAAAATGTCCGCTCATGACCTTTTATTGTTTTTAAAACTAACGGCTAGTAAAGTTTAGCCGTCCGATCTTCTGCGTACGCTCAACGGTTACCTTAGCATATGCTTTCAAAATTTCCACTTTTTTTTTTTCTATTACTAACCTTTTTTTTAATGATAAACATAATCCTTCTAATCTAATGGCTATGCTGCCTTATTTAATTCTTCCTTTATCCTAATTCTATCTGAAATACCAGTAATATTCTGCCACATTGTCCGAAAGCATACACTCTATAGTAGTGTACATGTTTTCTCGACCGTCTTTTCAACTCTATTAACAACCGTTGATCTTGATGATAGGAAATCCATTATAAATCATTGTAAATCAGGGGTTCACATGGAATTCACCAATGATTCTGACGGTTGATGATGTGTTACAATGTTGACGAATCTGACAGAGAGTAAAAGATTAAAGTATGTGATGGTGATTATGTCAATGATGATTTGACATGGTCCTCAAAAATTAGAACAGTCATCCGACAAAGAGAAGGGATGGCAGCCTGGCAATGGCAAAATTTAGCAGTTCAGCATTCATTGTTTCACATTAAAATAAGAAAAAATAACGAGAAAGCCGTTGGACTTGAATTGGGCCACTGTCCTACAAAGTTTCCATTTAAACTTAGCAGGTTTAAAGGTGAAGTAAAACTTTTTTTTTTCATTTAATAATCTAATACGAATATTTAGCTTCCATGTGAACTGAGCATTGGGTTTTTGGATGGCAGCAATATTTTATGCATTCCTATATATATAATTAATTCTCTTGTTTGAGGAACAATAAACTATATATATATATATTATATAAATATTATATAAATGGTATTGGGGCTGAGGAGGGAAGGCTTATTAAATGGCCAGTTAATATACATTTAATATTTGACTTTTAACAGAAGCTCCATTTTATCTTTTTAGTCTTCTAGCATGAGTATAAAAACCCTTCATTTAAAAAACAGAAACCTTGTTTAGCCTATTTGTTTTTTTTTTCCCAGATAACATTATGGAGTTCTTACATGTTCGTATATTTTTATTCTTTTATATGTGTTCATATATTATTATTAACTAGGGTTTAGGGTTTTAAGTTTCTTTTGATTTCCCTCTACCCTTTTCATTCCCGGATCATCATTCATGTTTAACATTTCTCATCTCATCTTAATTTCAAAACCACTCCGATTATTTAGTCTGGCACAAATTGACCCGCGCAAATTAGAGAAAACTAAGCCATGAACGACAGTTCCTATGAAACGCAAACTGCAGATGGTGATGTAAGGAGATGGTGAAGATGGAGGAAGAGAATGGAATGAATACACCAATCGATTTGGTTGATGAAACAGTTAGTCTGATTGAAGATGTTGCTCGACTTGGAAATTTCCCTAGAACGCAAAGAAAAGAATGTTACAACCTCGTTAGGCGCATGAAGATTTTGTTGCCTTTCTTCGATGAGATTCAGTACCTTGGCTCCCCGATTACTGATAATGTTATCGTTTGTTTGTCAAAGTTGAAGAAAGTAGTTCGTTTGGCAAAGAACCTACTGAAAACTTGCAATGAGGGAAGTAGGATTTATCCGGTGAGGATGTTTGTAGATTTGGGGTGTCATTTTTTTTTTTTTTTAATACATCTGACGGATTTCAAAATTCACAATGTTGTTGCTTATTTAGACAGTATCCTTCGTAATTCAGACGCTGGAGAGTGAGGCTGCTATAATTATCAAATTTCACACTGTTTATGAAAAGTTATGCCAAGCTTTGCATGAGTTGCCTTTCGAGGTATCTGTCGAAGTGAGGGAACAGGTAGGAAAATTAATATTCATCTTTCTTGTCTTCGAAGGGTTGTTTTGAAAGCAAAACTGTACTAGATGCCTGCCTTCATCCATCTTAATCTCACAACTAAAAGTGACAGACCCAACAACATTTAGCCATAGTTGGCATTTGAAGTTAATTTGAACTAATTGGGTGCTAACATGTATTGTTAGAAGTATATACATAACATTGGGACACATTATATAAGGAGGAAAGTTTGGCAAGTCCTTGAGTCATTCCTCTAATTTACGAAATTGAGCTTTAAGATGTATGTACGTATGTATTATGGTCAGAGAGCTCTATCTCAATACTAACCTCAATACGATAGTTTGATAGAATATGCATGTATTCAAATATTAACAATTTCCATTTTAACAGTATGTATATGTTACATGTTTATTTAAAATTTATTAATTTTTTGTCATGCGGTTGGTATTCAGGTTGAACTAATGCGGACACGATTAATCCCAGCTAAAAGGAGAGCAGATTCTCAGGATATAGAACTCGCAGTAGATACGATGGTGGTATACTCAAAAACTGATGAAAGGAATGCTGATATACGCATAATTAATAGAAAGGCTAGCCAAAAATCTAGATCTGCACACTGTTGAGGACTTGAAGATTGAAACTATAGTTGTAAAGAATCTTGCTACAGCAATAGGCCAAACTTCAGAGTCTACACAGCAAATTATAGAACTTCTCAACAAATTCAAGCAAATTTTAGGCAAGGAAGTAACCAATGTTCTTGATGATGCTGTCATGCCTAAAATTTTGGTGAAGTCCCATTCTTTGGTAATCCCTCGTGAGTTTTTATATCCAATCAAACTTGAAATAATGACAGATCCTGTTATTGTCGCGAGTGGACATGTAAAGTCATTATTTACACCCTAACTCAATCTTGTCCTTTTCAATTAGCAGTTGAATGACAGCAAAATGATAAGATCATTAATTAACTGTATGTATCGACTATCGACTACTAGAAGAAAAACATGTAAAAGATTTTAATTATTAATGAATAGCCTCGCTTGGGTCATATCCCATGCTTTTTGATGTGCTTGGCAATTTGTATGTCAATTACTTCACTAGATCATCATGTTATGCGATGGAAAACTTATGTATTTATATATTTAATTACGTTTCAATATTTTCCAACCAAATTCAGAGACATTTGAAAGAAAGAGCATACAGAAGTGGTTTGGTTCTAACCATCGCACCTGCCCAAAGACAAGGCAGACTCTAGCTTACTTGTCACTTGCGTCAAATTATGCACTCAAGAACCTTATCACACAATGGTGCGAGAAGAGCAATTTTAAGCTCCCCAAGAAAGAGGATTTTAAATCTTCCGAAGGCTCCTCTGTTGAACATAAAGAAGAAACCTCATGTTTGGTTGAAGAACTATCTTCCAGTCAATTAGAGAAAGGCAATAAAGGATATTCGTATGCTTTCCAAGGAAAACCCCGAGACTGGAGTTTTGATTGCTAAAAGTGTACCTATCTCACCATTAGTGCAGCTGTTGTCCTATCCAGATTCTAAAATTCAAGAGCATGCTTTGACAGCTCTATTGAATTTATCCTTCGACGAGTCTAATAAGAAGCTCATAACTAATGAACAAGCAATTCCATTACCAGCTATAACAGAAGTCTTGCAAAAGGGAAGTATGGAGTCAAGAGAGAATTCTGCAGCAGCTTTATTTAGCTTGTCAATGGTTGACAAGAACAAAGTGACGATAGCTCTGGCAAATGGCATTCCCCCACTGGTAGATTTGCTGCAGACCGGGACAATTAGAGGTAAAAGAGATGCTGTCACTGCACTGTTCTTATCTCTCAACCAAGCCGATGAAGCCAGGGCCATTGATGCTGGCATTATATTACAATTACAGCTGTTACTGGAGGACAAGAAACTGGGCATGGTTGATGAGGCCCTCTCCATCTTCTTACTTCTTGCAACTCATCCAGAAGGGAGACATGAGATTGGACAGCTTTCATTGATTGGAACTCTGGTTGACTTCAAGAAAGATGGAACCCCTAAGATTAAGGAGTGTGCAGCCTCGGTTCTTCTTGAGTTGAGTTCATTCTTGCAGCACTTCAATGTGGTGTATATGAGCATTTAATAGAGATCTGGCATAGAGGAACGAATAGAGCACATAGAAAAGCAAATGCTCTTTTACAGCTTATAAGCAAGTCTGAACAAATTCCATAAATCTTTTCTCAAGTGCATCAATTAATTGTTGATTATGCTTTTCCTTTTTCATTTTGGGGTCTAATTCTCTTTGTTCATGTTGAATAACTATATATATATATATATATATCTGGAGAGAGAGAGAGAGAGAGAGAGAGAGAGAGATGATCATGTCCTGTTCACTGGTATTATTAATTAATTCAAATTTCCAAACATTTAATTGTGGCGTTAGTGTTATGCTTGTACGGCATGCATATTATTATATGACATGAGGGAGTCCATTAAGAGTCATACTGGTCTTTGGTTATTATCTTAATTTTTGTAATAATTTCTAATCTCTCTTATTCTTATTTTCCCTTATTAGTTTCTAGTTAATTAATGTAGACAAATTAATATTATTATTGCTGAACCACAAATGCTTATTAATAATATACAAGTTTAGGTATAGGTTTTAAGGAGTTTTTACCTTGTATAATTAATGCAGAGTTCGTTATTTCTATTGCAACATTGAGGCCTTAATTATACCAATAATGAAAATATAACATACAAGAGTTGGGACATTTCAAGACTTCAACATGAACAAACAAACTTACGGAACGGGCCCAACGACAATGTCGTGCCGCTCCATGATTCCAAAAGCCGTTAACCAATAAAAACTTGGCCTTACTTGAAAACTTTGACAGCTTCCCTCCGCTTACTTTCCTTCTCCCGCCGGCGATGCTCACTTCCGTACTTACTCTTGCTCTTTTTTACATCAACTTCTTCATTACTTGTCCCAATTATATAGCCCAAAATTGCACTTGATGCTAGAAATAGCCAGAAAATTTCATGGCAAACCTGCAACGACCCCGCCGCGGCAATAAACCAAAACTAGAAAATAAAAAACATCACTTTTCTCTTTCAACTTTCAAGCATTATTCTATCTTTTGGGCTTGGCGGTCCGCTTTGTAAATTCAAATTATGTGACATAGTTGGAATGGAAAAAATATATTGTTGATATGATGTAATTGTTTTATACAATGCTTCAATCAACCAGTTGGCCACTCCTGCCTCCCAAATCACAAATATTTCACAATAGTCTTTGCCAAATTATTATTATTATTATTATTTCAATACCTTATTGTCTTATTTATCTCAATGTTAATAAATAAGGAAAGCTTTAACATCAATAACATATAGATATCATTATTAGAGAAATTATGTCATTTTGTCGAATACCTCATGTGTGTCCTTTCAAGAATGAACTCTCCATGATTATTATCCTGAAACATAAAAAAAAGTAAGTTACGAGAGAGACAGGGTTTCTAAAACGTTTTTTTTTTTTTTTTTTTGAACTTAGATTTCAAATTGAAGATTGTTTACATATATATATATATATATATATATATATTAAAAAAGTTAAGATTTGATACATTGTTAATATAAAATTTTAATTAAACAAATGATATTAATAAGTGTCATTTAGATATATTTTAATTCTAAAAGAATAGGACATGTTTATTTTAATTCTTCTTAAGGGTCTTCTCTTATTTAATTATATTATAAACACCTACTAATGTGAAGTATACGGATTAGTTGGGAAAAAAAGGTGGAACCGAACAATCACAAAACATTGATTAATTATTAGCATTAAAAATCCAACAACATGGTAGCATTAATTATAGTGTGAATTTTTTTTTCATAATAATATAAGAATAATCTGCTTACATGTTAAATCTTCTTCCATAATCAACCCCAACAGCAACACTATGTTCCGTTCGAATTCCATTCCATTCATCCACGTTCTGTTCTAAACATAAATCTTAAGTCATTATAACCTTTGCCTATACTATATTAACATTGCGTGTATAATAATAACACACCATTTGTTAATTTCGTAGTGGGTAAGGGTAAGACTACAGACTTTTTTTAAATTCAAATTATCTAAAGTTTTGAGATTGAGATTCCAATATATATTACACATTTCTCTTGGCCCTCCGGTTTTTGTCTATATTAAAATTTTCTGGTATGATTTAAATAGTGTAATTTTATTGAAAATATTCTTTCTGTCTCATTTTAAGTATTCACATTTTTTTTTTTTTAGATGTCTTAATTTATATATTATTATTTTTAAACACCTTATATTACTATATTTATATTTAAAGAAAAATGAAACCCTGGACATAATTGAATAATTAAAAAGTAAAACATTAATATTTTTGCTTATTCTATTTATTGATTAAAATTTTGAAAGCATATATTTATTAAATATTTAATAAAAATTAAACATTAAAACCAAAATATCAAAATTATTCTTACATTTTATTACTGTAAAATAAATCTTTCGTTTTCGCTTCTAATTGCTTATTATTCATTTTTCCTTTTCATTTTCGATAGGGCATCTTTCAAATTTAATCTGATCGAGTTTTTAGAAGAATCTTTTGCCAATTGAGGGTTCCTAAGTGGCAAATGCCGTGGACTGGTTACTTTTCTACAGGAGACCGATGGAGCATCCGCTCCATAATAAATTAATAAAAAGGAAACCGAGACTACATAACATAGGATAAGACAAGGACTGCTCCAAATTCCGCGCGTCGGCTACAAAATGTCAAAATCTAAAGAGTGCAAAACTATTATCATTCCATCAAAAGTGTTAACTTACATTAGCTACATTAATTAGAATATTTGACAACAGCAAAGCAAGCTATATAAATATTTATAGATATATATATATGATTTTCCTATTCCTTTTTCCCTCCTTTCTTTCTCTAAACAAAGCTTTACATGTTGGGGATGGGATGGGAGTTTGATTCTTTTTTTTCCCTCTTTCCTTTTGCTCTGGTTTTACATGCAGTTTCTACATCAGAAAGGCAGAAATAGAATTTTAACTCTCGACAAAAAAGAGTTATTAATTGTGTGAAAATCATCAAACTAGGGCTGCGTTGAAACTGGAGGCCGCCCTTCTTGCTTCTCAACCTGCACACATCTCGACGGTGGACCAAACATGCTCAAAACCACCTGCAAACAATTTGGTTAATGCTTTTACTTTGTAAGTAAACTTACTGGTTCCCTCCGTAAAAACGTAAATGGAAAGGACTTACCGGCAAAAATACAAGCCCATGTAAGAAACCGAGAAGTACTAACGCTAGGTACATCTGGAAGTAATACACCTACAAACGCGTGAGGGTAAGCAATTAAAATCACTGTAAAATGAATGCTCCCACAATTCACAAGTCAGTGTTGGAATAGAGACCACAAAAACTTCTGTCCTTGAGAAGCAAAGAACCAGCACCCCAACTAGCTTTGTCAGTGTGATTCCACTGCCACAATTACATCAGATAAATGACTGTTAAGCTTAAGCAACAGGAAGATAGTTTTTCTTTTATCAATCATCACCCCAACATAAAGGGGAACATGGTGGGGGCGGGGTTCCTAAGAGAAGGAAAAGAACCTGAAGACAGAAGATCCCATCGTACCCAGAGCCTCCTTTACCCTTTCATCTTTACTTCCGCTGCTTACCTGCACAAGGAACTTGTACGCTTTTATAATAGCAAAAACATGTACAGCATAACAATTATGAATATGGTAAAAATTAACGCAACAAATAAGTATGGAGGAAGTCATTTCTTGATGTACTCATTCACTTCCTTTAGAAAAAGGAGGGAGGGACAAGAGGATGTGCACCCCGTCTATGAATTCTCAAGGCCGAAAACCAACATTAAACGAAAAGCAGATTGATACTAACCGAAAAGGCATGTGTTATATGCACGCAGAACTCAACAGCAATGCCCACTGACATAACAAGATTAACGACAGAGACTGCATTCAGTTGGATTCCGAGAATTGCCATCACACCCTGCAGGGTTTAATCTTGTAAGAGGGTATAACATGTGCAAATTGAACACCAAAGTAAAATCAGTTCAAATGAAAGAAGATTTCCGGTAATTGTCATAGAATAAAATACCATAAGATCGACAACAATCATTGCCAACACCAGCAAAATGATCGCTGAGCTCCACAAACTATATTTTGGGGGGGGGGGGGGGGAGATGTCAAGTAATTAGTATTTTCGAACAGTCAAATCTATAACTTCTCACTACTTTTCAACGAACAGAATAATGAAGACTAATTTCAATCAGGGGACAAAATTAGAAAGCTAACCTGCATGTAATAACTAAACAAACAATAAAAACTGCACCTGTAGCAATCAAATAGAAGAAAATACAATTGAAAATCAGAAATAACTACAAAATAACAAGCAATTAGTACAATGCTGCAAAATACCAAGTCAACTACAAATCTCAAATTTGGCTAAAACAAAAGTCGCAGAATAAAATTAAATAACATAAGTAGATATCTCTCAATCTACTTTTTAGTTTTGGTGATAACTTTTTTAATCATTACACATGTACCAGAAAACCATTCAAAATAAATGCTTCATGGAAAAAATGTGTATTATGACACTTTTTGAGTAGGTTTATGCAAATTACTAACCAATAGCTATCGTAAGGTTGATCAGTGCAGTCCTCCATATGTCAAGATATTGCTCAAAGAACATATAAAACACAGAATATGGGAAGATTTCCATCTGCACCAGAAAAAGGTCAGGTTACAGACAGACATTAGCACATCAATAGCATACAGCTATTTTTGCAACCATATTCAAAACAAGAGACTGCTTGCATGAGAAGCTCAGGAGAATTGACGAGGACCATAGAGTTGTATGATAAGGACTAACAACTTGTGCCATGCAAAAGAAGCTTACATGTATATACCGCACAAGGATAGAAAGATAAGTGTACCCAATTAAGCAGAAAAATCATGTTTTTCTACCAAAGGAAATAATTATAAGTGCTAAATCATTTAGACAGGCAATCAGCATTGATATCTTACCTTTAAAGAATCTGAAACCCTTGAAGTAAATTGTCGAGCAGCTCTCAATGAGTTAACATAATCAATCTAAAACAATTCACAGCCAATTAATGGTGCAACTTGCTGCCATACAAAATAAGAAAGACAAGAAATGGTAATTAACAATGACCACCACACGAGTATTAGTTCCACCTGCTTATTGAGGGGTGTATGGTAGGTACGGAATGATGATGCCTGAATAACACCATTTTCATAGCCTGCTAACAAAAGTAAAAGTAGTTACTAACATACTCAAATTAGAATGCATAGTACTTGTCAATTCTATCTCAAAGTAAAATAGGCAAGTGAAAATTGCCTACAAATGAGAAATTGGGTGATATTACCTTTCAGTTCCACACTGCTAGTGTAAGCACCGTGTCCGCCTTTAGAACAATCTGCAGAGGGCAAAGCATTGAGGAACCATGGAAGTTTCTCCTTAAATTGGGCAGCAGATGGGCGACCACTATGTAAATCTGAGTGATGGAAGCACTGAAACATTACATTAATTGTTAGCCACTAGAATTGCTAAATTTCATGTTGACAAATGCTACTGCAGTGCCAAAATATCAGGCAGGATATAAGGTGTACATTACCGTGGTGCAATCTTTGCACGCTGCACTCAGCCCACAGGGACTATCATTGGCAGCACAACAAGGAGGCTGGAAGAAAGAACATTTAATTTCAGTGAACCCAAAAGCATTACAATTACCAAAACCAACATATTAGAAAATTTAATCAATTCAATGCCATCTCCTTACAAATGACAAATGTTAAGAGTAAGCTAAGTGTGAAAAGGGAAAATACAGACATCTGTTTATTCCACTCAACAACAGAGGCACCATTACCAGAAAATGCTGAGCTGTAAAGGAATTAAATCCATGGTCTTGAAATTAGATACACAATTTTAGAACCAAATTTCATTAAACCTTATATAGCAGTGTTATGTTTTTAAACTCATAATTTGAGGTTCAGGTGTTTTTTTTTTCACAAGCAAAATATAAATGAGGGCCAAAAGATGAAGTAAGCCCATAGCTATTAGAAAACGTAATTAGGAAGGGACACCTTATTATTGGGAAATGAGATCTTTGGCATATCATCAGGCATGTTACATTAAATCTAACAACAAGTACCAAGAATAATAGGATCAATACCTGATCATCAGGGGGACAATAACTCCCATTAGTAAACTTCCGACAGCAACCAAATGCTTCTGGAGATATCCATACAAGAAAATCATCAAGCCATGAAGCAGCTGGCTTAGCAATATAGCTTGATTCTGGTGTCAAGGATGCTCTTGCTATCTACAGAGGCAACAAGATAAAACAGTCATATTAAATGAAGTCAATATAGCAACAATTAAGGGTAAGAAGAAGCAAGAGGCATAGATTTGTTGATCTAATAATGAAGCAATTCAAAACAGAAAGGGAACTTAAGTTCAATAATAAGAAAAACCTTTGTGACCTTATCCTCAATGGAACTTAAGTTCATCAAATGACTATTTCAACAAAAACATAATCAAGTCCAACAGGTTTATGTAGCATAAAAACCGATTCTTTATTAGTCATCTTGGTCCAATGACCTTGCTGATACATTTGACAACCATTTTGATGAACACAGTAAATCAGTAATCTCTAAGGTACTCAAAGATTAAGCTACTTATGACATCAAAAGATCTTGCATGTAACTGTGCTTTTCCTCCCACATGTTCTGCACCTGCTAGATGGATGCATGGATCAGTTCAAAAGGAGAGGAAATATGACTAGCCATAGAGGTCAAACAAAAGAGAAATAGATCCGAATAAGTATATGGAACAAGTTAGAAACCAGTAGAAACACCAAAATCAATCTTAAAAATGCAACCATGCTTCAAACTGAACAGAAGAGCATGGTTCATTAAGAAAAATCTAATATCATGAATGAACACTCAAGAGATGGAATTTACAAAACAATTTTACCTCATTTAAAAGAGAGTCTGAATTACATTGGCTGATGGAGCACAGCTGGCTCGTATCTATTGAATCTGAACTGAAGGATAGAAGAACATCAGCATGAAAAGCATCTTTGTCAACAAAATCAACAAGATAAAACCTTGAATAACTCCATCTTTTTTTGGTGACAAATGAAGCTTTACATACTTCTTGGAAAGCAAGTTTCTGCTTCTTAAATAATAACACATAACACCTTTTGTTATGTATACATAACACCTTTTGTTATGTAAAATACTTCAGAAGATTATTCACATGTTTTGATACTCTCAGCCTAAAAAGAAAGTTTTCACCACAAATAGTTTCCTTTTTATATCAGAAGAAAAAAAAATTGAATCTCATATTACATCATTTTCTTATTCAGATGTCGATAATTATTCAAGATACATTTTAGAAAAGAAAAATCTAAGCTCTAGAAGAGCCAATAATAAGCTATGTCATTTAACAAGAATGACAAAAAACCAATACTAGAAGCACAGGTGAACGTCGCTTCATACTTTTGACCAGGTAAATGTCTTTGAATGACAACCAAAAAGCCAACACAAGCATATACCATGAAGTCAACAGAAGACAAAAAGAAAGTGGAAATAACATGGAAATACCTATAATTATAGTTCTTCACAACAAAGTACAGCGGTGGTCCAATTCTGAGATACTCTGAAACATTATTGAAATAGCCCTGCAGCAATAAAATGCAGCAATGACACACTGATAAAAGAGATATCAAGTGATTCAGTTCCCATTTAGGAAAAAGGAAACAAAAAATTGAACCTGAAGATACGAGTCTCGGGGAAGAACAATCTTTTGATCCAAACCGGGCTCGGTTCGGGTGGATAATGCCTATCAATTTTGCAAGCATAAGAAGTTTACTTCAAGTGACAGGCAAAAAGGGATCAAATAGATCAACTAAAAAAAGCTAAAGCAACTTACAATGCTAGCCAATGCAAAAGCAACAAAAGCTGAAACGACTAAGAGTTTCACTCCCCAAATATTGAGAATGGGTGCATGTACCTCCTAAAAGTGAAAAAAGAAACACAATTAATAAGCAAAACACATGAAAATTGTTTAAAAAAAGTATAAATCACTTGTTAACAGTTAGCAAATACAAATTACTTAAGTTCTAAAGAAAGTGAAAACAACTACCTTCATGTATCGAGCCAGTAGCCCAGGTTTTCTCCCACCAACGCCTAAACTTTCATAAGAAATTCCTCAGTAAGACTTCATGAAAGCTTTACAAATAAATGACAGAGAGTATTCAAAGTATTAAATGACTATGAAATTTAGTTCTAATTCAAAATCTGCACAAAGAATCAAGATAATGCATCCAAAAAATTATATTACATGATTCATCAATCATGGAAAACAATCGACTCTTTCTTCGATATACCTTTCTTAGATCCAGCATCTGTCGATGCTACTTTTATACATGGAAAACAATCAACTCTTCTACCCTCAGCTCGCAAAAAGTCAAAAACTATCAGAGAAACAAAAGCAGTGACCTGCAGAAGGAAGTCCAATAGAACAGCCAGTGCTGCAATAGAAAGCATGGATGTGAGGTGAATGACAGGAGTGAGATAAAAGAAATTTCATTTTTCTATGTATATCAATATAAAATGGACAAACAGATAGACCTGCAAACATGGAGAATACTCGGCAGGCTGGCATAGGAATGAAACTTCCAACCGCAAATGCTAAAACCTCAGATAGACTAGCAAGGGTTATGGACGGTCCAACTTCCACAAGTGCATTGCTTATCCTTCCTTCTAGAGGTAAGTCCAAAGGTTGTCGCTTAACAGCATGCACCAATATGCACATATTATCCACCCCAACCTGTTACAAGAAAATGAGTTCAGAATAGTGAGCCATGACAGAACTTGACAACAGAGAGATGGGACTTAGCAGAAAAAAATGTTTAATGTAATTGTACTATAAAATATCCTCCAAGTGGAGAATATGATAGCTGCAACATTACCAAAAACATCACATTAAATTTGAAATATGCAAAAGGAGGAAGCTTACTGCGAGAACAAGAAATGGAATAACTTCCATTATTATTAGGGTAGATTTTACTCCAATAGCACTGAAAAATCCTACTGATCCAAGAACTGAGAGCATGACAAGCAGAACACCAGAAAGGCCCAGCAATACCTGGAATTCAATCAATCATAGAAACGTTTTAGACATTCATCCAACCCCTAGAACAGCACTCCGATCTTCTAAACCCAACTATGGCAGTCCAAGTACCATAAGCTTGTTTATTTATTGCTCCGTCAAAACATAACCTTAAATCATCAGATAAAGCATAACTTGAAAATTTTCACGACCAAGAGAAGCTCATTTATTAGATATGGACCCCTGAAAGCATGAATAGCCACAATTTTGTCTAGGTAAAAAAGAAGGTTTAAAAGAAGTTTTTGTAAATTGGAAATAGGATATAAAAAAAGTAGCTTGGATTTCTAAAAACATAACCACTCTATCTCATTTGCTTTGTCTTTTCCTTCCGAGATATACTAAAATGTTAGTCTACTACATAACTAGGAAAGTCTATACTACATAACTAGGAAAGTCTATCATTGCTGAAAGCAATACTAATTAAGGGTAAACATCAAAAGTTGTTAAAGTGAAAGTGCATTTATGAGTGTTTGCTATAACCTTGTGAGGTTAAATATCAAAAGTTGTTAAAGTGAAAGTGCATTTATGAGTGTTTGCTATAACCTTGTGAAGTTAAATATGTCAAGTATCAGCCAACCTAAATGCTTAAGCTGTTATGTGAGAGTCCAAGGATAGTTATATTCACAAGCATGCCTCATCAGGCACAAGCCCACGGAGAGTGGACAAAGCGCAAGCCCATCACATAGCTTATACTGAAGCTTTTAAAATTTAATAGCATAGAAACTATCTGGATCTGAACTCTGGACCACTTGATCAGATAAGTTTCAATATCAATGTCTAGAACCCCTCAACAGAAAAGCTTAAGCTAATAGGTGAGGGTCTGAGAATACACACCCAAAAAGAGAACAGGAGGTAGTAATCAAAATAATTCAAAATAGGACATAGTCTCTGTAAAGAAGAATCATGAATGAGATACCTTAGATGAAATGTAAAAGGAAGCTAATCGAGGTGTATCACCCAAAGTCAGAGATATGTAAGCAAACATCACAAGATAGCTTATCTGCAATAAAATAAGGCGGCAGACACAAGAAAGCAGTGTAAGAAAACTTCCAGTGAAAATAAAAGTTTCACATTTAAAAGGATAATAATTTTTTTTAAAACAAAGCTTGATGGTAGGCTTCTTAGAAATTTCACTACTCACAAAGGTTAGGCTTCTCTATGCAGGACTCAAATACCAAGTGTTCACACCATAGTAAAGAAAAACACCTACCAATATGGTTATAGCATCTGCAGTGCTTTCTCTTTTCAACTCTTCCTCAATGGAGCTTTCGGACGAAAAAGAAAACGTCAAATTTTTAGATTGAACCATAGGCAACAACTCATCCTGTTCCATAGCATAGCATTCTATGTGAAACTCCCTTATATCAGAGAAATGCCAAGACAAGGACAATTGCAAGACAACAAACAATTATTGATATGATGCAAGTACAAGTACCAAACCTTTGCTAATTGAATAAAGGCTTTCTCCCAAGCCACTGCCTTTTGAGTTTCATTCCCTTCTTTATCAAGAGCATTGTTTACTGGATAAGTTACTATAAATGCAGAAGCCTGTATGATAAAGATCATTTTAGGTTGCTATATCCAATGATCTGACTGCATTGGCAACTCAGAAAAGTAAAATTACCTCACTATAATTGCTCCCAGAAAAACCTCCTAATACAGTGCTTGGATCTAGTGGGGCTTTAAAAGCACTCATGCATGAGTCTGCAGAGGTATAATGCTGAGAGAATACATAGCATGTAAACATTAAAAGGTCAATTCAGGTGACAAAAAGATTGAGAGTGAAAGACAGAAAGAAATGTGAGACAAAAAAGAAAAGAATCAATATTCAGATTCTTATTGTCAAGATCTATAACTTGGACATGCTTATAATAGACGCTGGTATATAAAGTAGAAATCTAAAGAAGGCAATTACCTCTAAACAACGTGAACAAGGAGGTATTAGGATATACCTGAAAACAATACTTTACGTGCTCCAGTCGATCATCAGCATCATAACTTGGATCCATTTTAAAATACTATCAAGAGAAACATAATAAAATTAAATAAGAAAAAAAGGATCAGAGAGGAAAGAATTTGTAGGGAGCTCTAGCCATTCAATGATGAGTTACTTGGTAGTGAAGTATAAAACACAAAAAAGCAACAGATATAATTATCTATGTCAGAGGGATCTCAAAAGTATAGTGAGTGTCAAAACACATGCAGACGGTGGAACCGCCGAAGAACAGAAAACCATACTAAGTCCGAGTTGCATGCATGCACAAAAGAAGCATGGATTATCATAATAGTGACAAACCATTAACATATTCACATCAGAATTTTTTTAATACTAAAACATGCACATAAAAAATGCAACTCATTGTCCGTATGAAGAAAGATGAGGCACATAGCATTTTTGTTGAGATTCGAGGATAAACAACTCATCAGTTCCACTTCCACACTTTCACATTTCTGTTGGCAATCTATATGCTTCAGTCAATTGCAGACACCAGACAACAGGCTACCTGTATAACACTTTGTGTGGCACAATCCTGCCCCATTGGCTTCATGCAAATATCTGTAAAAGATATCATTGAGCCAGAATAATTTGCCCGGATTCCATCAATCTGTTAAGTACAAAAAAAAAAGTGCTTAAAAAAAAAAAGTGCTTAAGTAAGACCTTTCAAAGAGAAGGCACTATAAAAGTACAAATGATGATAAATATGATTGCACTATGTATAATATATGTTAATCCGAACGGAAAAATCAAAGTAGAAGCAATACCCTCTTTTGAATTTCAAATAATAACTTAATGTTTTCCTCTGTCACAATGCTGGGTGATTTATCATGCAAAGCATCTGGAATTGTTGCTAATATTAGCTGAAAAACATAGGTAAAATTAGTACTGGAATGTTATTAAATATGAAAATTATACTCTGTCACAATGCTGGGTGATTTATCATGCAAAGCATCTGAAATTGTTGCCAATATTAGCTGAAAAACATAGGTAAAATTAGTACTGGAATGTTATTAAATATGGAAATTATACTCTCGAGTAATGACTGATGGTAGAACCCTTAAGAAAACAAGAATATACTCTCAAATAAATTTAGTAGGCACATTTTACTCCAAAAAAGCATGTAAAAGAACAAAAATAAATAATTTGAAGTCGCAAAATGGTATGCCATATAATAAGAAAAGTCTACTGAGCAGATATGGACCTAAGAATCATTCTATCGCATTCTCCCTCTTACCAGCAATCAACAACAAGGGAAAAATAGAATACATAGGGCAAAACCTGCTGAATTCTGTAAAATGGAGCTAGATGGCTGTCAAAAAACCGTTTCTCTTCTGCAGCTTTGCTCCCAGGTCCTACCCATAGCTGACATTGTATTGATAACATATATTCAGATAAAGAAAAATGTATCAAAAGGAGAATGTAATCAGAAGTAAAAGAAATTCTCTGATCTTAAAATGCTTGACAGACAATTAGGGACATTCTCATCAAGAAGCCAGCAAAACTTTGTTGGAGTCTTTGATAACATACTATAGGACATGATCTAAATTTTAAAGATCCAACCCAAACAAATGCAGCATGCTGTATTTGAACATAGAAAAGAAACGATCAAAAATTCAGAAAGAAAAAACAACAGCAAAAGCCCTATTAGGGGCAACTGTATAGGGCATGGGATACAAGCATGAAAACAAAGCAAGCAAACTAGAGTCTTAGGAGTCAAGACCTATATGAAGCTGAAGAATACATCTAAACATCATAAAAGAGATAATTTAACTAATATCTCATGGAAGTGAACTTTGCCTGGGATGATTGCTAGTGGATAAACCATGGAAACTTGGGTGTTTTATTTATAAAATTTGAAACTAGTTAAAGAAATAAATTCTGAGGATGAAATTTGTACCAATCTAACCGTGATTATAACTACAAGCCTCCTTGTATGGAAACAGAAATCACCGATCATAGGTAGTTATTTATAGTTCACAACAATGGACAATGATGGACAAGCATAGAGAGGTGCAATTTATACAAAGATGCATCTAGCTATGTAGCAGTCAAATGATACCTTCTCTGGCCGTGTTTCAACCTTGAAATGGATTAGACCCAAGCAAAGTAGAAGAATCATTCCCACTGACAAGCTCAATACAAGGGTTGGATTTCTAGCAACCCATAGTCCATATTTCCTGAACATAAGTATATTAGAACAAAATCACAGACGTTTGTGCTCAAGTGATATAAACGTCAAATACATGGATAGTTTACCTGTAAAAGTTTGAAATATATCCTTGCACAAAAGAAAGTTGAACCCCAGTGCTACTTTGATTAGCATCTTCTAGCCTCTGATACAAAACATGAAGCGCAAAAGAAATAATAAACAAACTGAAAAGAATCCAAAGAAAGATTGTGGAATAAGAATACAATATTGTAAAATTTTTTAAACCAGACATGAATGAAATAGCATAACCAACATGATCAAGTATGAAATAGAACGTAATTGAAGAAGATGAAGACCAGAAAAAAGGAAAAAAAAAAAAACAGCACCTGCATGGGGAGGTTCTCAGCATTTTGCCTACTAATAGAATGAGATGCACCACCATCCGCTGTACTCAAAAATGGTTTCATTCGAAAAGACCTGCTCCTTTTTCTTGTCCAATGAAACAAGCCCCATCCAAAAAACATAGAAACCAAAACTACATAGAGGATAGCTAAAGATAAGTCGACACATTTCGCCTGCAGATTTTCAACATTGAAACTAAATTAGCAAAAACTTTCTTGCAGCTCAAATTAGGAAATGAACACCACTTTCATAAGCCTTAATGAATTTGCATCTGGCAAACGGCTAAAAACTGAAATAATGCTAAACCAACCCTGACCTTAAGAAATCCAATTCGAACTGAACATGTAGCCCCTTTATGGGATAGAGGTGGAGCTGTATTAGAGCACACAGGAGATGAAGGGCAATCACCACAAGAGCAACCAAGTGAAACATCTCCACAGGAATAAGTAGATACATTCATAGGTTTCATCCCAGATGATTCAGGAGCAGTTGGCTGGAATTGAATGGCATATGGTGAACCAGGCAAGTTAAGCCCTGCTTGCCGACCAATAAAAGCAAACCACTCTGCCAGAACCAGCCAGGAAGACGTTGAGATTGAGACACACATACACAAATCTTATAATACAAACTAGAACTGTAAATTCACCTTTAAAATTTTTAGCACCAGAACCAATAAATTCCAGAGCACGAGTATTCATGGTACCAAACTTGACATCCTTGCAAGATTCATACAACCCCTCACCAAATGCATCTGTTATGTAAAAGTCAATTCCATCCACAGTCAAGTTGTTTTTTACCTGCAAAGAGAATTAAGATATCTTAAGTAATTTATTTTCTTTGATATATAACAATGTCCCCTATAAGAAGTGCATGACCACCCATTTGAATGAACATCCTTAAGATATTGTATACTGACAGTAATGAATTCATATTCACATCTATCACAATATTATTTGAAATGACAAAATGATGAAAGAGCTAGTTCCAAAATACAAGGTAATGTATTGCATGCATTTAAATGCCAATGCATTAAAAGACTATCATACACCCTAGACTATATCCTAACCTGATGTTGTAGATCAACTTTGGAACAGATCAAATTTGTTCTTGCAAATCAAAATAAAAGAGAAAAACAACAAAAAGATAGATTCTTCCTTTCCAAATATTGATCAATAGCACTGCCAAGTTTTTAAAGGCAGACACAATTACAATCATGTGACAAGATATCTAGTTCTCTTACAACATGATAATAGAGGGTTAGTCAGGATTCCTGACCTTGGCTACAGAAGTCACATTGATGAACAAACTTTGGTTTGGAGAGCAGGAAAGCTCACAGAACAGATTCAAAAAGTTTCTCAAGCATGCTGGACAGCCTACAAGGAAAGGAATTGCCTGCAATAATGTACACATTGAAATAAATCATATTAGGAAAAGATGAAATTAAGAAGAACAGCAATCGGCTATGTCAATTGATCAGAGCCAACAGAAAAGCCCCCTGATTTTCCAATGACAACAGAAAATAAGTGATCATTTGGGTCATTACATAAGACAGAACAAGGACAAACAAATAAAAGGTTTTTGAGAAAGATTCAAAACATGACATTGACATAAGTATAACACAACAGAGTCCATTCATTGTTTAATATAGTTATTCCTAGGTAGGTAACAATTTTGTAATTCTGATCAAACTAGAAAGGCATATACACTCATAAAATCAATTATGAGATACAAAGAATAAAAGGTAACATGCCAAACAACAACCTAATGAGTAATGACATCAAATGCCACACCTAACATAAGCAAAGCAATAATCACTCAACCTCAGCCCAAGACGATAAATGTCTCATAATGCAAGTCATGATACCAATAGTAGAGTTCAGCCACAAATCTTACTTGCTGGACTTGAGTCCGGAGAGTGGCAAATTGAGCTTCTGTACAACAAACATTTCCAGTGATAGTCGGGCACAAACTTTGAATCTTTGATGAAAGTAACTCATCTGGCTGAGAAGCATAATAAGATGTAAATGTAAGATAATTACAGTTACAATTTATAGCAGATTTTTTCAAAGTTGTTTAAATATTAAAGAAAAAATGAGGAAATGGTGCGAATTCGCTCTTGCAAACTAAATTCTGGAAATATAGTTTATGTCATATGAGAACTTGACATAATTACTACTAACCATAATTAGGACAAAATTTATGTGAAACAGTTATGAGTAATCTTACCTTTACAGCTTGAGAACCATAGGGACAGTTCAATACTTTTCCATCACTTCGATTTCCACAAATGTCATACATTGCACAATATCCTTCAGAATGTCTCTGCCTAAACATAACAAACACAAATACAAGATAATAATAATAATAATAATATACTTATTTTTGAAACAATATTAAGAAAATTAACATTTGTCATTATCGGTAGTCAGAAAACAGCAAATTCAACCATGGATTTTTGTGCTATTAATTTCCACGAGAGAAAAAAGCACAAATTTAGAGTAGTAATAAAATCTAGTAACGCACCTGATTCTCGCGAAATGACTCATCAGTATAGAACAATAAATTTATTTGTATTTTATAAGAAGCAGATAAGCTGCAACAATAAATTCATAGCCTTACCTTAGTCCATCATTGGTCGTTTGTGCAATCACCGCTGGTCCAATAAATAAAACCTGCAAACATAGAAAACAACAGATTCAGCTGAAATTAACAAGAACTATTGTACTCTCTTTTTCTTTTTATTCTTAAAACTTTGGCTAAAATGAAACGCCAGACTCAAAAGAAGACGCTGCACATGACTTCCCTGGCTTTGAACAAATAAAATATACACATTAATTGCGATTTATTTTGTACTTTTTCTCTTCTTATGAAAGATTACGACTATAAAAATCCAAAATCCTTTAAGCTTCATTTTGAGATGGTAGAAGCAGGGGAGGCAAATATAACTTGAACTCTGCGTTCTAATTTTTCAAGAAGGGAAAAAAAAAACTTGGTAAAGTGAAGCATGACAAGTTTTTGACCAAAAATAAGAAGAATGAAATCCAGGATTTGTTTTGTTCTTTTAGTTGTCTCAGAACTCAAGCGTGGAAGAAAGTGATATATTTTCTTTCAAAATGAAAAGAGAAATTAAACTGCCTAAACCAGTGACAAGGGAACAGAAATAAAGAAAAATAAAATCGAACAGTGGAAGCAGAGGACAAAAGCGACGGAGCCGCTTGCCTGAAACAAAGAAATGAATAAAAGAAATTCTAAATAAAGCCTCATTCTTCGGCGAGACAAGTCCATTTCTATTCTGCAGAAGCTTCGCAGCTTTGCAAGTTTGAGACAGGAAAGCGGAATTATATAAAAAGCTGAAGCCGTAGCGCGCTGTACATAGTGAGCGAAGGAAACAGAAAAAACTCTACTTTTATAATATAGTGTTACTGAGCGGTGAATTCAATTCCTCTTTACGCTTTTCAAAGTGCAATTAAATTCCTTCTAGGCAACTAAATTCAGAGACAAATACTGACTACGGGGAGACCCACTCATCGTATTTACGAAAAGACCCTCGCTTTTGGTTGTCTTCACGCTGGAGAATTTGCCTGTTGGTTCCTTATTTTAGTTATTTGAAAAAATAATTTATTGTCATTTCCAAAACTGCGAGTGGTTAGGGTGCCACCGGTTACTCACAGGGTATAATCAATAATGATGGCAGTGATTTGATACGTTGAATGAGCTGTATTAGAGAAATGACATATACGTTGTTCATATTTTTACAGATTACGGATTTGCCAGATTTAAGCACGTTATTTTTTTTTAATAATTTAAGTAAATAAAAATCCAATTGTTAAAGTTAAATTAGAAATTAAAAAAAAAAAAAAAGAGAAGGGCTTGTGGAAAATTTTATATGAAATTTTTAAGTAAATTTTATAAAAATTTTATTAAAAATAATTTAATAAAAAATTTAAAACATTAAATTAATTAATTCTAATGAAAATATTAATAATATGTAAAAATAATATTTATAATTAAATTTAATCTTATTTATTTAATGATAAAAATTTTATCAAAATTTTTATTAAAAATATTTATTTAAAAAAACATATCATAATTTTTTAAAAAATTTATACACTTAATTTATATAATAAAAACTTTTAACTTATCATTTTTAATTTTTAATTTAATTTAACTTAATTTAATAAAAATTTTACAAAATTCACCTCACAAACATCATATAATTTTTTTCCTAATTACGGGAAGTGACGACTGGCTGACCCGCCTAACAATGTGTGTGCTGATAAGAAAAAGGTTGTTATTTCGAACGCATAGAATATAAGATTTTTACGTTTTTCGGAAAATGTATGTCACCGCACAAAGACCGTGGGATTTCGTTCTAGTTTAATGTAGGTTGGTGAGTGAAAACGACCCAACTATTAATCCATCACTTTATTTTTAGGAAAATTATCACATATTGAGTTTTTAAATTTTATTAGTAAGAGAATACATATTTTTAAGGAATAGTAAAATTAAAATACGCGAACATTTTTTAATTTTATTTTAATTTTATTTATAGAATTAAAAAATTTTTTTATATAAGAAACGATTTTTTTAATTTTATAAGAAAATTTTTTACATTTTAGTTTCATTTAAACATATTAATTAATGTTTGATGTATTATCAAAATTAAAAATTTTAGTGTATATTTTAATTTTTTAAAATATATTTTAAAGATATATATTGCTCTATCAGTCTTTTAAAATTTAAAAGTTTCACTATCATAGATGAAATAATTTCTCTAAATTTTATTTCTTTTTTTATTTTGCAACTGGGGAGACTTGAGCCAGATTCTTTCTTAACAATAAAGATGAATATAAAAAAGGCAAAATATAAAACAGTTTGGAGATAAGTCTCTTAATTATTTAAATAAAAATGTTTCTTAGTTAAAGTCTTTGATACATTAGATTACGTAAAAGAAAAAACAACACACTATAATTAAGTTTGAATAAATTTTAAATTTGATTTATTATTATCGAGTTAAATTTAAAAAATTTAATTTATTTAATATGTTAAATTTAAATATTTTAATATTTAATTTAAGTAATTAATAATCTTAATCGAATTTTATATTTTAATAATATTTTTTATTATTTTAATTAAAAATTATTATTTGATATTATATCATTAATATAATTCGATATCAAATTTGAACTCAAATACAAATATTTAAATTTAAAATTAAATATAAAAATTAAATTTATTTTTTATTTAATAAATAAATTTAATTAAATAAACTCAAATATTTTTATTTTTAACTAGAGCTAAATTTAAATTTAAAAATTTAAATTTCCAATAATAAATTTCATATCAAATTTATTATTACATGGGATCGATTCGACTTAAACCCTGAAATCAACTTCTACCCGTGAGAAAAAGGCTCCAAAATTTAGATGGAAAAGCTTCGGCGTGAAGAAAAATCAAAGTGTTTCTCATAGGATTGGAACAAATGAATAAGTGACGCGAATGAAAATCATCTTAGTCACGTGGCAGGGGGCATTGCCAATCAAGGCGGTCATTCAGGATTAACGAATGCCTTGCAATACTACATCTTCTAGAATGTAGAGGGTGTTAGGAGTAGTACAAGTTGCCCAACCACTCCATTCAATTTGGCACGCCTTTGTGATTGCAATTGTAGGAGAGAACATTTATGCTTGTATTACTTGCAAAAATAAATAAGAAAAAAAATTAGTAAACACATCTCCATTAATCTTTATTAAAAGAAATTACTACTAAAAATTTGCTAAGACCGGAGAAAAGATGAGGTGAATGTTTTTGCCTTTTTACCTTCTCTTTTCTTAGTTCGTGGTCTAATATATTTATATTTTTATTGAGTGTGTGGCTTAATGTCATAAGTATAATATTGACTTTAATTTTTCAAAAAATCATTTATTGTGATAATGTGATGTGTAATATATAATTAAAATTAATTAATTCCCATCAAATTAAACTTATTTTTTAAAGTAATGATTTGTTTTCAATAAAGGCTAGTGATACTTGGTACAAAGGTGTCACATTTAGATAATGATACGGTAAATACACAATTGTACATTACTTAAGTTTTACATGATAGTAGATGAATTGATAAAAAAAAAAAAGATGGAAAATTTGTAGAGTAACATATATCTTACCAGCCTTTGTATTAAGCATGCTCTAATTTTATTTAAGAATTAGAATTCTATGGTTTTGCTTTAGAATTCATCAGGGTGAAAAAGTGGAGGAAGCAGTAAATCTCTATTTCATATGTAAAATTAAGTGTGAAAAAAAGGAAATCACATAATGTTGTCTTCGTTACTAAAAGGAATTAGTTCTGATAAGACTATTTGGACTTGCATTATAATTTATGGTATAAGATTATTATTAGTGTATTTATATATATCACAGATTAAAATGTCAATTGGACATAAAAATGCCATATAATTCATTAGCATTTAGCATCACTTATGGCTTACACGCAACAATTAATTGCCTCATAAAAAATGCAGGACGATGGAGACAGCGAGCGAGTTGTTGAAACGCCCCACCACCCCCACGATTTTTTGTCTTCATGAATTTTTATTTTATTTATATTATTATTATGTGTCACATTATGTCAAACTCGAACCTTGTCTTAAGTTTAATTATAATATGTTAGAAGGTGGCAGTTGGCTTGACTAATGTTAGGGGTTGCCTCGCCTATCATCTACTGTGCGTTTCGATGGAAAAGGACCAAGTATTCTTTCTCTTTCACGAGGCTGAGAATTATCAGGGCTGCCTTCGGTTCTCTCGTCTCAATCCACCTTCAACTTCAATTGTCTTAAAATGTTCCCAAAATAATATACCAGTTATTAAAAATAATAATTTAAATCTCATAAAAAATTTATTTAAAATTTATTATATATTATTAGATAGACAAAAAAACTTACAGAATAAAAATTTTAAAAAAAAATTTCTAATAGGTAAATTTGTATGATTATAAATAGGTAAAATCTCTATAAGATTATATATAAGAAAAAAATATACGAGAGTTATAAGATTTTATGAGACAAACATTTCATAGGAATGCTGAAGATTTGAATGTTTGGAAGTAGACTATAAGAAATTAAAAAGGTCCACATAGGTATGATGAATGAGATCATATAGGTATGTGTTTATTTATGTTGAAATGATGCACATGAGTTTGTATTTGTTTTAGTTAAGAATACTTCATAGGACTAAGAAATTGAGAGAGCATATGTGTATTGATTGTTGAGTAAGATTGATTTGATGTATGTTTATAATTCTCTACAAACTAGTGGATCTTGTTTCTCACTCATAGACATAAGTCGGTTGGATTATATCACGTTAAATTATTATCTTTTGTGTGAATGATTAATTATTTGATTTCACTTCCGTTGATGTGATTGGATTGAAGTTATTTGGCTCATCAAGTGGTATCAGAGCTATGGTAATATCTAACAAATGGTATCAAGCTGTGGTAATCCCTAATAAATGGTATTAGAATGTGGTTCGAGCTATAAGAATAAGCAAGCCCAAGAGAGTTCAATTCAAAAGAATAGCTCAAGTTCATATCTTGAGGATTGAGAATCAGTTTATATAAAGCGTGAAAATACAGAAGAGAATATATTGTAAGACTTTCATTGCAGGTGAAGGCAAGTATGTATAGCATGAAAACAGGTGATTTTATAAAATTTAAGTCAAGGTAGAGATTGTTAAGAATAATGACTTAAATCCCATAAGAGATTTGTTTGAGATTTGTTTGAGATTTATTAGAGATTACTTGATGGACAAGAAGACTTTTAGAATAAAAATTCTAAAAGTAGAAGAATTTTAAAAGGAAATGGATTCTTAATAGACAAATTTATATAGTTATAAATAGATAAAGTATCTATAAGGTTAGGTATGAAAAAAAGATGTAAAATAGTTGTAGGATTTTGTGGAATAGATATCCATAGGAGTACTGAAGATTTACGTCTTATGGGTGTGTATGTTTGAATGTTTGAGAGTGGACTAAAAAAGATTGAATGTTTGACTGTTTGATGGACAATAAGACTTTTAGAATAAGAATTCTAAAAGTATAATGATTCTAAAAGGAAAATGATTCTTAATAGACAAATTTGTATAGTTACAAATAAGTGAAGTCTCTATAAAATTAGGTATACAAAAAAGATTTAAAAGAGTTATAGGATTTTGTGATATAGACATCCATAAGAGTTCTAGAAATTTACGTCTTATGATGTGTGTGTATGTTTGAATGTTTGAGAGCTGACTAAAAGAGATTTAAAGGGTTCATATAGGTATGATGAATTGATACATATGATTATGTGTTTGTTTGTGTTAAAATGATACACATGAGTTTATATTTGT